AGTCCATGGGAAATCCTTCACCTACCTACGTGGTTAAATAATCCTCAATGACCTCGAGAAGAAGAGACAAAATGAACCGCATTCCCACGGATTAAAATCGAGTTACTTTGTTAGGTTGTAACAGAGCATTGAAAGGTAAATCAAAACAGTTTAAATTTCGATTTAAAGCTTTCGTGACTGCAGGGATTCATCTTCTTGGTTCTTTCGGTAAAGTCACGTAGAAGGGAAGTAATAAAATAATAAAAATAAAACATAATAAAATAAAATATTATATTATTATATTATTTTATTTTATTATGTTTTATTTGTATTATTTTATTACTTCCCTTCTACGTGACTTTACCGAAAGAACCAAGAAGAAAAAAAAAGTGTAAAGTTTGTTTTATAACAGTTTCCATGACAAACACGGGGAGGAGAGATATTGATCCAGCAGTGAATTGATAAAGGGTTGTCATCTCATTAATTGCATCCAAGCAGGTTTTGGATCCAATGCAGTAAGATGACCGCATCTTAATGAACGTGCTTACACGAGGGTGCCACTCGATATGCGCATGGAAAAGTGGCGTTTCAGTTTTGCTGGATCGTTTCCTCTCGATTTGTGTAAAAGTCAACAGCTGAAATGTAACTTTAATCAGCTCATATAAACGGATTGCTCGGGATCTGTATGCATGTACCGTATGTTGAACTTATTTCGCACCGTACGTAGCCAACCGTGCTAATCGGCAGTGCTATATTTACTATGACGATACACAATTGAAGGATTATCTCTAAACTCGCAGTGGCTTCAGTTTAACCGGCAAATAAATAATACCAGGATGCGGGATCTTGAAAGCAACACATGTGATATCAGAGTGGAACTCGAGCTTACACCCCTGGCAATGCAGCGACTTAATATCGTTATTTTAAAATGTGAAGTTATATCTCTACACACTCAGTTTGTTCAAGTCAACATGCGGGAAAGGGGGCGAGTCGGTGACTTAAGAGATTATTTGCATTTGGAGAATTGTAAAAAAAAAAAATCTCCCCCGCTGCCCCTTGTGAGTAAATACTTTATATGGGAATACTTTATATGGGAGATGCCCGATGCTTGTGGGGCTGAGTGGTATCTCCTGGCATGCGTGCTGGGTTTCTCTGGATCATTTTCACAGTTTCTTCCCACACAAAGCCGGACTATTCATGGACGCAATTTGCCAAACATCCCAATGTTGCAAGACTCTCCTGAAAAGAGCGTCTTGAGATTCAGTGGGGCTTTAAGGTAAAAAAAAACTTTTTTTATTAATAAAATGCGCAATTGCACAACCAATTTTTTTCAAACATGGCCTTAAAAACTACCCATGCAATCCACATCATCCACAACCACCACTAACTATCACAAACGAAGCTCTCTCGTTTAGCCTTCAAAGGAATGTTGGGGAAAGTGCTGCAGACGAGGAACTATTGAGGAGGGCACGGCGCACAAGGGGGTGAGTCACCAACACCACGCCCGGTCGGTCGCCTTGGCCACCCAAGCGCCGATATTGACGCACCGGACCCGGCACTGACACAAGACTTCGTCTACCCAGGAGAAACCCAGAACCGATGCAGATATTCGTCACCGATATTGACTGTGAGCGGCAATCTAAGTCGGGCCGCTGGGTGCCGCGCAGTGCGCCAACCACCCTACACCACCGACTCCCCCAACAACAACCACCATCACAACCATCACCATCATCACCATCATCACCATCATCAAACATCTCCCACTCCGCCCGTAGGCTCCATCGCTCCATCGCCCGCTGCCTGCCATTTGCTTCAAAATGGGAAAACCCGTGGCTCACGGGTGACGCGTGGTCCTGTTGGCGCGTGCAGCGGGCCCCACCATTTACCGAACCCTCCGTCACAACTACAACAGCAGCAACAATGGGGGGGGGGCGAGTCGCCAACTGGCCTCGCTGCTAATTGAAACCAGAGGCCGCCGAGTGACACCGAGTGATGACGGCAGTGATGATGGACTGACGCACACTATCATTGTTAGTTACTGCGTCTGGTCAGTAGGAGGGGGGGGGTTGCCCATACTTGACCACAATGATCAGTGCGGGTTGCTGCAGGAGTTTGGGGGGGGGGGGGTCTGATATCACTCGCCACTGATGTTAGCCGTGGACGGGGTTCACAACGTGGTGCGCTAATCGCTGGCGCCACCGCTCTGCAATGTGCACGGACACACCAACACAATAACAAGAAACGTTCCTAACACACGCGATTCGGCGACATGCATATAACCTTGATTTACCGTCCATCGCCTGTACAGGCGTCTCAAAACACGCAGTCTCAAAACACGCCGTACAGGCAGAACCAGAGGACATTCATCTTATTAACGGTACAGAGACAACGATAAAGCCAACGGATCCCCCGTGTAGCCTTAACATACTTTTTAGGGCAAGTGCTTTTACTAGTGAGCACATAAGGCCGGCACAGCACACGAGGGAGTGGGTGGCCAGCACCACGCCCGGCCGCCTTTGTCTCCCTCGTGACGATGCTGACACACCGCACCAGGTACTCTCATTTGAGGCTGAGTCAGCAAATCGTCACCGGTGTTGGCCGTGAGTGGGAATCGAACTCGACTCGTCGGGTTCGTAGCGCAGCACGCTAACCACTACACCACCGCTCTCCACCAACACCAACACCACGCCATTCGCCATTAAGTGACAGTGACGTCACCACGGCGCCTGTGCCAGGCTAGGTGCACTGAGGCCACGTGAAGTGTCTAAGGCTCGCCGACAGATCTCGGGACAGACCCAGGTGCCATGGGCTGGCTGCCTGAGATGACTGGTAGATGTACCAGCTGAACTCCCTACTGTGCCAACTTGCTGCATTTTATCCGCACGGCGCTCCGCTCGTTGTTGTGAGCGTCACTTCTCTGCCCTCCGTTGTTGGAGGGCGACTGCCTCCAACTGCCCAGTCGCAGCGTCCTTCTCGAGCCTCCTCCATCGAGGCTGATCTTGACACCGCTGGTACCGGTCGTCGGCAAGTCCACTTAGCTCCACATCCTCCTGTACCGCATCAGTCCATCTCTTCTCCAGCCCATGTCGTGCCCGTTTAGCTCCCTCTATGCCAGGGGTGGGGAACCTTTTTTCTACCAAGGACCATTTGAATATTTATAACATCATTCGCGGGCCATACAAAATTATCAACTTAAAAATGTGCCCGTTATATTTGGTCAAACATTTAATTAACTCGCCCCTAATGCGATGGCTGGAACTGCTTCTCTTTTGCGAGGAGTGTGATGTGAGCTGGTATTGATGATGTTGCTACTCGCAACTGCTTTTCCAAGTTTGCTCCTAGATTTATTGAATTTCGAGTCCCGCCTGCGGTTGCCTTGGCAGGGCCAGACCAAATGATTTTGCGGGCCTTGTACGGCCCGCGGGCCGGACGTTCCCCACCCCTGCTCTATGCGATCAAACAGAAGCTGCTTGGGCATGCGGTGGCTGGGCATGCGGTGGCTGGGCATGCGGTGGCTGGGCATGCGGTGGCTGGGCATGCGGTGGCTGGGCATGCGGTGGCTGGGCATGCGGTGGCTGGGCATGCGGTGGCTGGGCATGCGGTGGCTGGGCATGCGGTGGCTGGGCATGCGGTGGCTGGGCATTCGGTGGCTGGGCATGCGGTGGCTGGGCATGCGGTGGCTGGGCATGCGGTGGCTGGGCATGCGGTGGCTGGGCATTCGGTGGCTGGGCATGCGGTGGCTGGGCATGCGGTGGCTGGGCATGCGGTGGCTGGGCATGCGGTGGCTGGGCATGCGGTGGCTGGGCATGCGGTGGCTGGGCATGCGGTGGCTGGGCATGCGGTGGCTGGGCATGCGGTGGCTGGGCATGCGGGCCACATCACCCAGCCAACGCAGCCTCGCCTGCCGGAGAAGCTCGCTGATGGGAATGTGTCCAGATCTTTCAAGGACTTGTGAGCTCCTCACAAAATCCACCCTGGTTAAACCCACGTTTAAACCCACGTTTAACCAGGGTAGATTAATGTTCCATTAGAGAGGTCCACGTTTCTCAAGCATAGACAAGGTAGGACATTAATGTGGCCGAGAAGACCCGAAGCTTCGTGCGGAGCGACAGACCAGGTAGCTTCCACACAGCGTTGCGCAGCCGATGAAAAGATAATGCCGCCCGACCGATTCGGAGTGAGACCTCTGCTGTCAAACCGGAGCTGGTCATAAGGACACTGCCCAGGTATGGGAAACTCTCCAATCTCTCCATAACTGCTCCATCACCAGTGGGGCGCTCCACAAGACAAAGACAGACAGAGACAGACGCACAGGAGAGAGACACACAGAGACAGACGCACATGAGACAGACACACACATCCACGAAGTAACAAGCAGGCACCGCGTGCTCTGCTCTGATCGAGAGAAGAGTTGAGATCGGGATAGGAGCTTGGCTCTCCGTTTGACCTTGGGAGAGACAGTTCTTGCCTCGGTTGTTGCCTGACAACGCAGCCGACACGAGTTATCGTTCACGGAATGCTGCTGCTGCTGCTGCTGCTGCTAATATCGTCTATTGCTGATGTTGCTGCTACTGGTTGTGCTGCTGTTCGTGATTCCAGCCTCCTGCTCACAATCATCACGTTCGCTGCGCTTGCATTTTCTCTCTGCGTCCCGTTGAGTTGCACGCGTGCGCGAGAGAGAGGAAGGGAGAGAGACAGCGAACAATGATGACACTCGGGTGGCGCGGTAGCGGTGGGGGAGCGAAAAGTAATCTCGGATGAACGCGCAGCGAGGCTCCGTTACAGTCGTGCACACCACTCACTCCACGACAGCGACCCTCACTCCTCGCCCTTCTCCCTCCCTCCCACGCCTCACCACCCACCGCACCCTCCTCCACCAGCACCCACCCCCAACCATCCCATCACCTACCAATCGCACCTCCACATCTAAACCAATCTCACCCTTCATCCCCCCCCCCCCCCACTGCACTCCCGCCTGCCCGCCCGCCCGCCCGCCTGTCCCTGCACTCGGCGAGCCTCAGGACAGATCGCAAGCCGAGGATGCAAACCGTCGTGAACAATGCCACGCGCTCACTGTCAGCGCCCGTGCAGGGACCCGGGATGCAGTCTCCCAAGCAGGACTCCCTCCACTTCGCCGCGGGGGACACGGGACTCAAGGCGACGCCGGACTCTGCGCAGGGGAACGCGTCTGCCCTCGGGGGCACTTTCCTCCTGCACGGAGGAGACCTCAGCGAGGGCTCCACCGCCTTCAGCGCGGCCACATTTCGCCTGCTGGCCGGCGTCGTGGGCACCATCGGAGTGGCCGGCTTCGTCAACAACCTCCTGGTCGTGGCGCTCTTCCTGGGCTTCAAGCGCCTGCAGACGCCCACGAACCTCCTGCTGGTGAACATCAGCCTGAGCGACCTGCTGGTGTCCGTCTTCGGTAACACGCTGACGCTGGTGGCGTGCGTGCGCAGGCGGTGGGTGTGGGGCGACGGGGGCTGCGTGTGGGACGGGTTCAGCAACAGCCTCTTCGGTGAGTGACCCAAGGCGACGTGGATCGGTTCGCTTGCTCGCTCGCTCGGGGCCGTCGTCCGTGGCAAGTGTTGCCCTGCGCCAGTTTGGCGAGTAGCTCACGACAGCGGCGGCTTCCTAAGCGATAGTAACTCGTGTGAATTTCAGCGGACTCGTCTGGACTTTAACGTTGTTTAGAAAGGGGCGGGGTGGGAGGGGCAATGGGGGGGGGGGGGGTGGAGGAGCGCCGTGACGAACCCGGCGACCTGAGTTCGATTCCAGGCCACGGATAACTTACTCCCCCCCCCCCCACGCCGCTCCTTCACCAGTCCTGCAATGGCCAGAGTGGTGAAGTATGGGGCAGATGAACCCATGTGGCCGACACAGCAGAAACTGAAATAAATTTGTCTTTTACAAAATGCGTTGTTTGCAAGGTAAGTTAAAAGTAACTTACAGGCGTGAGAAAGTGAAATTGCCGTGATTTAGACTGCAGCAATTACAGTGCACTCGGATACAATTGTTTCCTACCAAGTCGGAAACAAAATAGTTTAAATTTCGATTTAAAGCTTTCGTGACTGCAGGGATTCATCTTCTTGGTTCTTTCGGTAAAGTCACGTAGAAGGGAAATAATAAAATAATAAAATAAAATTCTCACGACGTTGCGGCCACAACGCAAGCAGCCGTCGTCAGGTGAAGAACAGGTCTGTCGGAAAGACAGCGTCCGAATGTTCTTCAGCTTGCGTTGTGGCCGAAACGTCGTGAGAATGTTATTTTATTATGTTTATTATTTTATTATTTCCCTTCTACGTGACTTTACCGAAAGAACCAAGAAGACAAAATAGTTTCGTCAACTCCGCCGGTCTTGACGTGCGCCTGCCAATGCTTTGAGTTGCAATTCGCTGGCAGCGAACGCCCAACAAAGTGACGCCAACGCAGATAGTCGTCGACTTGATTCACGAGTGTTAAACACTTTTAGAGCTGCAATACAACCGCGTACGTAGTTTGTTTTGCCATTGAGCTATGCTGTGTGTATGAATATGGCCCTCCGATGGGTTTTTTTGGATTGTACCTCAAGTGGAGTGAACTCGTACTGAATATGCACACGTTGGTGGGAGAAAACAATCTTGACTTAAAGCTTTCGTGACTGCAAGAATTCATATTATTTGAGTCTTTCGGTAAAGTCACGTAGATAGGTTCAAAGAAAATCAACCAAAACATTTTTTGTAAGAATGTGGGAGAAAACAAATTAGCAGATAGCGATTGCATAATGTAAGTACGTTATTGTTATTGGGGCCACTCATCCTAAAATTGAGTGGGTGACATTCAATGTGGTGAAGGTTGTTGCTGCCGATACAAAATTCGGCCGGATCACGTGCTATGGCTTCTGGCCAAACCAAACTACCGCACCACATGCAGAATCATAAACTAAATTGCCCTTTTTATCTCGCACACACCTGGTTACGCTTGTGAGAAAACAAACTCATTTAAAGTTACGACCAGGCGCTCCGTAGCAGCATTCTCTCTCTCGTAAAGTTAACTCATTTGACGCATTAAACACGAGGGTGACGTCATTCATTTATCCATGAAAGCCTCACAGAGTCTCGTGGACTTTTTATTGAGGAGGATCATGTCACAAATAGATGTTTGGCGAATTTCATAAGTGGGCGTTTGGCTTCGTGTGGGATGAAACTGGAAAACATGAATAAAACCGACCACACAAACAAACGAGAGGAGAGCTCAAACCGCTTGCATTGACGAGTTCAAGGAAACATTTGCTGTACTGGCAAGTTTGCAGGTCACGCGATTAGTATGTTGTTACGGAGCGTCTGACCCCATGATGTTGTCACGAAGCTTTAGTCACGATTAGACGAAAAATCGATGCAAAACTTTGACGACGCAATAGAGGAGACGCCGCAGAAGCCGTGTATCTAAAACCCAAGCCGTGTCTAAAACCCAGGTGGCATTTTAATCCCTACACTAGGGGTGCACTATCCGGCACAGCCTGCTGCAGGGAAACATTAGTCACTTGACCATCATACTGGTCGTTTATTTTTCAACATCGGAGCTGAAATGTAGCCTTAAAACGTACTTAATGCAATTTTTTAAAATGTACTATTGACTTGGCTAATATCCTCAACTCGCTACACTTTACAATCCAGTGTAATCATGGGTGGATGAAACGAGCACTGTATCTGAACGCAAGTTTTAGCGTTGGTGGCTCAGTCCTCTTGATACACGGTCAGCCGGCCACCTCCGATACATCATCAATCACAGCAACACGTGACCACAGCCCCATGCAAGTGTCCGAACTTGTCAGATGCTAATCCGGCCAAGCCTGATACAGTGCGCACTTGGATTGCAGACTGCCTTGGAATAATACAAGAGGAGGCTTGGACGAAGAGGGAGCCAGGGATGGCAGGGCATCAATAGATACTTTAATCCTTCTGTGCACAACTTGGAATGTTACGCCTAATGTACATGACGAGCCCACTGGGCATTCCAGTTCCTCCCATATGAAACACTTTTTAAATTGAATTAGCCAAACATCTCAATACGGGAGTCTCCCCAAATATGGTCTTTAAACTAGATAAGACATTTCAGGGCAAACTCTCTAAATCGGAATGGTGTGCAATTAAAACACACCATTCTCTAATGCTACCATCCTAAAAATATCCACGAATTCACTAAAACCACAACCACCACCACCACCACGTATTGTTATTCACATGCAAGTACAAGTAGGTGCCAATGAACAGCTACTGCACCAGCCCCACCAGTCAGCAGAACGCCAGTGAGTTACTACATAATGAGCCAAGAATGTCTGTGTGTCCCGCACGTGACGTCATTCCACGTCGGCCAGCCCCCCTCATTATTACTCATGAACAGGCTACGTCCTCCAGATGGACCCCCCTCATTAATAATCATGAGCAGGTGACATCACTCCACATCCAACAGCCCCCCACATTATTAATCATGAAGAGGTGACGTCCTCAAAATGGACATCCCCCCCTTAATAATAATTAGCGGGTGACGTCACTCCACATGGGGGGGGGGGGCGAGGCGCCTCCTCCCCCCTCCTCGGCGTCAACTCACAACCCTCACCACAAAGGCAGAACCCTCACGTCACGTGATCTCCGTAACGCTGTGGAGACATAAAAGTAACAAGGACGTCATGATGAACAAGGGATTATAACCTTTAAATAAAACAGGTCTGTGTCACCGCGCCCTTACACATTGCACACGCATTAGTGCAATGAATATCACGTCGCGGTCTGCTTATCGCTTGCAAGTTTCAGATTTACTGCAATACACCCATCATTAGACGGGCAAAGGCGAGTTGCCAAATATTTACCCGAGAAATCCTCACTTAAGTCTCAAGAATCTTTGTGTTTTAATGAGGCCATGTGCATCAGGACTGTCGGCCAGTTCCATGCCCGAGTGCCATGTGGGAGGTAACAAGAGGACCCGGAGAAACCATCACGCGGCCAAAGGGCGTGAGGCGGGGGGACCGGTCAACCAGCTCTGCCATCCCTTCGTCACCTCGCAGCAGCCCCCATGTCGACAGCGCCCGAGAAGCCTCCACTGTGTATCACCCACGCATGCACAAAACCAGGCACACAACATCCTGAAGGGCTTTTCCAGATCCAGCCAATTTAGTCGCTTTGGCTGTACCAGTTGAAAGGGTAGAAACCTACTACTATATTTTGCCACTGGTAAAGGAGATGTCTCATAGAACAATGAAGTTCTGTAGGGGCGGTAACGGGGTGGTAACGTGGATGGTAACGTGGGTGGTAACGTGGGTGGTTAACGGAACGACCCTTCGTGCTCACAGGCATCGTGTCCATCTCCACGCTCACGGCGCTCTCCTACGAGCGCTACGCGCGACTCATCAAGGCGCAGGTGCTGGACTTCAGCTGGGCGTGGAGAGCGGTGACGTACACGTGGCTCTACTCGGCCGCGTGGACGGGAGCTCCCCTGCTGGGATGGAGCCGCTACGTGCTGGAGAAGCACGGCCTCGGCTGCTCCATCGACTGGGCCTCGAGCAACCCTCCCGACGCCGCCTTCGTGCTATTCTTCTTCCTGGGCTGCCTGGCCGCGCCGCTGCTCGTCATGGGCTTCTGCTACGGGCGCATAGCACTCGCCATCACCCAGGCACGGTGGTTGTGTCGTCGCTGGCTGCGTTTCGTCTGCGCGCGCGCGGGGGGTGCGGACAGCGCACAACGCGTGGCTTAAAGGAAGAGGAGACCCACCCCACACACACGCACCGCCAATTGCTGCCTCTCCCGAAGTCAATAACAAGCTGACCAGCCCAGCCTATAAAAGGGAGCCTCAATTCGCGAGCGTTTTCCTGGCGCTACAAGACGCGGATTTGCTCGCTCTTGCAAGTGGCTTTAGACAAGAGGAGGGATACAAAATAAGCTCCACAGAAGTGTTTTGGATTAGATCGCATAAATATACAAAGTGTCGTTAAACCCGCCACCACCCGTCACGGCCAACTCGTAAGGGTTGTCACGTAAACAGAATATTCTAATTCGTCGCTAGTCCAACACACCGGTGTGCTGTACTAGTGACGAATTGGCAAGTTCTGTTTACGTGACAACCCCTATCGAGTTGCCTGTCGGATAATATTGGTCGCGAAAGCCTTCGTGTTAAATTGACAAAATAAGCTGTCAAGCCAGTCAATTTAGGGAGCCTCAACTGTAACGGGTTTTCTAAGTTTTATTAGAATAACGTTGCGCCAGACAGCTTTAAATACAGCCTAGGGTTGCGAAGCTACAATGAGCTGTTTGAGTTTTGTCTTTTAAGCCACAGGTAAAAATGCACAAAGAGTCCAGAAGCAGAGTGAGGCAGGCCCCCAATGTGGCCGGTCCCACCAGATCTCAGCAGCCCTACTGGGTCCGATTACAAGGACACAATTATTCTACTGGCATGTAAAAAAGTAAATTTTTGGCTTCATTCACTGTTAGTGACATAACATATCCAGGAGGAAATTAATATTAAAAAAATATCGAAACTGGGCATTTTTAAACAAAAATGTATTGAGGTGTGGGGAATACATAACATAAATCGGACTTAATGATGCAATTCTTGATCTTGATTGCAATATATTAATACTGTAACTGTTAGTCTTATTCATTGTTTGAGCCTTTTTTCTCTCGAAGATGTCACTAATTCGAGCAAAAAAAGATAGTTAAATCGAATGTCTGAGGTGTGCAATAATCAGCACGTGCATACACTGCACTCGAAGTAAACGTATGAATGTATTTTACTTCTTTCGCACCGTACGTGGCCAACTCGTGCTAATAGGAGGTGCGGAGGGAAAGACAACTAAACACACAAAAACTGTTCTAAAGAAATGCGTTTTCAATCTAGATTTAAAAGTGCATAGCTCCAGTGGCTTCCTAATATCGGAAGGAAGAGCATTCCAGACGGCAGGTTGATAACGTCAAGTTAATAAGAATGTTCAGGGGAGCTACCTGAAAACACTTCCTAAAAGACGTCTTGCATTGCAGAGCATTGTGGGTAATAAGTAGATAGACAAAAGTCAATCTCTCCACGTAACAATGTTTATTGTACTAACAATTCATAACAGAATGTATGTAAGCATGCAACATCTGCACTGGTCACAACCCTCCCCTCTGAGTCTCAATTTCACATCTGTCAATAACACTGCCTTACAAAGGAATGTATAATATGTAATGTTTCAGGAAATAGCCTTTCCTATGGTTTTCTTGTATTTTGCCACAGAAACATTTTGTCCAGAAGGGCAATCGGCTGATGAAGTAGCAGTCATGTTTTGTTTGCGTTGACAAACGTTTTGCCTATTTACGTGAAACACTTGAAGCCTGTTTGGCTAAAGGCTCAAAATCCAGGAACTCTTCAGTAGGTGAAGAGTTCCAGTTTCGTGACAAGGGTTATCTACCGCAGCCCTCTCGTGCAGGCGACACATTCATCGTGTAAGGTCAACCATAATGACGGCGGGAGGACGGGGGTGGAATCCTTTTTCATCTTTCCCATTTCAATCGTCAAGCACAGGAAACGCGATCCAGACACTTTGATGACGACCGGCTTCTTGTCACCGATTAAATCATCCCAGCGCATCCGTCCACAAGCCGAGCGAGTGGCCCCGTCTCGCTCCAGTGAATGGCCATCTGTACTCGTGAGCCTTTTGAAGAGTCGTGCAGAAATATGAAATGCCACAAATCTCGTGGTGTTAAGATATCGCTCTGCCTAGTGTGTCGAGATGACATCATAATTGTCATCACACCTGCTTTGTATATCAGGATGACATCATAATTGTCATCACCTGCTTTGTGTGTCGAGACGACATCACAATTGTCACTACACCTGCTTTGTATATCAGGATGACATCATAATTGTCATCACCTGCTTTGCGTGTCGAGATGACATCATAGTCGTCACCACATCTGCTCTGCATGTCAATATAACGTCATGATTATTGCGCGTATTCCGCCTTCAGGCTTGCGATAGCTAGGAGCTCTCAAAGAGAACAGAAACACGGCCGGTTTTTTATTTAAGCGACAGAAGGTACAATGCAATTGTTGAATTGCCTCTTCAACTGCAGAAAGTGCTTCATTCGGTGATTCTTCAAGTCTATTTAGTCACACATCCTTGAGCATTGATTGTCCAGCCATGAGCATTTGACATTTATGCGTGTTTGGTGGTGGCCACCAGTCCCATCATTAACCAGGCTCAAAGCGGCGTCGCCTCTGAGGTGTTGTCATAAGTTGTGAATCACTTAATTTTAGATATGGATGTGAATCACCACATTCCTACAAATTACGATTGAACTCCATTATCAGATAGTGTTATAACATCTTAGCCCGAGCCAATTTGGCTTTTAGAGATCTATGGATACGCACCTGTACACATTGTGGCTAATGCACGCACTTAAACACGAACGGACACGGTCTGAAATCTCTACCATATAAAGTATTCAACGTTTGCTGGCAATATTTCGCAATGCATCAGACAGATGTTGTAAGAAACCTCGAATCCACATGCTGTGCTGCCAACTCTTATCCAGCTTGCAGCCAAGCAGATTTGTTAACCTTGGGCATTTCATAAACACCATCCAGATATGGCCGATGTCGCTCAGTGGTTTTTAACCTGGGGGTGCATGGACCCCCCTCTTGGGGGTGCGAGGTGATCTTTCTCGGGGTGCGATCATTGGCCAGATTTTTTTTGAAGGTAAATCATCGAAACACAAATTAATCACGGTCACGTAAGTATTTTTTTTTTCTTATTTTTTACCTACGTGACTTTACCGAAAACACCTAAGAGTATGAATCATTGCAGTCACGAAAGCTTCAAATCTAGAATACAACTACTTTGTTTAATCAAACCCGATGCATTTCTTCACATGATAATAAATGCTTTAATTATAATAATTGAGAACCAAATGGGTGCAAGGCTGCGGTAAAGGTTAAGAACCACTGATGTAGAGCAAAAGTTTGATATTGAGGTTGTCGAGCCAGATAATTGTGTCAAGACCGTCGGAGTGACGCATCGCTGCTGTGTCCATGTGCATCTGTCGTGATACATTCCACGGTTCTGTTCTGAGTGACCATAGCCACCGCACTCCCGACAGTTTTTATTTTAACGACCCCATTTGTGCAGCATCACGTGGCCGCCTCTGGTGCCATGGTTTGTGCCGACACGCATCGGGGCGAGCTACAAGACAGGACAGCAAAGACAGACAAAGATCCCCCGTATAGCCTGAATAGACTGTTGGGGCAAGTGCTGTTAGTGAGCACCTATGAAGGACGGCTCGGCACACGAAGGGGTGGGTGACAAGCACCACGCCCGGCCGCCTTCGTCTCCCTCGTGGCGATATTTACACGCCGCACCAGGTACTCATTTGAGGCCGAGTCGACCTAGGGGAGTCCCAGAACCGCGTGAGATAATCGTCACCGGTGTTGGCCGTGAGCGGGAATCGAACTCGGGTCGCCAGATTCGTAGCGCAGCGTAGCGCCAACCCCTGCACCACCACAGCGAACACCTCCTGCACAGGTGGCTAACATGACTTTGGTCGTATCGCCCTCGTGCCCCGTGTACCCGGCTGTCCACGCCACCCCTCTAGTTCCGCTACCTGCACGTGGCGCAGGTCCAGACGGCCGGCCGCATGGCGCAGACGCTGCGGGGTGAGTTCCGCGTGGCCCGCCTGGCGCTGCTCGTGGTCGCCGCCTTCCTGCTGTGCTGGATGCCGTACGCGGTGGTGGCCCTACTCACGGCGGCGGGGCACGGCGACCTCATCAGCCCGGCCACCAGCGTCATCCCATCGTTCTTCGCAAAGTCCAGCATCGCCTACAACCCCATCCTCTACGTGTTCCTCAATAAGCGGGTGCGCGCTGCCCGTGACGCGGCTGCGCCCTTGCCCGTGAACCAGAATATGCGCGAGAATGGCGATGGTATCTCGATACGCACGGCAGGATACCGTCGTGTGCGTTGAACGTCTTGAGCACGCTACTGTAGTCAAGCGTGCTAATCGTACGCAATCAACAGTCCACGACGCCACAATCCTCGACGCGTTCCTCGATAAGGCGGTGCGGAGCTGCCCGTCGTGAAAACGAGACCAGCTGGTGGCCCAAAATCTTCGGCTGTGTGGAAATCAGAATTTTTTGCTGTTGAAAGTTCTCTTAGCGAGCGCGCTGGATTTATAAACGCTAGAAGGGGGGGGGGTTCCCAGACCTCGGCGGGCCACCACGGCATCCGCAGAGATGCCCCCAATGTCTCGGCTCTCACACAAATGAAGTCGTTGCAACGCTGCACGTGGCCGACGATCGGTGGCACGCGTCCCAAGCGACTCAACGGGGCTCCGCTTCAATTTAAGACGGCGATGGCGCGTGCACGTCCAGTGATGCGTCGTGCACCGATTTTAATTCACATAGCCGTGTGTGTGTGTACACGCACGTGACTTGTGTGTGTGTACACGCACGTGACTTGTGTGTGTGTGTACACGCACGTGACTTGTGTGTGTGTGTGTACACGCACGTGACTTGTGTGTGTGTGTGTGTCGCAGGTGACGGTTGCGCCGAGAGACATGAGAATCGATATATCGTGTGTGCTCCACGCGTTATGTACAGAGAGCAAATTTAAATGAATGCAAAGATCTGTGTGTGTGTGTGTCCAGGCGTGTGTCCCTCCTATGGGGAATAAAAGCGCCACGAACCCGGTCACCTGAGTTCGATTCCCGCTCACGGCCAACATCGGTGACGAATATCTGTACCGGTTCATGGGTCTCCGTTTGGTCGACTGGGCCTCAAATGAGCACTTGATGGGGCCTGTAAATGGGGAGCCACATGGTGCTGGCCGTCATCCTCCCACTCGTGTGCCGTGTTTAGTTGCCCTTTACAAGTGCCTGCTAACAGCACTTGACCCGACAGTCGGTGAGAGCTACATGGGAGATATTGTTTCTAGATTTGAAGCTTTTGTGACTGCAATGATTCATATTCTTAGGGTTTTTCGGTAAAGTCACGTAGGTAAAAACATTAAAAAGTAGAATAAAATAAAAATCACGACGTTTCGGAGGCAACACAAGCTTCCGTCTTCAGGTGGTACCGTCACAGCCACGACAGCTGTATCAAGTAAATGAGAGATTGCAGGAGCTACCACTCCGTTTATATAATGGTTGGAGAAGGTGGTGGGGCAAGGGCCGCATAATTATTATTAATATGGTAAGGTGCGGCTTAAGACTAAGAATAGACTGCATAACAAAGGCTGAGCCTTTGTTATGGAGAGGTGCGGTTTGTGACTCAACCTGTGACAGGGAGACCACCACTAAACATGGTAAAACTGTAATGGTTGTCTGTCAAATAAGATTAGCAAATAAGTGTAGTTAAATCTTTTTTGCATGGTTAATCACATCTTTCCAATGATTACTCAGTTTGTAACCGTCATCACGGTTGAAATTATGTCTGTGTTTGTATATTTGTATGGCTTCGTGTACAAACCTTTGATGGTAGCCAGGAGGTTTGCAGAGAACCTTGGTCTCGGAAAATACAATTTCATGAGAGCCCACCGAGTTGTAGCAATGATCGGCAACGGCCGAAGAATCAGTTCTGCCGTGTTTCATTTGATTTTATTTTACTTTTTAATGTTTTACCTACGTGACATTTAACCGAAAAACCCTAAGAATATGGGAGATATTGTCTTTGTGCCCCACATGGTTCATCAATCGTCAGACGCGTGCAGTGTGCGCCAATTAGTAACGGAGGAACAAAGTACCGTCGAGATCGGGAAACCCCAGCCCGAAATCGATGGGAAGTGTTTTGTTCTCTCGGCGTTGCGGTGAAACCCGCGGTCTGACGGGCTGCGGCGCGCGCTCGCATTTAAACGCCGTTAAGTTTGATTGACACGTAAATGCTCAGCGACCAATCATTGACCAATAATTGTTTAATGCTTAGCAATCGCTCCGACGAGTCAATTGCACGCTTCTAGAGAGAGAGAGAGAGGGGGCGGGGAGGCAATTGGATCTCATCACCAGACCATTAGCCGTCTTCCAAATGATGAGCGGCTTAACGCTCCAATATATTTATTAAGCTTTCTGCCTTGATGCCGATGTATTGATCCACGTTGCAGTACTAGCACCACACACTCGGCATATATTATTGTGCTATGTACAGGGTGGTCCAGGTGTCTTGTGACCCTCATTTAATTCTATACAACTTCATATTTATTTCAAAGAGGTTCGATTCATTGCGGGTCGCAAGACATATGGACGATCCGGAACATGGACAACGTCTTGTGAAAAAGACACGTATGGCTCATCAGATTCCTATAGTATGAATACATATTATGATTAAACACACTCGTGGATGGGGGCTTCCTCATTCCCACGCCGCTGTGACAGGATCAACGCTTCACTATGACGGTCAATGCGGGTTTGGGGATGCCCGGGGGAGCATTGGCGTGGGAGCACAGAAGTACGGTACAACAACGGATTTTACGCACTGGCTACCAAAATGTAGCATCGCAGGAACCTTTGTGTAGTAGAGAACTCAGACGCCACGCAGGCGGCGATCCTGGATAGTCCTCGGCTTGGTGATCACAATGCCGTACATGCCGGGGTGTGTGTGCTACGTAGCGGTCAGCAGAGGGCAGTGCAGCCAGCATTCACCGTTGTACTTTACTTGTTTTACACGTCTATGCTCCCCGCATTCAGTGAGTCTAATTCACCAGCGTAAAGTGTGTAAAGCTTCATTCAGAGATCACGGTGACCGTTGATCTCTGAAAGTGCACGTGAGAGCAGTCGCAACATCTTATTAGAATCATTATTGAGACTGGAGGAATACGATGAGCTATGAAGCACTTTATCACAGATGACCAGCAGTGTCTATGTACACATAAAAACACGTGTACATGTCCTATAGGCCTGATTTATCTAGGAATGCATCGATGAGTCTCAACACTTTTTATGGGGGTCCTGTATTGGCCAATTACATTATTTAGTGTTTTCCTGTGGTATAAAACTGGATAGCGTGGAGAAAACTCGCCGTAAATGACGAAATAACTTCCAAAGCTCTATGCAGATACATTCAATAAGCGACTTGCAGGAACATACTGCCTGCTCATGGCCATCTCGTAGCCAAGCAGCGTTATTAATTTCTTAAACCCTTTTAACATTTGGATGGACTTGTCCTCACAATAGAAACGTGGATTTTCCAACTGTGGTGTAAAAGCCTCTGGGAAAGAAATGTGTTTTCTCAAAGAAACTCGAGCCTGACTAGAAGGTTTTTTTAAAACAAATCGAAGTGTGCCCTTGGTCGAGTGAGCATGGGGCAGTGCCCATTTCCTTTGGTGGTCCTCAGAGTAATGCCATTTACTTACCCAGGAAAGCCTTATTGATTCTCAAAGCTCACTTTCAGAAGTACATTTCGTCGTAGGCTTTCACGACCAATATTACGAGCTGAGTTGTTGTTGTTAAACATCTGATGATGCTGGATGTAGTCTCCAGCAAAAAAAAAATTCTTGTAAAAATTCCAAAAATGTTGCTTGCTTTTCTACATTCAGGTTTTGCTGAAAACCCAGAGCAATTGGCATATTTGCCTACGTGACAACTTTATTTGATTGGCTTTGTCGGGTGGAGGGTTATAGTTAAACATTGACATTATACCTCGACGATCTAACTCGGGGAAAAATGAATAATGAATTAACCAGTGTCTGACTTGTGGCCTGAAATTTTAGTCACTGGAGAAAATCCACGTATGCATAAGACGGGGGGGGGGGGGGGTAACACTCAAAGGTCTTCACAAAATAATTAAAACATCCGCTGATATACTGCCATCTCCTTGCCACGTCGCTACCCAAGCCTTGACAACAACACATTAGCTATCGTTGATAAATGTATATTCAACATACCGATAATGGTAGGGAGCACATTAATCAATCGATCAACCGCTGTGGATGGATCGATGAATCGATTGACGGTGATTGATTAATGGATGGTAAGGGGCATCTCTCGTGGGAACTCTGCAGAGCTCCTCTGGGTAGTATTTTGGCCTTCACATGTGTCTTGGACGAGACGGGAGTGCCCACGTGTTGCCCCACCACGCGTCGCTGGGGTGCACCACATTCATACAGCGGACGGAGGGAGTGGACATTTCAGAAACGTACCCATTTTTCAACTGCCGCATCCAGAGGTCGGATAAAATCGAAGACCGATGGATTGCAGGTGCAATGTACCAAATCATGCCACCATGGCCGCATTACCCCTGACATTTAACACCACGGTGGTGAGATGTTAAATACCTCGCCTGGTATGCAGGGGGTCGTAGGTTTGATCCCGACCCTGCCGCCTGTTGTATATTTGGAGTTTGAATGATCTTTCTGCCCGTGGTCGTGTGGAATTGTCTCCGACTCCTCCGGGTTTTTTCCCCTCCACATTTCTAAACACGCGTTTAGAGTATTTGGCTGCCGAACATTTCCACGCGATAAGCCACTTTGTTGGCCTATCATTTGTGGCCAGATCGCTTTTAGAAGAAAAAAAAGAGCTGTATAGCTCAGTGGGCCCTTTTACCTGGTTAAAAAAAATGCAATGACGGCTCAAATTGACTGCAACACTCACGTCGAACCTTACCCCCCCTCCCCCCTCCCCCCGTACCCCCACCCGTACCTGACAGTTCCGCAGGTGTCTGCAGGTCCTGGTGCTGCCCAAGCGCAAGCCGCGGCGCCGCGCCTCCTCGCTCGCCGAGCACAACGCGCGGTGGGGCTTCCCTCTCGCCCACCACGTGGGCAACAGCAGCGCCGCCGCCGCCGCTACTGCGCAAAGCGTCGGTGGCGACAGGCCCAGGAAGAGGGTCACCTTCAGCTCCTCGTCCGTTGTCTTCATCATCTTTCCCGACGACGCCGTTCAGAGGAGGGCCCAGGACGGCGCGGAATCGGAGAGATTCTGATTGAAAACTAAAACTTGTTATTCTATCTTACCAGGTAAGGGGCCCACTGAGCTGTATAGATCTTTGTTTTTTTTCTCTCGAAGCGACCTGGCCACAAATGATAGCTCAACGGAGTGACTTATGTGGAAATTAATAGCAGCCATATACCCTAAATGCATGTTTCTAAACGTGGAGGGGGAAAACGGAGGACCCGGAGAAAAATCCACGCGACCACGGAGAGAACATGCAACCTTCAAATATACAGCAGCAGGCGTCAGGGTCGGTATGGAGCCCACAACCTCCTGTATACCGGGCGAGGTAGTTAACATCTCGCCACCGTGACGCCCCGAAGCAACGTGTGCGATTGACGAGATGGAGATACGGAGAGAAGAATGGGACTCACGTCATCGAATATGTGCGTTGTATTCCACGGAGCAGAAGATAAACTCTGTCTTGTTGTACGGCGAGATTAAGTCAGCCCATCATCTGTCGTCTCCCCCTTCTCCACACAAGGTCATTAAAGTGTGTACCGCATTGTGGAACGTTTTAATATATAAAGAGACTGGTAGTGGTCAGGGCCATGCCGTATCAATGTGACATTTACACCACTGACTTTACGCCAACAATGAGCACTTTCTTGCGAAGGGAGACTGTTTTTAAGTGAGTGTATCCTCGTAGACATGTCCCGTGGATCTTTTAACGATGATGTCAGAACTGTTGGGGTTTTTAGAGGCATTATGAACCCTCCAAAGAGAATTTTTATTAACTGTTGGACGCATTAAAGGAAAATATTAACAGAGTGTATGATTGTGAGCTGCGGAGAGGGATAATTGGCATGTGTGCGGACGGGGTATTCAATATGATCCACACAATGCGTGTGACTATGCCGTCTACTACAGGGATTGTACGCGTGTGCCCATGCACAGAGACAAAGATACCCCGTATAGCATTTAACAGACTGTTGGGGCAAGTGCTGTTAGCGAGTAGCGCTTATGAAGGCTGGCATGGCACACGAGGGGGTGGGTGGCCAGCACCACGCCCGGTCGCCTTTGTCTCTCTCGTGGCGATATTTACACACCGCACCAGGTACTCATTTGAGAATGAGTTGACCTAGGGAAAGCCAGGACCGGTTCAGATAATCGTCACTGGTGTTGGCCGTGAGCGGAAATCGAACTCGGGTCACCAGGTTCGTAGCGCAGCGCGCTAACCGCTACACTACCGCTCCCCATACACGCGCGCGTGCACACATTTCTTATTTCGTGTGGTTGGAAGTTGATCAACAATATTTATATGCTGATATCGAGCGAGTATGGATGAGCCAGTGGACGACTTCAGTTGTATAGCCCGATGGCTATCTGAAACGCTGCAAGCATATTACATAATCGATTTCCACACCACGTTGACTTTTATTCATCAGCCTTGCCAAAGGCTGTTTGTCCACGTGCCGAGTGCGTGTCTGCAAGAGAAAAACATTACACCACCTGCAGATGACCTTGAATTGCATGAGAAATGACGCGTGCGGACACGTGCAGACACTGGACAAATTATAAATTTGTTATTTTTGTGTACCTGTGACTGTTTCATTGTTGCCAGCAGCACCGGTCACTGAAAATGGTTTCAAAACTGCATAACCCCCCCCTTGAGGCAGGCCAGCGGCATGACCCCACCAGATCGACATCCAGAATCTTTATTTTTATATATACTGGAGGAATCCGATGAGCTACTACACAGCTCTTTTTCACCGATGTCCTGTCGGGCCGAGTCAGAAAGTTACAACAACAAACTATACAAACATACGATAGGATTGCAAAGGATAGGAAAGCTAAGGAAATCACAAACTAAACTATTTTATATTATTTTATAAGCGACCTAGCCACAAACGATAGCTCAACGAAGTGGCCTATGGTCATGCCACAACTACTACAATCTACACATATTTCTTTTACAGCAGTTCTACTCAACGCATACCCTGCAATTATGATGTAGAAATATAATCACGACGAGCACTTTGAAACCAAACAAGACTCAAGTTGTTGTACAACTGTATTACTTGTGAAAAATAAGAATAGGTTTTACCCTTCGTGGCAATAAAACAGGTGTTTAGGTGTTGAAACACCAACAGAAGCCTTTTACAAGGCTCCAAGTATTCATTAGCCACACGAAATTGTGGTGAACATGCTCTGATGATCATATATGCATTGTCTTTGAAACCGATTGGCCTACGCCAGTTTCAAAGACAATGCCATCCATACATTACCAGAGCATGTCTTTTTTGCATGTTCACCACAGGTACGTGTGTAATGCAGACTTGATTCCTTGCGAAAGGTTTCTATTTGGTCAGTTTAACACGGAGGCTTTCGCGACCAATATCATCCATAATAGAGGTTTTTGGGTTAGATCGCGATCTAACCTACAAAACCTCTATTATGGATATCTATTTGGTGTTTAAACATCTTAACATCTACCCGTTTTATTGCCAGAAAGGGTAAAACCTATTCTTATTTTTCATACTTTGATACTGGCAAAATGGTTCCATGATGTATTACTTATATAAACACTTCAAACGTCTATATCCAGCTCTTTGTGAATCCGCGTTAATCTATTTACTTTTATATATAAACAGATTTAACCTGGATAATCCTGTGAGATGGAATCTCTCGTTTGCAAGCGTTCGCCATACATAGCCGTGTAGGTCGTGGAGAAGTTTTAAACCAAACTTCACCATCCTGTTCATTGCGTGGTGAAGGGGTTAGAGCTGGTTGCAGGCACCGGTTCAGATATCACTTACCATCAGTCATGGTAGCCCTGGCCTGGGATCGAACTCATGCTGCCGCATTCGTAGCGTAATGCGCTAATCATTGCGCCACCGTTCCATCCCAATTACGTCTACACACACGGGATATATCTAATATGAGAAGTCTAAGCTCGCGGATAAGGATAGTGTCATTTGGAGGCGCACACATTGCGTGCTATCTCTTCACAATACTCACAAAGTCCTTTTGTGAACCACCTCCACACACATACAATACGCGTGGTCCATTCATAAATCATAAAACCACGCCGAGCTCACACCGCCAGGAAGAAGATAAAATAATAAATTAAAGAAATAGCAACTATTTCTTTGCTATTTCTTTTATACCTGATGATGATTGCTTGTGTTGCAATCGAGACGTCGTATTATGCTATTATTTAATTTATTATTTTATCTTTATATACGTGACTTTACCGAAAGAACCAAAGAATAACACACAAGGTCCTCGCCGCGCACAAATAAACAACTGCGCCTTCAAGCGGCGCGCTTTGGCCGTCCTGTTGAACGTGTATCGCGTCACGCGTTCGACAGGGTGCAACACATCCACCGAGCTTAAGAAATCGCCTTTAAATCACTCTCGGTTTTGACAAATTATGCTTTCCATTAATTCTAGATTTGAAGCTTTCGTGACTGCAAGGATTCATACTCTTAGTTCTTTCGGTAAAGTCACGTAGGTAAAAATTTAACCTGTGACAGTTTCACCTGAAGACGGAAGCTTGTGTTGCCTCCGAAACGTCGTGATTTTTATTGTTTTATTTCTATTCATTTTAATTTCATTTTTTTTACCTACGTGACTTTACCGAAAGAACTAAGAGTATGAGGCTTTCCACCCAGTTACTGAGTTTGCCGCAGCTGGCCTCTCTGTGCTCCGTGAGGAAGGGCCGTTGACCAAAAACGTCGCCTAATATATATCTTCATTTCGAAGGCCACATTGTGATTGAAGAACGTGTTGAGTGTCGTTATTATTTGTGATTGTGCAGCAGCAGCACCACATCACCCAATAATTTGTGTTAAATGAGCAAGTATTTATATTCCGAGCTCAGAATCTAAGCACGGACGTCTGGTTACTACTTGCAGGGATGGATGACCACTCGTCTATTAAACTAAAACTATTAAACTATGTTTTATTTTACCAGGCCCACTAAACTATATAGCTCTTTTTTCAGAAGCGACCTGGCACAAATGATAGGGGCCGTCCATTGTAGTGCGTATTTAATGTGGCGCTGCACTCTGATGTTGTAGGAGAAAACATTTATTAAAAAGTCTATTTAATTAAGCAAAACGTGTTGTCTATATTTATTTAAAGTTGCGCATTTTGATGTGACGTCACATTTCTCAACGCCCCCCCCTCGTCACACATCGTCACAAATGTCTGACACCCCCCCTCCCCCCCCCAGGTGCGTGACGTCATTTATGGACGGCCCCATAGCCCAATTAAGTGCCTCATCATCGCAGGCAAATACTCTAAAAGTTCAAATGCATGTTTCTAAATGTAGAGGAAAAAACCGGATGACCCGGAGAAAAATCCAAGTGACCACAGGTAGAACACGCAAACTCCAAATATACAGCAGCAGGCCCCTTGGTCGGGATCGAACCCACGACCTCCTGTATACCACGCGAGGTAGTTAACATCTCCTAGCCACCGTGATGATCATGAGAGACGCAAACTCCAAATATACAGCAGCAGGCGTCAGGGTCGGGATCGAACCCACGACCTCCTGTATACCAGGCGAGGTAGTTAACATCTCGCCACCGCGACGCCAACACATCTTGCGAGGTGTTGTAGGAGTGGGGCTGCGAGGTATGGCCAGTAGATGGCAGTGCTGAGTGTGCCAACCCTTCGTGTGCGTGTTGGCATTGTCCCGTGATCTCCCGTATTCTGCCACGAAATAATAAACAAATGCTCGTTCATGGCATTGGCCCAAAATATCCCAATTTACGAACCTCCTGCAACTTGTTTTGAAACTCAGCTATGCGTTCCTTACTTTAGTGATTGGCATTAGAGTACGGTATTGTTAATTTTATTATTTAAAAAATGCATTGTTGTTATGTTCACATACAAAGTAAGCAGAACTAAAGGAGAAGATTCAATGCTTTTAATGTGTCTCTGACTTTTCAAATATCACATAGAGGAGTTATTACATTCTGGTATATCATTATAAGTTATACACAAATGTATTATTATTATAATTATTATCATCATCCACAGTGTCACAATAAACTCATCCCTGCAATCTCCTACACCCTCCTATGGCATGCAACATGCATACACGGTACTGTATATATCCACATGTAGCCTATACATGAGTACAAGGTGTCTATTGTAGGCACCGCATTTAATATTGATAATCACAGGAGCCAAATATGCAATGGACTCAATTACTTAATCGGAATACAAAATGGAATATACATCAAAATGCTTGTTATACGACAAAGACAATAGCATGCATGACTATAGCAGCCCCAGTTCTACATTAAGTACATAGCACATCTGATATAGTGTCTAGATATACCGGATATTGTGTTAAAGCCAACCACGCAATTAGTGACCTCTGCAATTAAACGATTAACCCTCATTGCTATGTTTGTTTAATCTAGGCGAAAACAAAAACACACATACATCAACGTAGCAGCACTTGCACTTCAGCAGTCAACGTGATTCGGCACATGCCTAAGGTCTAGCAGCTCATTAAGTATAACAGTATCCCAGCTATGCTACCACGATTATTACTACTACTACCACCCTGCCACCTTACGACAACTGCAAATCACACACATTTCAATGTCTTTCCCTTGACCTTGACCCACAGTATAACTCAGCAGATTGTTTGAGCGCGGACCCTAATCAAAAACAACTAAAGCCGGATCACACACCTGCGCGATCCGCGACTGCTTTGTCCACATCTGAGCGACCAGTTGCGCCGCAAGGACATTTAAACGGCGCGGTCAGGACTGTAACCACCAATCACGGCTCGCGAATGTGCTCAAAGTACGTGTCGACAAGTCGCCGAGCAGATCGCTGGAATGTCGTCGAGTCCATCGACTGGAAGCAACTGATTGGGCAACTTGTTTTTGCAATCGGTTGCTGCAGAGACGTCCACATACGTAGAGCAGACGCGACCTCGTTGCATGCTGTGATCACGATTAACAGCTCAACTCACGTTCGTCGATAACAGTTGCATGGTAGCAAGTTGAACAACTCATCGCTCAGGTGTGACAAGCGGTATAACAGTATCCCAGCGAAACATTTGGCTCCAGTTTATATTTTCTTCTTCTAACACACTTGTGATTGCTTGTGCGCATTACAGAAATGTTTTCTCTTTTCGCTCGTTTTCGCTGCAGCTGCATACATCTCATTTGCAAGCGTCCCTCTGCTGTTTTAAACAGACGCGCTGTGGTTTGCGTTTTAAGACTCCTTTGAAATCTGACCAGCTGTAAACCAACGGCGTTTATCACCAACAATCCCGTGGGATCCCATGGTTAATGTGATATAAGCACTTGGAAACCAGCTCTAGCGTATATATATTGCATGCATACATTCTCTTTAACAAAGCAAATCCGCACTCTTTCTATTTGGCCCTTAATAGCATGTTAGCTTATTTTTTTCTTTAAGGAATTTTAAGACGTGCACAGTTATAGTTTTAAATACACACGGACAAGTTGGACCGTACCGTGCATGTCTAAGACAGAACATCGTACCATATATATCCTTTATATGTAATATGTCGTTTATAAAGACCAGCCCACGCTTGCAGATTGTCAACTGTTATGTGAGTCAAACAAAATTGCAATTCAATGAGAAAAGATTGAGCGCAAGTGTTGCCAATGGAGGTTGCTTTAATCGTGATATCTGGCTCTGTGGCATTCTGATGTATTGGACACTGCACCAAAGTACGATGGAGCGCTGTTGCGCAATGCATCATCCCAATCGTCCCATTCTCTATCAGCTGTTGGATGAAGGCACCGCCCCATGCGACAACCATCATCCCTCCGTCACGTGCCCATGATGCGCATCGATGCATTATTATTAAGAGTACCGCATAAGCACAATTATTGTTATACGGTTTCATAATGGTGTTTATTACCGATAACAAATACAATAATTATGTGGGCCTGAGAATCTGGGTTCGAACTTGTATCACCCTTCTACTCTCTACCCCAGACTCTAGACGGCGCTTTAACTGACGATGTTCTGTTTGCACATTAACGGGACATTCTAATCGCATTCGGGGACGCTGGGCGACCCGGAGCTCACACAATACAAAGTGGAGTGCTCTTTTTAGTAATGTTAAAACCGCAGCCACAGTGCAGTGAACATTAGGGTCAGGACTTCGTTTCTAATAGAATATTCTCCGACTACCCCTCTCTGCCTTGCCCCCCCCCCCCTCCAACAAAAACCCCCCAACTGGCCCCCCTCCCCTCTCCTCGACAGAGAGGTCGTCGTGGAGGCTTCAAACTCAAATCCATGGGCACAGAGCGAACTGAGATCATTGGGAGCCAACATCGTCACCATTATCATTTAAAGACTGCACTTGCACACAAGGCTTAATGCCGTTACCTGTAACTCTGGAATGTAGCGTATACACACACACACACACCAATGCATCGTTTAAAGGAATACATATCACTCTTAAATAAAGACTTGAAACATTAGCTAAGTAAAAGAAACAAACGCTCAAAAAAGAGCAAAATGTTTCACGAAAAAAATAAGAACACATCTGGACAAATAATCACAATGATCATCATAATATCAGGCTCGCTCACGAACCAACTTCGATCGTTCTGCATCTCCGCCCAGCGGCTGGGTGAGTGGTGCTGGTCACAGGTGAGCAGCGGGTACACAATGCGGGCTTCTCGGAACCCGCCGGCAGTGGTTTCAGAACAACGGTCCATGGGTCGTAGCAGCACGGGTTCAGTGCCATGTGTAGACGCGGGGACCCCAGCCAGCCGAGGCACTCCACTTCTCCCTTCCCTCCGCGGGTCCCTCGAGTCGCATCGCGCTCACGGCGACCACAGCGGATAGACAAGGAGCTCGGCTCGACGAAGGAAGCTCACGACGAGGCAGCGCGCACGCAGGAAAGGGCCCCGGGTGCAGGCGATGAAGGCGGGCGACGTGACGGATGAATGAACGCGCGCGTCAAACAAACGGGCGCAGTGACCGCGGCTGTGCGCATGCAGTGATGGGCGAACGGTGCGGCGACCTGGAACGGCATCGCCACCACGCCGCCGCTCCTCTTCCACCTCCTCCTCCTCCTACCGCCTCGATCAAGCGTCACAGCTGGCGGTAGAGCTTCTGCGCTTGCCTCTCCTTGGCCTCGAAGGCCGTCTTGGTGTCATGCAGGCTGCTCAGGTCCTCGTGTACCTGGCGCAGGTCGGCGCTGAGCTCGTCGCTCTTGGCGTGCAGTCGCTCGCTCTCGTCGCGCACCTGCCTGGCCAGGCGCTCGTTCTCGGCGACCCGACGGTTCGATTCCTCCTTCAGTTTCTCGACCTCGGCCGCCAGCTCCTCCACATCCCTTGTCAAGTCCTCCATGGTGGCAGGAGGGCGATTGTGGCACGCCGACTGTGCGCGTGTGTGTCTCTCTCCAGAGGTCTCTGTTACCCGCCTGCCTCGCTCTGTGATGAGTGGGGCGTGTGCTTTGTCCTCTGTGTGTGTGTGGTCCGTACTACGACAAGCGCGAGCCGAGCCGAGCGATGAATAAGTTGATTTTTGTTTCACGTCGCTGTTGCTACTGTTGATGATGCAATTGCACAGGCTGCGATCAGAAAGCTCGTCGTCACTTGCAGACGCTGCAGGTGTCCCCGATTAAGAAGAAGAATGATCGTAGGATTTGCCAACAGCAGCAGCAGTACTAGCAGCTGCGAGTGATCAGCTTACCAGTCGCGTAATAAGAACCTGTATGAAGCAATTCGCGAGATAGCAATCATGCAACAATAGCAATGATCCACCACGGGCAATAGGCAAGAGGCGCAGCGCTAATCAAACGCACGCACGCAACAATATGAAGGTCACCGCAGACAAGACACTCCGCATATCCCCGTCTCGCTAAAATTCCAGCCTTGGCACAAACTGGCCCCGAAGACAGCAGCGAACGACCTCCGGTGCAGCCGCCGCTACCGCTTGGCCGGTGCGCACAGGTCTCCCCCGTCAGGCAGCTCTCACAGCTGGCGGTTGAGTTTCTGCGCCTGTCGCTCCTTGGCTTCGAAGGCGACCTTGGTGTCCTGGAGCTGCTGGATGAGATGCTTGGCCTCGCGCAGCTCGTTCGCCATCTGCGCGTACTTCTGCTCCAGGTTATTGTTGTCTCTGCGCATATCCTGCACCACCCCGTCGAGCTCCTCGCTCTGCTTGGCGAACTGCGCTTTGATTTGCGCCACATCAGCCGCGATCGCTTCGATGGTCGTGGCCAGGTTGTCCATCTTCTCGCCGGACATCGCTTGCTTGCCCCACCACCCCTTCTTAATCCTTAATTAAACGGTGCCCCCCCTTTTTCGTGTGCTGTCTACGTGCGCGCGGCGCGTGCGATGATGAAAACGCGGAGCAGGCTACGGCGACCCTGGCATCGAGAGAGACGGACAGATGTCTTCTGTGCACGAGAGCGCGCGTCCTTTGCATGCGGGAAGAGAGAACAGGGAAAAAAAAATACTGCTACAGCCGAGGCGGCGGTGCAGCTCCGACCCCGTCTTTTTTTTTTATCGCGAATGGGAACAATTGCTCTCTCCTGCGGGCACTCACTCTGGGGGTGGGCTTAAGAGCGGTAAGCAGCTTGTGTTGCTATCTATAGCCGGAATCCCACCGTGCAGCACTCCATTAAGATTACACACGTTAATGCGCATTTTAACGCTGAGCGTTAAAGCGTTCGCTTTTAGCCCCCTCTCATCCTCTATTGCGCATTGCTGGAATACAAAGTTGACTCCCCCCCCCCCCCCCACATACACACTAAAAGCTTTGGTATAATGATCGTGATACATTATCTGGTCTGGATGACATAACCCTTTACTCACATATACATATAAATAGCATGGGTATTTGTGTCCGCGCGTGAGTGCATGCGCCTTGCATTGACAGGTGAAATGCGGGCGAAAAGCAGATTGGCCTAAAGGAATTGTAAATCACGAACTGAAAGAGGCTAACCCCGCAGTCTTTGCTAAGGACCATTGACTGTGACCAATCCTTACCACTTGGGTTGCGTTTAAAATGTACACTGCAGATGGATGATTGCGAAACGCGATTAAGATAATTGGCCAAGGCTGGTAGAATTAGATATCGGTCTGACCCATGCACCTACTCCAGGTTTGAAATACCAATCAATAGGCCGATGCATTTGACAGCTATAAAGACTGGGTCAGTGTGACATTCATCACAGCTTCATCTAATCTCGTCATATAAAAAAGCCACGGAATCAAATTGTGGTGCGGATTGCATATCAGGTGCAAGTTTCTAGTTGGCGCTACAACGCGCATCCTGGGTACCAATTACCGCCACTCCAGCCACTTAAGCAAACACAATGCAGTTAATAATAGATACAACACCGTCTCATTACTCAAATTCGCCCTGCAGCGGCCCTTGTTTCACAGAGCGCTTTTTTCTTGCGTTGCACATTCCGATTCCCATCGTAAAATTTTAAAGGTGGGGGGGGGGGTAATACAGCGAAACCGTTGGAACTGGCTCTGGCACAACACCGAGAAAAACGGGATACTAATTTATGGGAACAGATGGTGCTGTATTTTTGGCGAAAATAAATCAGTTTCATAACAGTGAATTAAACCGCGATTTTGCGGACGTTGGGAATTTAACCCAAAATGCAATTAATGCAAAGCAGTCCCATCTGATGTCCGTTTATGCATTTAAACATTACGCGTCTGGGGTCAACGCAAGCAGAACACAGCTTAGGCGAGGGTAGGATATATTGAGATACGTTTACACCTCAAAAGCCGCCTACGTTTTAAGTAAATGCCAATGCATGTGAAACTCGAGTACATTCCCATCAAACAAAATTGAAGCGATGGAAATTGTAGTCGAGGAGACGTGGTGGATTTCAAAGATTAACCATGCATTGAAATTTGTCGGATCACCTTTGGAAGTTGTTTTCATGCACAATTTACGATGCGATTGGTACAAATTCTGCACATTCAAATGGCTAATGGAAGTGCATTAACTGATAAATCCAAGCGAGTACCATTTATCACAGCATTGCATCCGCAGTCATGTCTTTAATTTTCATTTGGACAACCGTACTCAGCCACATATCGAAACTTACAAAGTTTATTCAGGCGTGGACTGCAAATACTGTAAAAAGCAAATTGATGACACAGGCTACCGAAACAAAAAAAACAAAAATTACCCTGACAGCAATTACCACATACTCTTGCAGTCGATGCAAATCATAGCCATTATCCACCACAACTTTCTTATCTATTCAAGTCATGAAAGAGAAATCGATATTTACAAAACGTCTGGAGTAATTTAAACTGCGCACAGCAGTGTATGTGCATAATACAAATGCATGGTCATGCATTCGTATCAACAGGGTTCAGCTGTGATATAAAATGTTCCTTTCACCTGCTCCGTTGAGTTACTTCACCAACAAGTTGCTACCACAACAGCAGAGGGGGTAAAATCAAAACCCAAAATATAGTATGTATATGCACACACATTCCCACATCTTATTTGAAATTCGTATTGTGAGTAAATTTCCAGCTAATGCTGCAGACATTTGGTGCCAAACGCAAAACAGAAAAAAAACATTAGCTCTTGGTGCTGAATTTCAATCTCAATTAAAAGAAATTATCACCAACTTTGAAACAATGCACTTCAGACACGACGATGTCCTTTCGTTAATCAAATTTTATAGATACAAGTGTGTATGTGCCAATTGGAGTGTGTTTTAATGTGAAAAACTTGAGGCGCTTTAACATTTCCAGCCAGTTTGCAAGATGACATTCACATGGTTAATTTGAATGTTGTCAAATCAAACTTAAACAGTCGTTAAAACTGTACATGTCCCAATTACCCACCCCACAGTGTATAAAACAACACAATTATTCTGTTGAATAAGCGTTTTTGCAAATAAAGTTCTTTTTTATCATTGAAAAAGCCAAATTCAAATGCAATCCATGTAATGACAGTAATTTATGGACATCAAATTTGTAAAATGTTTAAAATGATAGTTTTTTTATCATAACCCAAGCAAAAAGAAAATCATTTACACTGCTTTATTCAAAATATGCATGTGTTTACTCGACAGAAAACACATTCCCTGTACATTGATTCCTGCCTTCACAAATGGGATTCAGATATCGTATAGGCACCAATTGTTTTCATTCTGATAGTTCTGGTAGCTGCTTGACATTGTATCCTTTTCACATGCAACATCGAATCATAAGCCACATCATGTCAGACTTATGCCTCTGAAATCAGGCTACATTCTATCAATGTGGATAATCCAGTTCTATGTGAGCACACCTGGTAAAACAGAAAACCGAAACAGTAAAAAAACGTTGAACCACTATGGTCCAAAAGGTGACAGCCACAGATCTGGCAAGAGGAGCCAGGCTGAACGTGAAGCTTTCATTTCACAAGCCCAAACTTCTTGGCTTCTGTTTCATAGATGAGCAACCTCCACATCTTCACCACAAACACCTCTGCCTCATCATCCAGCACCTGCATGGGACAAGATGATAAAGATGCATAGAAATTAGGATGAATGCACAAAACTAAGCCATCATGGGCATTCACAAGAAGTGTTTTAGCAATTTGAAACTCCATAATTTTCATGGGCAAAACATCCACCCAATTCCTCTCTACCTTGAGATGTCTAAAATGTTCAGTTCACCCACCCCTGCCCACAACCCTCCTTTCATGTGGAAACACCAACCTTGATGTAAAGGAGACGTGTCATATCTGGCACATGTTATCTGCCAATTGTAAGTTACAAGAGGATAAACCCCTCTTCAACGTCTTGCAAAACAAGAACGTTTCTGAATATATACAGCAGGCAAGTTGTCGGTCTAAATAAGAAAATTACATTTGTGAGTGTGACGCTCATGGTGCTTGAGGCTACGAGAGTGACCATACTAGAGTCCCCACTAAAGCATTGATATTTATTGCACTTTCTGCAAAAATAATACACATCTGTCTTGAGTGATTACATTTCCTGACATAAACATTCCGTTGCACTAATCAGTGCAATGCCATTTGGCTATTGCTTATTGCCGGAAGCACCATTGAATTTCTAGATTTTCACATGACCAATAAAAACCTACAGTGTATATTTTACCCTTGGATTAATCTGCAAAGTTCAGCACTGCAAGACATTTAATTAATGTGCCCTTTATGACCTTGCCATTTAAAATTATCCAGTGTAATCTAAAATGCCTGACCAAAATAGCACATGCTAACCCCCAAATGCATTCAGCAAGTACACGCAGTTCACCGCAAAACACTTCTCTCATAAATCATCCAACCGCTTGTCAACAATTACCTGCGCTCCATGTGCCTGAATTCAGACGTGTGTTACAGAATCACAAATTGTAAAAAATGAAACCTCAACTCACCATTGACACATCGTCGAGGATGCTCTGTGGGGCACTGTGGGCCAAAATCTGCAACGGAACAAAATATCAACACCCGAGTCAGAAATGCAATAGGAGACATTCAGTTACATTTGACAGCAGCAGCGAAATTGGAAATAATGGCCGTGTATACAATGGTGAACATAAATCATGATGAGAAGAGAATGCTAACATTTACCAACCTACCTTAGTACATATGAACTCAACCAACGTCGGTTCCTCCTCTCCAATGTACTCAATGATTTTCTTGTTGATCCAAGGTTTCACTCGCCGCTCCATAAGAGTCTGCAACAAAGAAGAAAAACTTCATCAACAGCGTCTGAAAACAAAATTATCCCGTGTGTGTAGTAGTCTGCAAACACTACTACACAATACGAAGATAAAATACATTAAATAGTGTCGTGTAAACCCCACCCAGGGTTTTGCTCATTTGGTAGGCTTAGTTTCATCTCGCTCCAGCAAGGAGGGAGACATTTAACCAATGTGAATCGCTCTCTAAATCTGGGAATCTGCCAATGTCTGCCACCATATGAACACATTAATATAACTATTTAGTTACACATAACTTAACAGTACATTTCATATTTTAACATTCATTGAGCAAATTACCATCATGAACTCAAAGTTAAGTTACAAATGGAAATAATTCCAATGGACTTCACCACATTGACTACATAGCTACCCCAATGCAGACAGATGAAGCATTTGCACAAGATGTGACTGTGACCAAATCACCCAGAATATGCCCAGCCTCATAATACATGGGGGCAACTAAGCAGGCTTGAGATTGCATTGTAATAGGATGGCAACCATCATGCATAAAACTGGGTGGTGCAAGCTGCTGCAGGGGCTGCTGTCAGTAGGAGGCAGTGCAGAAAAATCCACTGTTGTATTGTACTGACACCTTCACCAATCTGCACTGACCATAATTGCAAAGTATGGTTAAATCGCCCCCATGACCTCCGGTGTGTGGAGGAAACCCTAGTTTTGGCCATTAATGTAAAGTTTATTTGCCACACAGTCCTCTGATGTTAAGTACGCCACGTAAATATTGGATTGAGTGACTATCCGTTGACAAAAGATGCACGCATGCACATGTCGACGCGCATGTGCACGCTCACCGAATCAACCATGGTCCAGTCAAGAGTGTAGGCGAAGAGCTCGGGCTTGGCGGTGGGGATCTTCTCGATGAGGCTCTTGATGTGCTTGCGCTTCTCTTCGCTCGACGCCACATTCTTGTTGCTCGGCAGATCCGTGGAGACGCTTGCTCGCTCCTCCTCCGTGAAGTCCAGGGGCACGAGCTTGCGCCGCTTGGGCGCCTCCTCGTTGTCCTCGTCGTCTTCGTTGGAGAAGATGTTATCCTGGGAGAGCGCATTTGTGTTACGGGCAATGGACGGCTCCTGCAGTAGTGTCACTCTAAGACCTTTTCTAGGATTTAAAAGCAGAAAGGCAAAAACCCTCAAACCAAAACAACGCAGAATGCATCTGATCTCATCAGACCTTAGAAGCTAAGGAGGGTTCAGCCTGGACAGCACTTAGGTGACCACCATTTATAAACAGGTGCTGTCGGGTAAACGGTCGCAGAGGGTAGTACAGAAAAATCTGTTGCTATACTGTACTTATCCTCCCACCTTCACCAAGCTGTACTGGCCAGCATTATCAAATAGCACCCATGACACACAACACAAAGCAAGGCCCCAATCCAGCAGCAGTGGATCGACAAAAGGGCTGCATAAGTACGAGATAAAAATCAGCCCCGTGTAATGCAACCGGTGCATTAGCGAAAGAGCACTGCACTCTCATCATATAAAAATTTGAGTAGCTTTGTCATTAACACAATGGGTGTGGGTGGCATACAATTGCCTGCATGAAAAAAATTGAAATGTCAAAAGCAACTGTAACCACCAAATCACTACTGGAGGAATAGGAGAGTGCATGGTTTGGCAGAAAGTTTGGCCACCAAGAAATTACCTTGAGCTTCTTCCGCTTCACGTTCCCCGATCCCAGTGACATTGGGCTGTTGTTTGAGCCGGCTGTGGGCGAATTAAAAAGGCAATGTTGGAAAAAAAGAGCACGACACATAAAACGAACACAGTAAATCACACACATCCATTATGGTGATTGATGAAAGTCATCGATATGCGTAATAAATCAAACGTGTGCTGCTGCTGCGTGCATATGTGGCAATCCATTCGTTGCGCCTTTACTTTGAAAAGATGAAAACATGGAAAATAAATACACAAATTAAAGCTCTTTTTTAAAAGGTATGCATTGAATATTGAGTATAATTAAATTTTCCACATATAATAGCTGCCAAGGCTACGTAAAACCTGATGCGAGAGAGAAGAGGTGCCTGGCAGAGAAAGATATGAATGATGTGCAAGGTGACGATGTGATGCAGTACTGTTGAGATGAGGTTAGTGTATCACCGAGCTATTATCATATGCATTGGACAATACACGATGACAACATTTCCATTGCGTGACAGCACAAGTAATTTACTAGCACCTTTATGCAGACTTCAGAATATTTTTGCAATGAAACAAATTGTGGTTTCCTACCAAATCAAAACTACTTATTGCCCAATTATGTATTTTTTATGCAGAAATTACTGACTAAATCTAGAGATCACGAGTTCAATTGTAGTTATAACATCACTAAACCACCATGCCTTGAGGGTCCATAAGTTCTATACACTTTGTCCTCAATAGAAAGGGGATGTCATATGAATGTACAATTTACATCATAAGCTCAGTTAGAGGTGAGCACCAGAACTTGCTCATGAGAGCATGGACGAGAAATGCAACGATTCAATTAAATGTCACTATTCTGGAACATTTGATTCAAGAATCTATTCTTTGTGGCGTTGGTCTCTTATGGCTCGTCTAATTCATTTGTAGTCAAGTAGTCTGTACTGCGGATCACCATCTCATTTCTATGATCTCTTTAGTCTTGTCTTATTGGTTCTGATCAACAGCAACAGGGAAAGCATTTGCATACAATATTCACGAAATTCAAACTGATTCTATTCCATGTAACATTCTGTGCATATAGCCTGAACAATTCACAGTATCAAATGAAACATTCCACATATCGTGAGACTTTGAATCACTATATTAATAATGGGCAATTCCACAAATTAGACAACTTTAGTCAAAACTTCAAAATCTTCCTCATAACAGACATTTGTGTCACTTTGAAAGTAACTATATCTCTTGTTTTCTAAAATATGGCTTATATATGCAAAGTGACATGAACTAAGATTAATTCGGCATCAATTCCATAGCATGGATGAAAAAGCCAGTGTGCCCAAATACATCTGACACCATGGCATTAAATAAGCATTTCTATTTTAATGAGAAAGGTAGATAAATTAGTTCTACCTCAATTAAAGTCCGAATTGGTTGACACACTAGATCCAAGTAGAAGAAATCCATTTAATAATTGTACAAACGTGTTTAAAGTGTTTGAAATGTCTTAAGTCATATAACTGCACTAGTTTACTCGAGTAAGCATGCTTGTGATAAAGCGAATAAAATACCATATTTTTACCCGTACAGGTTTAATTATTCGCTGCTTCTCACTCATCCAGGCAGTGACTCACGGTAGTTTTAACCGCACATACACGGGCAAGTGATAACTTTAAGAAGCGGTAAGATAGATGAAAAAATTCTACATATTTACCCCCAGACTATTTAAGGGATACATAAGTACTGTTTTGCATTATTCATGTTTTGATTTATCAAAGCCATCCCTCTCCTACATTACCCTAGACAATCAAGAATTGACTTGTTAAAAGTAAAACGTTTGGATATGCATATTTTTCAGTGTTTTCCAATATGCGTTTAGTCTCTGAAGTATTTTCTTCAATTTATAACAATGTCTTGACTGCACAATGAAATCACGTCACATGGCACATGAAGTGCCATTGTAAGATTACATCACACCTAATGATGTCACCTAGAGGCCATGATTGTAAAGTTTTGGTCAACATTACGATGAATTTGGCCAGCTTCCGAAAGCGTGAATCCCAAATTGCAACACATTACAGTTTTGTATTAAACTGGATCATCTCTCCCAGAGTATTTATGTTTGTCGCACCTTTCGTAGCCAACCGTGCTAATCGGACGCGTGGGGAAGGACAACAAACTAAACGCAACAAGCAGTTCTAAAGAAGATCATTTTTACAGTAGCTTCCTAATATCGAAAGAGCGTTCCAGACGGTCGCTGAAGCGCATCTGACAGCGCGCTCGATTTCACTTACTCAATTTGAGGCTCAGCTTGGGCTTCTTGTCCTTCTCGTCGGGCTGGCTGCGCGTGGGCGAGTTCTCGTGCGGGATGATGATTCCGCGCGGCGACTCTTCCTGCGGTGACGCAGGCGACGGGTGGCTGCTCGCAGACGATTCCGACGGCTCCGCTGCCGCCTGTGACCCGATCGGACGCAGCTTCTCCACAAAGCGAGGAGGCTTCCTGTCTGCGTCGCTGTCCGTGTCTCGCGTAGCTGGCTCCCGGCGGGTACCACCGCCGCTCTCCTCGTCCCCACGATCGTCATCTTCGTCGTCATCGTTGTCGGCGGCAGCTACGTCTTCGTCGTCGCTCGAGTCCTTGGCCGGGCGGCTGCGCTCGTCGGAGTCCAGGAGCTGCTTCCTGTCGCCTCTCTCACCTCGCTCGCCTCGCTCGCCTCGCTCGCCACGCTCGCCACGCTCGCCACGCTCAACGCGGTCGCCTCGCTCGCCACGCTCAACACGCTCCTCCTCGTGGTCAGACTCCTCCTTGATGGGCGGCTTGTTTTCCTTCTCCGCTTCCTTCTCCATTTGCTGGAAGGAGTGGGCATATACTTTAGTTTAAAAAATGTATTTGATATTTTCAAGTGCCAAGTAAATTTTCTCCCTCCCCCCCACCCCCAAACCATTTTCCTTTTCTAGGGTTAAATTTGCCTGTTTTTTTTATATTTAGTTTCAAGAATTGAGTCACCCAATTAAAATGATAGTGAGGGTAATTATTGTTAGTATTGGTCGTGAAGGCTGGTGTATTTGTATTTCTTTAGCAGCATGAGTGGCCAAAAGTCATAAATGCAACAGGAAATGTATGAGCAGTGACCTTTCAACGGAACGCTGTGCACACGCACAGCAATGTCGATAGGCGGAATGAGCACAGCATGGGTGCGGTATGAGACGCACCCGTTTGATCTCTCCATCGGGATCCGGGTGTCCCTCCTCCACAAGCCTCTTGCGTATCTCCTCCAGCTCCTCTCGTTCGCGCTTGCGGTCACGGTCATCCGACTCCACCTCCTTCACGCGATCCCACTGCCTCTTCTGCAGAGCACTGCCCCTAACACAGCGTTGAAACCCATATTGTGCCTTACTTAATTCACCACCGTAATAAGAGCTGCCATCATGAAATTTCAATTATTTTGCCAGAAAAGCCTCAAATGGGTTATTTGCCCAATTCCATTCACTGGTATATAGTAAGTGGGAGGAAGCTGGGCAACCCAGAGAAAGCCGATGCATACGAGCGTAAAACCCACATCTCCACACAAATAGATTGAATAAATCAATTGCTGCACAGTTAATTCCTGACCACCTGAGATTCCAAGCCAACAAGACCTGGTATTTCCTGGGAATCTCCCATCCAAGTACTAACCAGTCTCAAAACTGTTTTAACTTACGTAATATGCCCAGATTTGGAACATTCATGGTGATTTGGTCATCAGTATTATAATCTATTAATGTCAGCCAAGTGTTGTCTTACTTGTAGTACTTGGGATCATCTCGGTCATCATCGTAATCTTCCAAAAACTCCTTCAAGCGTTTAGCTTCCTTTGCCTGTGAACACAATCAACGCGTGAGTTGCTGTCCTCAGGGTATAGGCAAAGAGGGGCGACGGCCCTGCCTGTGAGTGTGATGAAAAGTGCAAACATGCTTTCACCATTTCTCGCCGCCTCTCTGCCTCGCGCTCCATCTCCTTTTCATAGTCCCGCGCTTTCTTCTTCTCGCGGGTCTCCCAGTTTTTTAGGCGCTATAAAGAAAAACGTGTTATTGAGATAAAATGTACACAAGATGTGGTTACGTAATGGCTGCCGTACTGGTCAGTAAAACACACCGCTCTCTCGGCTTTCGCCAAAACCCACCTCCTGATAGGCGGCTTCTTTCTCACGAAGACGACGCTCCAGTTTCCGCCTTTCGTGCAACTCCTCTTCGTCCTCTTCCTTGTCCCGCGGCTCGCGTGTCTCGCGTGGTTCACGTGGCTCACGTGGTTCACGTGTCTCACGTGGCTCACGTGGCTCACGGGTCTCGCGCCTCTTCTCCCGATCCCTGCTATCTCTACTGAGAGACACGGAACACGCCCACACATCGTCAGCAGTGTGACAGGAGGGCAGCTCGTATTGCACCGACAACTGCACCGACACCGATCAATCCACGGTGCGGTGTTGCCTTACTTGGAAGTGCTGCGCCGCTCTCGCTCCCTCTCCCGCTCGCGCTGCTCCCGCTCCTTCTCGCGCTCCCGTTCCCGCTCCCTCTCACGCTCCCGTTCCCGCTCCCTCTCGCGCTCCTTCTCACGCTCCCTCTCGCGCTCACGTTCCTTCTCCCGCTCCTTCTCGCGGTCCCCCCGGTCCCCCCGGTCACGTCGGTCCCGGTGAACGTCCTTGTCCCGGTGCGAGTCCTTGTCACGATCGCGCTCCTTCTCGCGCTCTTCCCGACGCTCCTTGTCCCTGTCCCGCTCTTTGTCCTTGTCTACGCGATCACGCTCCTTCTCCTTGTCCTTATCCCTCTCCCTGTTTCTCTCCCGATCTTTATCTTTCTCTCGCTCGCGTTCTTTTTCCCTGTCGCGGTCGCGCTCTTGCTCTTGCTGCCTCTCGCGCTCTTCCTCGAGTTTCTGCGCAAGAGAAAATGCCAAAACAGTTAACACCTTTGTCAATTTACAACTGTGTCAAGATAGCACAATGAATCTAACTGACTAATTGAGATTTTCCGTTTAAAAAAAAAACACTTTTAAACTTTTATAATTACCGTTAACATTTTACGTAAAAGCTTTACGAAACATTTCTTTATTTTCTTTGTTTTACATCAATGTGGAGTTAAATTATTTTCTAAAAATATAAATAAACAATCCTACATGTAAACTTAAGTACAGCCCACCCTTATGCAAATGATGAATGTTGGAATGCATGTACAACGGTGCGCAGTGTGCCCCCACTTAAAATGCACTGCAGGGGGATACCCCCCGCGCGATGCAACTAGCGGAGCATGTACACTTGCACAATGGCAGTCCCTACGGTTGCCTGCATGAGGATTCACTCAGAGGAGGCGGGACAGGGCGCCGCTTCAAGGTGCACCCAGGTGCGGAGGCCCAACCTGCGACATTCAATGTATCGTACAGTACACACAGACTGCCTAGCAATCACCAAGATAATATCTCGTCACTTCAAGCACATAAGGGGGGCAAAGGACAAATGGGTTAAAGTTACTGCTTGCAGCTCTTTTGTTTTTCAAAAATGGTTAGTTTCCATCTCAATGCAAGCATAAAAAGCAGACAAAAGTTGCCATCAGGAGTTCCCATTGGCCATCCTGTAGGGGTAAGAAGGGTTAAACATTGCAACACACCGCTCTGCGGAAACTCCGTGCACACTCGGCGCATGAAGTCACCAGCAACAGACCAAAATCAAAAGCACTCACCGGCTGGGTCTTCATTGCAGACATTTTCTGGTGCCAAAAGGTGTGAAAGTGCAAGATGAGAGTGTAGCAAACTTGATGGTAGTGAAAATAGTTTGGGAATGTGATTTCTTTTTACGTGTGTTGTACGTGATTTCCTATTCAGACTACTCAATGGTATTCTGCCAAGTCTCGTTGTTGAGAGCTTTCACACATAAGTACCAGTTATAACCCACATGAATATATTGTTATACAAGCTATAATGAATGTTAGAAAAGTAAATGTCATGCAATAAGCATAACTGTCATGTTAATTTCTTTTATTTAATATTGAAAAACGATACAATTCGCTGCAGGACTATATTTTTTTTTTAAGCTCCAGATATTAAAAAGATAACCAGTTTGAGATTTGTACAGGCTGCGGCAAGGATATTACACTTGGGTGATTTTGTAGTAGTTTGTTAAAGCTATCACCTCCTCAATGACAGTGCAACCTGCTAGAAAAATGATATGTCATAAGAGACGATTAACTGTAGTCAGTGATGATTGGAGAAAATGGGATTTCTGAATGAAGTGACGATTTATAATAATGTGTAAATTTTAAACTACTTTGATATGTAAAATCAAGTATATGTGGATGCAATTGGCCTGTAAGGTATGAATGTGGTGGGTAAGCAGTGATGTGACGCAACACATACCTTAAAGGCATCTTCAGGTCACCGGGAAAGAGACTTTGAAATGGACACCCCCTGCCCCCAACCTTTAAGTCTGTCCATACCTGTCCCAGTACTTTTCACTGTCAGTAACATGCAAAGACTTGCAGAGGCTGCACCTGTAAGGCAATACTGTGCTTACCAGAATCTGCATTACACAACACCATCAATTGCAGCAACTGATGCTGCAGGAGGTTTTTTTTTCCATCTCCAACGTGTTTCTTCCCAGCGGCCTTGTGGACTGAAAACTTAATCGCTAAAACCAAGGCATCACAACACAAACCTCTACCCCTCTGGGTCAGCCTGCCTCCGCTTCAGGGGGTGTCCATTCTCATTCAAGAAAGAGAAGCCGGTACTTACATTCTGGCAGGCAACAGCACGATTCGACAAGTAGAAAAGCTTGTCCTTGCTTTATGTCACACCCACTGTTCTCTATTGTAATGATGGGGTCAATGAACAGATCAGCTATTAAAAGACATTCAGCCTCATTTGTACTCAAGCAGATTAGACTAAACACTTTCCACTGCACAACACACTTTTGAATTTAGCTGCATTGTTTGGCCAAATGAGACTACTTCAGTGACTTGTGTGAATGTCATGCGTGTGCACTGCGTAATTGCTAACATATAGAGTTCATGTAGTGCAAACAAGTTTGGCGATGTCAAACTCCAAGCATGCAGGCCAAGTGAAGTAAGATGACACACATCTTTGATTTTCAAATGAGAGGTAGGACTCTAGTTTTCACCCAATTTATATTTTGTTATGTAAAGAATGACAATGATTTAGGACCCAATCCTTTGAATATGGTCCATACCAACGAACTAAATATCCCAAAAGCATCGGTTACATATTCTCGTTTAATTACTACTGTGAAATTGTTTGTGCAAATGTTGTGGAACTACCTTGTGTGTGTCGCGGAATTTGCTGATCTCGCGGGAAATGAGGTCTTTTTTCTCTTCTTCAATCTCCATTTTGTTGAGGTCCTCCTGAAATGATAAACCAGGAAGAAAAGATAAACATATTTAATCATCTGAAATCAACATGTGAATAGACACCGGCCAACTACTTCACAGGTTTTGATCTATTTTGATAACCTGTTGTATGACTCTCATTGTACACGACATGTCTCAATATTTCAGTATAACATGCATATGCATTGAGTTCCTAATATTCCTATCAACCAGCTCACATCACAAATACGGAAAAGACAGTAAATAGCTCTAAAACAATGTTTCTAATGTAAAATGTAGATGGTTTTCTGTTTCCAATGCTGTGCTTCATATTTATATGCACACCAATAGATGTACTTACATTCAATGGTATTACAGTGCTGACAAACATCATATCCTCCTATTCATTTACCACTTCAAATATTTCTTGTGTACGTTGATTTTTTGCCCAAAGCGTAGTGTCACATTTACTTTTAGATTAAGTATCTTCAATCAATTTGCACAAGAAGCTGTACAGATCATACAATGCTACCCAAGTTTTGCGTATTGTTACATGGCAACTGTGATATTTACCGATAAATCATCCTTTTTGTCTCTACGCCGCCGCTTGGGTGCCTCCGTGGTAGCCTTGAGATCATTGGAGAAGTCGACGAGCAGCTGGTCTAGGGCCTCCTTCGCCGTCTGGTCCAGCTTCTGTGTAACCTCATCCAGCTCCTCTGCATCCTCCTCAGTTTTTGCCTCCTGCCAATGAGGCAGGATCACAGCAAAATGAGACAGGGCTACAGATTACCTACGCGACTTTACCGAAAAAACCTAAGAGTAGAACTGCGTGACAATACAAATGATAAAGACAATGGCAGATTTTCCAACTTCAATTGATATTAATAAACCATCTCAATTCCATGAGGATTGCTGACCTTATAATCTAGTCTCAGCACGTTATTTTAACTATTGTAATTGTAATTATTTGCTCACAACTTCAATTAAAAGCAAGACCGAAAAAAACTATTTCTAAAATACAAACATGGGCAAAAATTAATAAAGAAAATGTATCATCCTGGCCCGACACAATTGTAATTCCTCATTGATGCTTATTACTCAATTGTTACATGAAAAATTGTGCAGGAAAAAAAGTTAACAAATTGCAGAAGTCACTTATTCTATTATCAACTATGGCCAAAAAGGCTAAACCAACATTTTGAAAGAAACACTTTCCTTCCCAAATGCTTTCCATTATACACATTATTATTGTGAGCATTATAGAAGTCCGCACATGCACACCCATTCACCTACCCCGTTGGTACCCATCTTCTTCGCCTTCCACTCCTCGAGCTGTGCCTTGGTCTTGGCATCCACTTTCACCAGCAGCTTCTTGTCTCCCAGCTGAAAGTCGTGTAACAAGCGTATGGCACGCAAGGAAGACGCCGGCTCGCTGTACTCACAAAAGCCAAATGCTGCAATGCACAAGACAAACATGCATGCTCAAGTGTGAATTTCATGACAAGGATGTTTATGGACATTCAATATTTTTCTTAAAATATAAACAATGTTTCACCGATCTGTAGTGCAATGAAAGCTTTCAATGATTATCTTACCCTGTTGTTTTCCCGAGGCACCTTGTACCCTTTTCCAGGTCACAACAGTCCCACATTTCTGCAAGAAAGAGTGATTTGGCAGGTGAGTGCACAGACTACCACACCACTGTTAGGTAGTTTCTTCTTCATTAACCACTTATTTGGCATGAACTTATCACACAAACGTACGAAACTATAAGTTACATTTATAACATAAGATCCTGGTTAAAAGTGTACAAAGCAAAAATATTTATATTACTTCCTTGGTTCAAACTTCATATTACAATATATTCCTGGGCAGTCAGCCGGACTAATCAGAAAATAATACAGTTGCCTATAAGCACTTGAGCACCTAGGGTTTGCATGCAGTGCATGAAGTCTTATTCAATAACAGGAATTGCACAATTTAATCAGAAATGTTTAAATACAGTATCATAGTCATGCCCCTATTCATTACAATTACATTTGAGTTTATAACCCTATCAGTCCACTCCTGGATGAAGGACCACGTTGTGTCAGCTATGGTTGCCACTTTGGGCAAAAAGGTTAGTAAAAAAACACAAATTTGCACGTGTATTGAAATAAAAAACGCGAAAGTCAACGATCTTAGTTCATACCGCGAGCATCTGCCGAATGAGCACGTCGGACGCCTTGTCCGTGATGTTGCCCACGAAGACAGTGGTGGTGGGACCGTTGTATTCTTCTGCGGGGCGTTCACGCACTCGGGCCATCAGCGGCTTGACAGGTAACGCTGGTATGTTGGGTGTGGGCAGCAGCACCTGCATGCACACACGGTGGCGAGAGGTTAAATACCTCGCTGGTATACAGGAGGTCGTGGATTGCATCCCGACCCTGACGCTTGTTTTATATTTGGTGTTTACATGTTCTCCCCGTAGTAGCGTGGATTTTCTCCGGATCCTCCAGTTTTTCCCTCCACATTTAGAATCAACATGCATTTCGAGTATTTGGCTGCTATAAATTTCCACATAAGCCACTTCTCGTAGCAATCATTTGTGGCCAGGTCGCTTTTTAAAAAAAGGTCTATATAACGCAATGGGCCTTACCTGGTTGAGTTTAACTGTCGTCAATTAAGACTCTCTGACACTTAAGATATGTAAAGATTTGAATATACATGCTTAAATGTGAATGATTGTTGATGATTATGAATCGAATTGCTGTACTTACAGGGCCAGATGATGGTCCCAGTAAACCCACAGGAACTGGCAGGAGTGGGGTTCCTTCACATAACAGAAACAATGCATATTAAGCGTTTGAAGAATTATTAATCGCTTATCATGTGCTTTATACAAACTAGCAAAAAACATCAATACACACATACATACATAAACACAAGTGTAGGAGGTTACTAATGTTTGCACTACCAATGCTAATGCATGTAAACGATTTGCCTTTGTTGATCTAATACTATATCAATATATTTAAAAAATTATACTATCCTCTAGATTTTTTTAAACGTTTGAAAATTCCAACGTAACTATCATCCGCAATTATGTCTTACTTTTTCTAGAAACTGCAAGCAGCGTGATTAAGTTCATGTGATAAACTTAACACTCTTCACTCTTACGAGATTAACCGTGGATATATAGCATTAAACACCGAGCTTGCAGTGTGTAAAACAAACACCTCGTGAATGTAATATTGCTGAAAAGTCGGTGCTGTGCATTCCTCACCTGGTGGCACAGGTACTCCAGGCCTGAAAGATGGGAACTGGCCAATGCCAGGCCCAAGAGCAGGCATGCCCATGGGTGCCCGGTTTAAATGAGGTGGGTAAGGCATGGGCTGCTGTGCAGGCCAACTGTAAAACACGAGATGGATTACTGCGGCACATGTCATCAAGACAACATAACACGTCAAAGCAAGCGCGTGTTTAGTTTTCGGGTTTGTTCAATAAAGCGAAGATATCTTCACACAACGGCCATTCGGCTTAAGGCTCTTCTCACCCAGCAGTAGACCGACAAAGCGATGTAGATATTGGATTTATTAAAGAAGCATACACGTAGGGACATATCGACCCATTAGGGTGCAACCCACACATTTTCACCACACACTCGCATGTGTCAACATCGTTATTGAGTTAAGATTTAAACAAAATGTTGACTCCATTAATTCCGGATTCAAATCGCCCCTCACCAACTCCGCACCGGTGCCTTACCTCAGGTCGAGCAGCCGCGCTTCCAACGACTTGGGCTTATTCGCATTCTGCGCCATTGTCTTAGTAGCGACTACTCTCGCGAAACGTAGTAAACTATCGCCGCTAAGATCCGCTGTAATCTTTTCTTCTCTGCGGAGCCCGAAGCAGGCCTCAGGAAACGCGGCCTAGCGGGGCCCGTGGTCCTCCCGCCCGCCACCGAAACGCCTCGCGGAAACCCGCGCGCGGTCACTTCGGCCTAAGTATGCCCCCTGTATATATATATAGAAAATTGCCGTTCTTACGAACAACGTTTGCGACCGGGCGTGGATCTACCGCCTTGATAAACGCGAACGTTCCAAGCCGCCGAGATTTGAAACGTTTTGAAAGCGAACGCGCGACCGACGCAACATGGAGGCCTGGCTGGCGGAGCACGTGACCTACGGTGGCCGCGCGATGGAGAGGGAGGTGTCAGCAAGAAAGAATTCCGCGATTCGTAAATCCGACTTTTTGAAACGTGGGTTCTCAAAAGGTGTGGGGTTGTATGTGGCCACGGTGGGTCCAATGTGCTTTTAAATATCTGTCAACCCATTGTTAAGCCACGGTGGGTCAATGTGCTTTTAAATGTCTCTTTGGTTCTTTCGGTAAAGTCACGTTAGCAAGAGAAAATAATAAATTAAATAATAGCATACGACGTATCGATTGCAACACTAGCAATCATCGTCAGGTACAAATGAAATAGAAAACAAAACCTAGTCAACTTAGAAATGTAATGCAATACAACACAGAGAGTCGGCTAACATAACAGTCAACGCCCAACCTGGTTGATTACGTTCTTCCAAAGATTGCTAATTTTGAGAGAGAGATAAAACACAGAACCGGAGACACATAGACAGACACATGAGCAGAGAGATAACACAGATACAACAACAACCACGACGCTTGTGCCAGGTGATGTGCACCTTGAGGCCACGTGGGGGGTCACGAGGCAGACCCAGCAGGTGCCACGGGTCAAACTGACTGAGATGACTGAGATGACTGGCTGATGCACCACCTGTGCCCCCTAATTTGTCTCCGTGTCTGTCTTTTCTCTCTCTCTCTCAAATGTCACACTTAACTTCTAATTTGGCAATCTTTGGAAGAACGTAATCAACCAGGCTATGCGTTAATTGTGTTGACCGACTCGCTGTGTTGTATTGCATTACATTTCTAAGTTTACTAGGTTTTCTCTTTCATTTGTACCTGATGATGATTGCTTGTGTTGCAATCGAAACGTCGTATGCTATAATTTTATTTATTATTTTATCTTTCTACGTGACTTTACCGAAAGAATCAAAGAGTAATTCCTGCAGTCATGAAAGCTCGAAATTAAGTTTTAAATATCTGTGAACCCATTGTAAAGCCACGGTGGGTCAATGTACTTTCAAATGCGTATCAACCCATACGGTTCATCCATAACAGGTTTGTTTGGGGTTAGATCACGTAAATATAAACGTGTCGTTAAACCCGCCACAGCCAATTAGTAAGGTTTGTCACGAAAACACAACATGCCAATTCGTTACTAGTACAGCACACCGGTGTGTTGGAGAGTAAATCCACAACAATTACAATCTGGCTTGGGTCTCCAACACACCGGTTTGCTGTACTCGTGACAAATTGGCACTAGTTGGCTGTGTCGGGTGGTGGCGGGTTTTAACGACACATTTATTTACGCGATCTAACCCAAAAAAACTCTTATGAATGATATTGGTCGCGAAAGCCTACGTGTTAAACTCCCTAAAGGTGTCTGAGTCCTATGTATATGTAACGGTGTCATTTAAAACCCCCACGCGTCACGTCCCGTTTGCCTTGACGAGATTTTGCGGTTGTGCTGGGGTAAGCGATTTTGAAAGGTCCGTTACGCAATAACTCCTGGTGGTGTAATTATTCAAATTACAAGAAAAAAACTGCTATCGGGGACACGTTTTGAAATGCAATTCATAGTCCCATGGTGGAAAATGGAGCCTTCAACTCTCACCCAAGCTATCTCTTTAGCCTCTACGCGCAATGAAGTGATGTCTGGAAAGCCATCACTGCTTTGGCTTTGATCAAATTCACCGTGCCTGAAGTGCACCCGATCTTGTCATACCTCGGAAGCTACGCAGGTTGAGCCCGGATCGTGCTTGGATGAACGACCACCATGCATAACTCAGTTGGTTACTGGACATCTGTGAAAAAGAGCTTTTATAGCTAATCTGATTCCTCCCGTATAAATACAGATTCTGGTTCTGAGATGTTATAGGCTGCTGTACGGCGACATTGTGGACAGAAAAGGGCAGTGTAGCAAATTCCATTACAATACTGTACAGTACTTATATGCTCCTACATTTATGTACTCCACCATAGTCAACAACCAGCAAAGTCAAGTCTGGATATATAACTCTCATGCCGCGCATGACATGAACAGGCCCTCATCCAGCAGGGATTGATTAAAGGGCTGTACATGAACAGGGCCATCATCAACATTTCATCCTGTTTAATTCTTCAGCAAACTGCTCTAAAGGAAGGGTAATCCCATTTCATCCAACGGCCAATGCATCTTCTGCCAGAAAACATTTTTGGTGGAAATAACAATGATCTTCGATTTAATTGAGGCTCATTAGTCAGATGTGGCCATCATACCCCAATGCCTCTGTGCAGCTGAGTGTCTCAGCTATTGCCAGTGCATTCCAATAGCAACTTACTTTACTGATCCACAGGAAATGACTTTTGACACTTAAATTACGCAATTTTCACGTGAAAAATATCCTGCACACAATAGTAAAATTTCAAACATTCACGGTGATGTAAAGGCCCTCTAATCCGCAGCACACTACAACATTCCAAAAATACGTACTTAAAATTTGCAGGTTTAGGATTTTGGTCCCAGCGGATTACGGGAGTTGCTGTGAACAGCGGGGATGCCTCAATTCTTAGGATTCACCGATTAGTGGAGGACAGATTTTTGGAATACAGGTATCCCTCGATTTACGAAATACACACGTAAAACGAAGTTTTAGCAATAAGCAGAACTTTTCCCATGAATTGAATCCAAAAAATGTGGGATGGGTTTCAAACAGTCATTCCAACTTTACTCCTAACCTAAATATATACACCTATATCACTTTTCACAGGAATTACAATCACGAATATAAATGTTAAAATTATTGAATAGTAATAAATTTTTAAAAATCAACCTTTTCGAGAAACCCACCATAAGTTCTGCACGTTGTAAAGACTGGCAAGGCGACGTGGAGGCGATCACTGCTGCACGGAGGGATGACGCAGCCTCCCGGGTGCTTTGCGTTTCATCTCTTGGCGCACGCCATGTGAAGTTTCGTGAACGCGGAAATTGGATTTAGCTCATAGAAAAGTGTCCATAATTTGTCAATTGCGCCAACAAGAAATTTCGTAATCCAAAAATGCATAAATCCACAGATACGTGTACTATGCTGTATTATATATGAAGCACATGCAAATGGCACTGGGATTGATTGAGAAAATAAACGTTTTTAATACAATCACCATTGGAATTCAATCGGCATGGTCACATACATATTATGGGCAAATGTTATTTTTAACCTTTTTTTGGAAAAAAAATTACTAACGTCTCCATCATCAACAATTAGACAAATCTGAAAGGAATTAGCCAAATCTGGCCCTATGCCGTCCAAGTTTAATGATGTGCCATTATGAGCAGCATTCCACCCTCATATGTTGTTCACTGTCCGGAACAAATTTCTTTTTAGGCAGATTTCCAAAATAAATAGCAGAGCTGATGTAGTATGTGGTGTGTTACATGATAGTTTGCGAGGCCGCAGGGGTTGCGTGCATGTTGATATAGCTGCTTTCCAAGGTAGATGTTTACAAAATTAGTACAGTTTTGGCAATTGTGAATGCCAACAGATGTCTAAATAAACACAAATACGCACAGTGTGTATTTCATGGCTTATACCAAATATTTCACCAACATACACAGAATGTCACATTATTACAAAAGGTAAAATGCATTGCAGGATTGTGAGAGGTGTCGGCAGCTTGGGGAAGGCATTCATCATCAATGTGGCCTCGTGTGTAAATACCAACATGGAATTATTTGTGCACCGTGAATAAACACTATCTCATTCCTGTGGCGTGTTGATAGCTGCCAAACATGTTAATGAGTAACAAGAGTTGGTCCAAGGGGATTATGCCTGTGTGCTTGCAGAAATGTGCACGCTAAGTTCAAGCCAGAAAGATATTGTAAAATCACTTGTAATTTAAATGCAATTATTTCTAAGCATTGTGTTAGGATTAGGAACTGCTTTTTGTGTTTAGTTTGTTGAGCTTCCCCCGCACCTCCGATCAGCACTGTTGGCTACGTACGGTGCGAAAGTAGTTGAAGATACATTGCAGTGCAAAATGAATTCTAAATTAAAATCGCAGGGAACAACAACAACACACCATGGAACAGTCACCACAACAATATATTTTAAAGTAACATTTTACACACTTGTCAAAAGCATTCAGTCAAAGGTATAATATATTTTTTTAAAGATGGAATGTATATGAAGATTTCTATTTATTTACTAAAGACAGTCTAACTGCATTTAAAATTATTTTCAGAAGGGTCCTGCATTGGGATATTTAGCCAATTATATATTAATGAGTGTTTGGCTTGTGGTAGGAAACCAGAGTATCCGGAGAAATCCCACCCATACAAGAGGATACCATTCAACATCGCCATCCCCTGGGCATCTCGCCTGCCCCATGCTTAGAACACTTGGCAATCCTGACTGGTCACCATCCAAGTAGCAGCCAGGTCCAACAGTGCTTAGCTTTTAAGATCTGACAAGTTTGGGTGCATTTAGGGTGCATTGTTCATAGCAAATTTACATAAGGGTTTGAGGTCACGTCTTCAAGTACTGAAATAGTTTAAACCGAACCTTAGCCCTTAGCTCTAAGCAATAACCTCAGCACAATTGCAGCTTCTTCGGGGAATAATGGGAACAAAGGTTGAAGCAGTTCACCATACTATGGACATGGCGACCCGAGTTCACTTCTTGGCCAACACCTCACATCAGTGCCCAGTGGTATATCCTCATATAATCCTGGCTTTCCTCAACTCCTTACGCAACCTGCACTGAACAGCGTGGTGAATTATGGTCAAACACCCTCCGTGACTGCCACGGCGTGCAGAAAACCTTCACGCGGCAGTGGGTTCACGAAGTTGGAATTTACGGGAACTCACAGCGAACGTCTGGTTCGCAAAGCCATGCAAGTGATGCGAAGGGTGGCTGATAGTGGATACGACAATCCTCTCGCCCACCTTAACACCGCTGAGCCCTGCACCCCCTCTACTCAAGCTTTTCAGGGTGGGGTCTTTTTGGATTTCTGCATGCAATCACGCAAGCGCATTCCCCCAGCCCCTGCCGAACTTCATTCGCTGCCTGGTGTGCGCACTGGCTAGCAGCTGAGTGAGACATTTGTAAGCCGTAAGTACAATTTCAACATTCTTCAAAGCTGTTTTTTTTTTACCCGCTATAAAGAACTATTTTTTGAAGTTCGTACGCAACAATATTACTGGAATTGTGTATTTTTAAAGAGTTACTTAGCATACTCTGTTTACACACACACACTATTTCTTCATAGAATGTGCATATACTGTAATGAAAAGTTTTACACTTAAAGGGCAATAATGCACGTGAAGTGTAGCTTTGAAACGGCAGCTACTTTTGAGCGGCATATTTTTTAAGACAGAAGCAGCCTTCATGTTATCATGCGCTAGATGACACGGGGTGAGGAATGCAAGTTTGTGTAGTCCGCATGTGTCAGCCCAGCTTGAAGTTTATTCCCTGGCCACGTAGTTTGGAAAGAGGCTGTGGGCTATAATCACACAAGTTAGACAACACATTCCAAAGTGTGCTATATATACTGTTTCATGCTTATGTTTGTAATGTAACAATGTATCAACTATTTCATGCACTCGTTTAACCTTAATCTCAGCTCGCACGTGTGTAAGGATATGTGCTGCTGTTTTGCACGATACAAACTATAACCTAAACATAACAACGGGAAAACGCTGTAATGTTCACTTAGATCAACGTTTTTTTAAGAAAATATCGAAACCACTCCAGTTTCTCAATGCAACATTCACTGAAACAATTACAAAGAATAACGGAAAAGAAAATCATCAACGGTTTTCTTTGTAAATTGTCTGGGGCATAGCGTAATGAGGTACGTGATTATGCTTTCAACTCGACTTATAATGCCAAGCATTTAACCAGGAAAGCCAAACTGAGCCTTTAGGACTGTTTCAGAAGAGTTCTGCATCGGAATGTTTGTGCCAATTCCCTTAATGCGTCTTGGGGCACGTGGGAAGAATCCAGCGGATTGCCGAAGAAAACCCACAGAGGTACTCGGGGGTGACACTCAGAACTGCCATCTCCTGGCCACCTCTCAGCATCAATTGGCGGGGCCCCCTGTAGTCACCAATGCAAATACTTACCAGGCTTCAAACCTACTTTGCGTCCAAGATCTACTCAGCTGCGATGCATTGGTTGCATAAGTGAAAACTATTGAATTAATTAAAATTTCGCTTTGTTGCAAGTTATACCAAACCCCACTATGATCTGTTAAATCAAAATGGTTTTAACGACTAATAGGCGTTTCTCCATTGGGATGCGAGTTCGTACAGCAGAGAGATGTGGATCGTAAATCAGACCTACACGGATCAGCATGCGTTGCAACCTATTATTAAAATGACAACCAAACTTTTATTGAATTCAACTATTAAACGTGTCAATGCAGGTGAATCAAGGCTCCCTAGTGGACACTAAAAAATGATTATAAACCAAAGAACGATATACGCACACACAACACCAATAGCTGCTACTGTATTTACCTTGAGGCAGTTGCAATAGACGAGGTCCACAAATGCACACACACACACTTATATTTTATTTGTATATCTTTAAGCCAACTTTGCAGCCTTCTTGGCTAAACTAATAATGATTGAATACTTATACCAGGCATCCCATGCAATACATCTGGATGAAATTATTGCAGTCATATCCTGTAGTTAATTTCCAGCAGTTGTCAGCAAATATAAAATGATTTATACTTTCTCTATTTATGTTTATCCTTTTATGTCACCATTCCAATTTTCATAAAATACGTTTTGTCACTCTGAATAGCCTTGGTGGTATTGCATCGCCTTGCATGACCCTTCTGCTGTGTATCTTGTGTGATCTACTTACCAGACGACAGTCACGTTTGCAAATGTGATTTGAAACTTTGATCCTTGCCTATGTATCGATCTTAATGTACCATTTTATTGAGGGACTCCTGCTGTGTGGTGTTATCTTGGTGTGGTCTGGGACTGCGTTGTTCTTGTTGTTTTTGCTGCCTTGCCCAAGTTTGATCAAAAGCGGACATATAATTATTTAGTTTTTATATTTAGTGACTTGCCTACCTTTTTCTATATGATTTCACTCCTGTCGTTTTGTTGTACCGTTTGTTGTTGTAAATTGCTGATCTGCCCATACTGGACATCTGTGAAAACGAGCTTCATCGCTCATCGGATTAATCGAATCTAAATGAAGATTCTGATTCTAATCTTATGTAATCTCAGCATAGCTGTTTAATCGTTGTAAATTATTTTGATGATTTCGCATGGCGTTATTATTAAGGCCTCGGTTTGTCAGGGCCTGTATGACTGTGTCCGTTTCCACTGAATTAAATAACGTTAATAGTCTACAAAAGGCAGGCATAATGATATTCTATGTTCTTTTTTTGTTTCCTAGATTCTGATTGATAGTGTGTGGTCAAGCTAGAAAAAAACCTTTTTGAAAACCAGCTTGCTCATGTGGTTAGTGGGCTCTAAATGGTCTGTTCCGTTCTCTATGATCTAAAGGTTAAGTGTGAGAAGAGGCAATTTGGTTAGTAATTGTGCAAAATCAGAAGAAATTTATTAATAATTAAAGCATCGTTTCACAATTGAAGTAATTCATTAGTTTCTAACCATTGAGTAAACAGGCCTGCTCATTTTTTATTTACCCAAAATCTGTGCTCACTTTTTTGATTACGTCCACAATGTATTCTATCTGGCCCAGGAGCTTTCACATGTCTCACACTGGGCTGATGGACAATTCTCGTGGTGGTGGTGGTGGTGGGATGGCAGCCACAAGAGAGAACCTGAGATGTTGACCTCCCTGAAAATTGAGCAGTCAGATGAGCTTATGTTCAACAGCGGGATAGATTATTATGGTACTGCAGGACCATGAGGGATGGCCAGAACGTTGAGAGGTATTCTTCAAGCAGTGGATAAAGCATGGTTGTTGAATATTTGACCTTTAAAGTTGCTGTTTATGAGAACAGATTATTGTGCAAACATGATGATTATTCAACACAAAAAATGCAAATAATTGGACATTGACCACGGTAATTATTGAAATATTGTGAATTTGTACTGTTAATGTATTGACTTAAAGCTTTCGTGACTGTCACATTCTTTGGGTCTTTCGGTAAAGTCACGTAGATAGGTTCAAATTGTAGTGCCGTTAAGTGTGTCACTACGGTGTTAGCGCCAGGCACTGTCACCAGAGTGCTCCTGTGCCGTCTGGAACGTCTCTCTGGGGCCAGAGTGAGTACGGCATGCAAACGGGCCCTCGGGGGCATAGTCCTGTTGACGGCCTGAGAGAAGGCAAGTCAGGACATCCCTCGTTTCTTAACGAGCTGGATGTCTCACTCGCATAGCCACCGTTTCGGTGGTTCGCCTACATTGACATGCTAATCTTACATTAACAGATTGACATGCGAATCTCTCAATACAATGGCCACCTCCACAGCTGCGTCGTCGTGGTGGTATATCAGCTCTCCGATCTTACATTTACATGCAAATTCCATCTCGAGCCCCACCCGCTTACCCTTGGGCTAAAACCATCTCAAACCTATATAACATCCTGCTTCAGCAGCTCTCCCGCTATATTTTTTTTCACCTGATGACGATTTCTTGTGTTGCGATCGAAACGTGGTGATATTTTTATTATTTTTCTATCTCCGTGGCTTTACCGAAAGACCCAAAGAATAAGACAGGACATGGTAGTCTGGGTGAAGCCGAGAGGGCACGTGACCAGGACAGGGTAATGATGGGTGCCCGAGGTGGGCTTGAGGGACACGTGATGCTCGGTCGAGATCCTTCGGGAAAGGTCTCGAAGGGGCGTGGCCAACGGCTGGGCGAGGCCACGCCCAGGAGCATCAAGGGGCGGTCCCGGGAGCGTTCTTGGCTGTGCACTGGAATCAACCCTCGGCGCTACGTCTCTCCGATCTACGGTCTCTGCTCGGCATCGTGGGTCAGTCAGGAGGTTACTGACTGACCCGCTTAGTGTAGTGACCTTGTAGCGTGTGTACGTTTATGTAGGTAGCCCCGTTGGGCTGTGTAATAAACGTGTTGCCTCCAAGTCAAGTGTGTGCCTCCTTGTTCAACACGACAAAATTAAACGTCGTAGTTTTTGTCTATATTATTTTTTATTAATTTGAACCTATCTACGTGACTTTACAGAAAGACCCAAAGAATATGTAAATGTATTGTTAGTGGTTGTATAGAAATGAAAAGATTACATTGCAGGATGTTCTGCGTTGTAATGGAGCTGAGCACAGGGATGTGGGAGCTTTGAACATTGTGCATGTTACAAATCACAATCAAGGGGTCTCTAGTGATAATTGTTTTGTCTTATTTTCACCATATTCTCATTTTATTCCGTTGCTCTCATCGAGCTTTGATCACTACATTTGCATAAACTTTAGCAGCACATCGCATGAATATAATGTGCATACATTGTAAGTATGTATTTTTGCACATACAATTTGATGCGCAAGTGTATGAAACTATAATTTGAATTTAATTGCTACAACGTTTAATTTGGGGTGTAACAAAGAATGGGCTCATCAATTAATAGATAGTCTATTATGCTCATGATATATGCATCAAGGTTTACATTAATTTTATTCATATATGTCGTATGTTAGGGAACAAATAAGAAAAACTATTAATTAATTTTGGTTTTCAATTGATCTAAACACTGAGTGACATCGCTAATCTTGTTGTCTTCTTCTGCGTTCCTATTCGTAAAAGTGTTATGGGCTGCTGGGTGGCAACACTTGTTTTTACCACACAGATATGAAACATTCGTACATTATCTAAACGATCCGGTAAACACAAAAACACGAAAAACATCCAAAATGTCCTTAAATATCAGAACATCTTAAATTCGTTGCTATTTTATATTATGGACTCGTTTAATCCCTCGAGCTACAAGAGGCTACCACATTAACCACATCGGTTTGTGTTCGATTCTATTTTCATGGTGACCCTGAATCACAACAATTAATTGCATAATGAGAGGTTCGAATCGTTATACCCCTTCTAATTAACATACAGTACATCCACAACACAAGTTTAATTCCCAGCGGCAGTGGGCATTCGTAGCGAGTCATATCTGATCTGGTCCTGGGGCATCCTCCTCACCTTTACCAACTCGCACTGACCATCGTGGTGAAGTATGTTCAAGCAACTTATGTTAACCACCCAGTTTTTATTTAACTGGGTGAGAACTCATGAGATCAGGATGGTGTCATCTGCGAGTGAATGGCTCACGAAAATAAATTGTCACGCACAACGAGTCTGTGCAAAATGTCAGCTCGATTGGATCACGGGAAGTGGGTTAAAAACGACCGAAAGATTTGCACGGTCGTAAGCGCGCAAGCAAGCAATTGAACTTAATATAAAGGATTTAAAAACACGTGGGTAACAAAATTACAAAAGCAAGACAATGAAAATGAAGAACATCAATGAAGCAAATATAAATCAGCAACAACAACTGTGTCGCGTGGGAAACGGAACATATGACGCAATCACAAATCAATGTTAAAGAGTAAACTTTCAGCCGCGTAAGTCAGCTCTGCGCAGATTATTGTTGGACTGATCAGAGCACAATGACAATTAAGTTACCAGTGGCTTTGACAATGGGCCTGTGAACGATGTGAACAACACAGGTATAAGCATGATGTTCTATATACGTGTGTCTAAATGTGTCACTGCATGCAGGATACCATGTGGTGGGTTGTCGCCTTCTTGCTCCTGGTCCCACACCCCCAGGGCACACTCTCCACTCCCGTAAGTGCTCCACTGTCTCCCTGCGGGGGTAATCATCGGCAAACATTTGACAAGGAAAGTGAATGGGTTTGTGCTTAGACAGTGTATATAGACTTGCAAGCTAAATCTGTCCTTCAATCTGCTCAAACACTGCACCTGCCAGATACCCGCTTATCAGGACTAAAGCTAATACATAAAGCCACGTGCGGATTTAGCCAGGCTATGTGATACGCACAGATTTTCAAACGGCTGTATGTCTTGAATTAAAATGCTTAAAGATGTTTTTTTTCTATTCCCATAAACGCAATCATTTTCACACAACGGAACCTACTCGCAGTTGACTGTAGATTATTCATCAAGAGGGGTAGTAGATGTGTGGTTGAGATATCCCCTCAAGCATCAGCTCATCTTTTCATGGCAGACATTCCAGTGAGAGAGGATTTCAGTTGGGCCCATTTGCTAAAGTTTTGCTTTAGGCGTGTAACAATAGCGGAGTGCTTAGCTACTGCGCATCGCCTGGAATCGAAATGAATTGTGAGCTACTAATAGGGTTTTTCCCCTTTTTTCTGGCAACAAAACTGACACCTTTTGCAAGGAATCATGCTTACATTAACCACAATACTTGCAGTCAAATGCAAACAAAAACAATACTCTGATAATTTATGCATTGTCTTTGAAACTGATTGGTCCACTCTAAAGAAAGCTGTCTCTGGTGTGGACCAATCAGTTTCAAAGACAATGCATAAATTATCAGAGTATTGTTTTTTGTTTGCATTTGGCTGCAAGTATTGTGGTTAATATAAGCATGATTCCTTGCAAAAGGTGTCAGTTTTTGTTGCCAGAAAAAAGGAGAAAACCCCTATTAGTATATTTTGGTACTGGCAAAGGAGGCCCCATGATGAATTGTGAGCTGTGGAAGAAGTCAATTACGGAGTAATGTTGAGAACCCGTTCCCACGTGGCCTCTGCTTGTGACCAGTGGTGAAAGTGGGGAGATATTCGGCAGTATGCATATTGGTAAGAACAAAGAGAACAGATGACACACCGGCAAAATAAATATATCAATTGTATATTAACTACAGTAAAAATACATTGATGTATATCATACATATTCAATAACTAGAATATATTGTGTAGTGTATAATATGTGCATTAAATGCAATAGAATACCATTATATAGTATTTTTTGTATTCATACCGGCCCCTAAAGATAGACTTAAATTAAACATAAAAAATATGAATAGCTTCGCTATGTTCATACAAATGTGTGTGTTTGTATATGCACAGTTGTAGCAGAGTAAAGTGCTATCTGAACTGCTCCCGAGTCTACTCCATCATTAACCCGCGCCGATCAGCGTGGTGAAGGATGGTGAAACGGTTCCCATGTGCGAGACATTGCGTGAGGAGGTATTCGTAAGACAGTGCATTCACAAAGTGTTGAATGACAACTGTTGTAATTGTAATAAAAAAAATTGGCTTATCAAATAAATAGAATAAAGTACGGAAACAGGATTCCTGTTTTGGTTCTCTGTTTTGCTGTATTGACTGCCCTTGGCACTGTGTGATTGTATTCTTTTTAAAAGCCCACACTACAAAGTCCTACAAATGAAGGAACATTGCTTCAGTCGATCCAGCAAAATGAGTGCATTATATTTCACAATGGCATGCAGTACGGTAATGTGCATTTACAAACAACCCACCAAGAGTGGTTTATTTGGCTCTGTGTTCGGAAGAATGCAGCCAAATAGCTGTGGCATTCCATTTTCTGTCTATGAATTTACGAGCTTCACGCTCATAAATAGCTTTGTCAAGTCTGGGCCGGTTCGCCTTGCTAATTCCACTTGTGTTTTATTTGTTTCTGATGGACAATGAATATTGACGAAATGCCGAGTTTAACACGAGCAGCAACTATTTTATGCGCTAGCGGTCCATGTCCACTTCGATAAGCGATTGGCTTCTGATGATCACACAACACTAAAAACTATTGCATGTCGATCATAGCTTAGTCCACCAAATTATTGTACTTTTCTGCCATCACATCATGCAATAATGCAATGGAGAATTTATTTCAAGAAAAAAATTCAAGCACAAAGGACTGTATTAATATAAAATTACTAAATTTATTGGAACTATAATACCGTACTGTAGGATTATGACATCACAGAAATATGAGATCTGGTAGTGGCTTGGGGAAGGCTTTCATCCAGCAGTGGATTGACTATAGCTGCTGATGATGATGTTGACAGTGGTTATAAGCAACATTATGCAACTAAAACAGTAAACAGTGAGTTCATTGTTTTGTGTGGGTGGGAACGGTGGTGTAAAACGCGTGCGGATTGCGTTTTCTCACCACTCCCACTTGACGGTGTCACCACGGCCATCACGGATGAGTCACGGCGCCAGGCACCAAGATCCTGACGCTCTGCATTCTCCCCAAGCGAAACTGCGCACAAGAGCACGGCACGATCTTTGCAGCAATTCAATTCAACTCGAGTTTGCGGCAATTTCATTCAACACTATGAACGTGCAATCCCAATATTAACCCCATAATAAACCACAGCCTCTCCCATTACAACACAAATACTTGATTTAATGGGATTAGTATATTGTTTCTAGATTTGAAGCTTTCGTGACTGCAAGGATTCATATTCTTAGGTTTTTTCGGTAAAGTCACATAGGTAAAAAATATAAAAATTAATAAAAGTAAAATAAAAATAAAAATCACGACGTTACAGCACGATAGCTGTATCACTTGATAGATGATAGCTGTATCAAGTGATACAGCTATCGTGCTGTGACTGTTCCACCTGAAGGCGGAAGCTTGTGTTGCCTCCGAAACGTCGTGATTTTTATTTTACTTTCATTAATTTTTATTTTTTTACCTACGTGACTTTACCGAAAAAACCTAAGAATAGTATATTATTGTTTGGCAATACCTGGTGGAGGGGTGCTACGTGATGCATTGCAGAGTTTGCATTGAAATTGCTTTGGTGAGCGAACGTGTGAACACAAAACAGGAGGATTGATCCACAACTCTGGCTGCCGCCTGATGAGGCTGGTTGTAATTACCGGTGAAACGTTGTACTCCAATTGTAAACGTCGTGGGTTGTGCTCTTCATCATACCGATGTGCTGAACTTGTATCGAATTGGCATGTTTTGTTTACGTGACGCACCTTAATAATTGGCTGTGACAGGTTGGTGGCGGGTGTAATGATACATTTATATTTACGCGAACTAACCCAAAAAAAACCTGTATTATGAATTATATTGATCGCGAAAGCCTACGTGTTCAACTGGCGTGCGGGGTGTTTGAGTGCGTGGGTTCGTGGGTCCACGTGTGCACGTGCTTTGTGTGTGTGTGTACGCACACGCGTCCATGCGGGTGTTTGCGTTTGAGGTGTCGAAGCGTCAGGTCGACCAGTGGGGACCTTGGGGAGATTGGGCGGCCTGCAGCCGCAGCTGTGGGGGAGGCATCACCCACCGCGAGAGGCCCTGTCTCTACCTGAGGTGAGCCACGTGCTCATTTGACATTTAAAGGGACACCGTGCACATGTTCTGGACTGAGTCATTGGCACTGGGTGGCTCTGGTGAGCAGGGCTTAAAGCACCTGCAGCCCCTTTACCGGTTTCAAATCCAACACGGCCGCATAGAATACAACTTCTCGAAGACGGACGCAGTGAGATCGCAAGGTCACCACGAACAGAGCGCACGCTACGACTCGTGGATTTGGTGATGCCGCGCAATTTGAGATGTTTAGACGGTGTCCAAAATCGAGAGAGTGCAAGGTCACCGCTGCAGTGCAAGGTCACCGCGCAGCTGGGGATCCCGCACTACCCTTGGGCGCGTCAGGCGACTGTGTGCTCCGATTAACACGGTTGGCTACGTACGGTGCAAAAGAGGTTCAACATACGTACGTGGCCTGCCAGTTGCAACCTTGTTACGCTCTCCATTTTTTGGAAATGAATTGACTAAATACATTTAAAAGATTTATATTTTTTTTAACTATAATTTGTAAGACATTATATCGCCATCCTTCCAAGGAATGCTTTCACCAATTGCCGGATCTTATTATGGATTTAAACACGAGATCACAGTTGCGGCACCTCAGTACTCTGTTTCCTGAGCCACCCAGCCACCTTAATTTGCTGTGGACTATCAACACATTTGCTAATGCCATTTCTGGAGTTAAATAAAATAAATCAAAGCAAATGATGAGCATTAATGCTGTTGTAATATTTAGCATTACATCTGAGCCACTGTCATCAGTCGTTGACTGTTATTGTTCTGTGGAGGTCCTGGTTCCTGCTTTAGGAACGTTGAGTTTCCACAACTGGATCAGTACCGGCAATGGAGATGGGCAACACTCAGTGTTTGGTGAACTTGTAGACACTCGAGATTATCTGTGACCAGAACCACTGTTTTCCCGCACCCCCGATTAGCATCGTTGACTACGTAGGGTGCAAAAGAAGTTCAATATACACACACACGCGTTATTGTGATGGTTATTGATGCTGACAATGATAATTTGGGTCATTGATTATATTTTCCATTTCATAAATAATTCTTAATGGCACAGATGTGGAGGGGAACCAGGTGGCATTCCTTCTCATAGCCCACAGTCACAGCAGCAGACTCCCTTTTTACAGCGAATGCCATGATTTGCAGTGAGGCTTAAGGACGTCACATTTCACCAATGCATTCTTTTTTCACTGGACGCCAATGTCTGTAACATTTGTCTCTAAATGCCTTTGTAGGTCACTGGACTGATGCCATCAAATGCTGATTACATGAGAGGACCTTTTCAAACAAAGGGACACACAAGGCGTTTTGTTTCTGCGCCGCGTTCCCTTGGGCTGGAAAACGTGCACCACAGATGTAGCGTGTCAGTGGTGTGATGCGTGCGCATCGTCCTCCGGAGCCGCCGAGCCAATCTTTTTTAAATCTGCGATGTGCCGTATTCGACCGGACAGCTTTGCACAAACAACTGTTGGTAGCATCAAGCAGCCGATCAGTCACTTTAACTTTTATCAGGGCAATGTAATGAGCTGGAGAGACTATAAGAAACCTGACCCCATGGTGGGGCAAAGGTCAAATGCCTAAATAAATATTTACCCAGTGTAAGATAAATAAAATAACTTTAGAAATGAATTAAATGGTCGATGGAGAGCAATTATTAATGCTGAGAAATTATTTCCAAAATAAAAATGGCTAAAAAATTCGTGAGAAACAGAACTGATTAATCTTGTGTCAGTCCACTTCATCTATGCTCCCTGTCTTTACTAACCTCCATTGACGAGCGCGGTGAAGATTGGGGAGGCACTCATCCAGCAGTAGATTGGAAAAGGGGTGTTGTGCATTGAGTATATGATTCATGCATCCTTAAACATTTTGCTTATGTTTTTTTTTATCAGCTCAAATTAATCCCGGATCAGCCACATGCAATGCATATAAAAGTGTTGCTTTGACTTGCAAATGCGCAATCTGGGGCAGGGAGAATTCGTGTTTGTGCCCGCCAGCACTGCACCTGCCAGGGGCTAAGGGCCTTGTTACCAGAATGTGTTTCTCTGCAGAAATAACCTCCAGTGTGAATATGTAAGCACCACTCACCTACGTTCACTGCCAGACCCTTACAACAATTTCCGACTCAACAAAAGCCCAGTTTTTAAACACTCAAACATGAATCATCGTCTTGCCTAAGTATAAAACGTGATTTAAAAATATGTATACATATACAAATACAAAAATGCAAATATCAAATACAATCTATTGAATGTAAAAGGGCATTGCCTCCAACTCAGACTTTGGAAATGAATGGATTTGTGACTGATACCATATGGAACGTGAATTGCATTTTTTTATTATGATGAGTAAACAAACAAAAGGTTGAGTGAGAAATTGTCCTGTGGGTTTGTAGGGACAAGCCAGAAATGACTGCTCACTTTGTCGCTCCTGCCAGCGTCCCACTTAAAGTATAATTAAACTCCTGCTGCAGCACCACCATCCTCTGCCTTTTATTTTTCCAACATAATATTCTGACGGCTCTGCTAAGTGCATGGGCGTACACGGTGGAGCTCGGTGGCAAAGGACACCAAGGCAATGGTCAGCTTTGGAACCGTTTGCAAGGAAATGGCAACGGGGCTTTGGACATCGAAACCTGCAGGCACATACCACACAAGGGAAATTCTGGTCAGCTGTTGTTTGTGCAATTTTGTGTTTGTTTGTGTTAGAAGGACGCCAAAAAAGCAAGAAAGATGTAATTGAATGCTTTTGTAATGACCTTTTGCTTGGCTCACTGAGGTGTAAATCATCGTGAAATGCTGTAGCCTGAAATGCACAGCGGTGGAACCTGGAGCCGTAATTCACGGTGGAATCTTGCAGGCTACCAAACACCTTCGTTTGTGGTCACGCGGGCTGTTAAAGTTGATGAAATGTCCGGTCAATATAAAATATATATTATCTTTTAACTTCAGATCGTATTTGAAGAGTGCTATTCGAGTGTTGAGGCCTTACTTCAGATTAGACCAGCTCTTGAGCTGTTAATTTAACGCCAAACTTTATAGAATGTTTCTTTAATCTAATTACGTATTATTTGAAGCAGAAATCTTAAGACGTAAAGCATAACTCATAACCAGACGACATTGATCGATTATCCTTGCTGCGATGTAGATTTATGAGACACGAGCAGCCCACAAAAATGGAAGCTGTCAATGTTTGACAGTCTCACGGCGCCTCTCTGTTTGTGTGTGAATCTCACAACACTCCCCCGACTCTCTCCCACGCTGCCCTTGTTCTCATCCCCACCTCAACTCCCTCCAAACCTTCCCCCCACGCCCGCACACCCCCTGATCTCGCTTCCCTCAGGGATGACGGGCAGCCCGAATGCTTCGGATCGACAAGAATGTACAGGACCTGCAACGTGCAGGTGAGGTTTATTTATTGCAACGACAAGGGGAGTGTGACACGTGACCTGCTCGCATTCCATCAATGGACATAACGTTACGTTTAAATAATTGTTTTTGTTACCCTTTTATCTGGCAAAAAAAGTGACACCTTTTTTTACAAGGAGTCATGTTTGCATAGACCACAATACCTGCAGTCATAATGCAAACAAAAAACATAACTCTGATAATGTATGCACTGTCCTTGAAGTTGATTGGTCCACACCCGAGACAGCTTTCCTTAGAGCCTAGTCTCACATGGTATTGGACCAGATGACGCCAAAAGGCGCACAACTCAAAGACAATGCACCATCAGAGTATGAGAGCTCGGGGTAAGCATTTGCACCAATGGAACCTCATTTGCCAGTAAAAAATATGATAATTGTTTTTTTTACCCTTCTATCTGGCAACAAAACTGACACCTTTTTTTACAAGGAGTCATGTTTGCATTGACCACAATACCTGCACAGTCATAATGCAAACAAAAACATAACTCTGATAATGTATGCACTGTCCTTGAAGTTGATTGGTCCACACCCGAGACAGCTTTCCTTAGAGCCTAGTCTCACATGGTATTGGACCAGATGACGCCAAAAGGCGCACCACCAGAGTTATGTTTTTTGTTTGCATTATGACTGCAGGTATTGTGGTCTATGCAAACATGACTCCTTGTAAAAAAAGGTGCCAGTTTTGTTGCCAGATAAAAGGGTAAAAAACCAATTATCATATTTTATACTGTTAAATGAGGTTCCAATGGTGTTACGTTTAAACTTTCCTTTAAACGTTTGCTATTACGTTTTTGTTTAAACCCAACTATAGCTGCAAAGATAGTGCTTGCAGATTCGTAACAAGTAACACGTGATCATAACATTTTGGGAAATTCCACTGGACAACCACGACTGACTTCCCACGAAGTTGTACTCATTTTATCGACCCCAGAGGGAAAGAAGAGCAGAGTCGACGCCTGATCTGGATTTGAACTCGAAACCTTATTATTTTCAGATGTGCGGTCTACCATTATGCAACCTGGCAAGGATCAGATACAATAAATAAGCTAATCATAATCATTTACAGACCTTTGTTAAATTTCGATTTAAAGCTTTCGTGACTGCAGGGATTCATCTTCTTGGTTCTTTCGGTAAAGTCACGTAGAATGGAAATAATAAAATAATAAAATAATAGAATAAAACATATTTTATTATGTTTTATTTTTATTATTTTATTATTTCCATTCTACGTCACTTTACCGAAAAAACTAAGAAGACCTTTGTTAATCCGCTCCTGGATAAAGGGCCCTCGACGCCATGCTGGTCACTGGAGTTGTTTGACCGTACTTCACCATGTTGGCCAGTTTTGTGCTGTGTACCGGTTCAGATATCATTCGTCGACCCTGACATTTGTTGTAGCCGGGAATCGAAACTCAGGTCATCGGGACTCATAGCCACAGTGCAAAAACCACTGTGCCATTGGTCCATCCTCTGCCGAGCTACAGATTCAGATTGTAATAAAGAATGCAACAATATGAGCACAACGCTTCGTTTAAGGTGGTAACGTGACGTTGAATGTTGAACAAAAGAAATATTGTTAGAAGCTTAGTATTACACAGTGTGTTCTTACCACATGCGAATTATACTCGCGAAACACATATTTTGTGGCTTGGCATTCGTACGTAATTTCCATTGCCACTCACATATTTATCTGTGCAGCAACCGAGTTAAGGTGGTCACATTTACGTGCTGCAGTGAATTCCAATGTCAATGGAGAATTTGATAATTACTGAAACATACCGAAAGCATCTGGTTCAGTTTGTCGACTGCCCAATCTGTTTTACCTGAGGCTATAACTGAAATACAGTGCGCGTGCAGTTGTACGCTGCGTGCACTCTCCCTTTCGAAGAGTTACTCAAGTTTGACCTATGCTTATCGACAGAGTTTCTGTCGGATTAAAATATCGCGTGGATTAAATAGAAAGCAGCTCATCGTCTCACACGTCAAGCCCAAGCATTCGGTGTGTTTCCATGCAGGCATTAGCGCCTCCAAAGGAAAAGTTTGTATCGTATGTATAGAGCACAGGATGATTTTGAACAAAAATATCGCAGCAGCTAAATCTTTGCAGCGGGAATGGTGCAGTGCAGTGGCTGCCAACAAAAAATATATAGTGCCAATTAATAGTTATAGGAAATCCTAGCCATGGAATGTGCGGATTGATCACGTAGCAATAATAATGCAAATTATTGACCCAGTCTCAAGACTATTTTTCAGGAGGGTGCTGCTTTGGGATGTTTGGGCAATTACATTGTGAGAGACAAACTATGTAAACGAAACTATTTTTATTTTGCCAGGTAAGGTGCACTGAGCAACACAACTCTTTTTCAGAAGCCACGTGGCCACAAATGATAGCTCAATGAAGTGGCTTATCACGTGGAAATTTATATCAGCCAAATACTCTAAACGCATGTTTCTAAATGTGGAGAGGTAAACCAGATGACCACGGGGACAACACGCAAACTCCAAATATACAGCAAGCGTCAGGGTGGGAATCGAACCCACGACCTCCTGTGTACCAGGCGAGGTAGTTAACATCTTGTCACCGTGCCCACCCGAGAAAGCAGGGAAATCTCACGCCCATGAGGAGTAACACTCAACACTGCCATCTGCTGACTTCCTCGCAACCCCATGTCTACAACAACCACAAGCCCCGGTTCCCACCCACCAAAGTACTACTCACCAGGCTCAAAACCTGTTCAACTTCCGAGATCCAAAGAAGTCGGGCACATTCGGGGGGTGATTTGGCCGCGTGTCAATCAACCGCAGATGCAGCGCACCCGCGTGCATTTATTAAACACTCACGGTGGGTAATTTACGCAGCGGCGTACGTGTGGCGTGCGTGAACCTCTCGTGTCGACGATCGATCCCGCAAGGGGAGAGCACGAGACGAGGAAGCATGCATCTTTCAGTTTCTCATCACACTCGCCCAGTTGTTGAAAATGAGAATTTAAGCACATCCCCGACCTGCCGTGCGACTGCTGAAGTGCCGTTGAATAATGAATGCGGGTGTAAGGAGAACAATAGAACATCACAGGGACAGCCAGGAACAACGAACTATGATCCAGCCTGTGCCGTCCAGAGGATCTGTTGAAAAGGCCCACTCATTGTGCCTCTTCTCTCTGAAGTGTCCCTCCGTGTTCCCTGCACGTGCACCTGCCCCTCTCATTACCATATTATCCCCCCCCCCCCCACATACAATGTTTTCACGTTACATGTTGTGCTTTGGCCCATTGTGCACGAATACGCTTCCTTTAAACCAGAATAAAATTTGAATTTTTATGACACGTAGATGCAATTGCATTTCAAAACAATGAACAAAACGGGGTGATGTTTGTATCACTGGGGAAAAGGCACGTAGTTATCAGCTGCTTATGTTTCTGTTTTAAGAGAAGAGAGGGTGGTTGCACTGCTTTGCAAGAAGTCCGAATGGACGCCTTCGTCACATTACTCGATGCCGACAGCAAAATCTGGATGCAATTGGGGGGGGGGGGAATACAATTCAGAAGTCATAACCAGAGGGAGAGAGAAGGGTCTTGAGGCTAGACTTGAAGAGGAGCAGGAAGTGGACAGCGCAGATGACTTTGGGGAGGAAGTTCCAGACAGCAGAGGAGTGACCTCCAAACAAGCGGTGCTTGATGGCGAGAGGGGAAGGGGAATGGGATGGTGTTCATGATGCCACGTTGGGTGGTGAAAGAGCGGCCGTGAACGTCTCTCTGTGTCCCGCAGGCATGCCCCGAGGGCTCCCGTCCGTTCCGCAACGTGCAGTGCTCCGAGTTTGACGAGGTTCCATTCGAAGGGCGAACGTACAAGTGGGTGCCCTACCACGGAGGTTGGTCTCCCACTTACCCACACCCGCGCACACAAACGCTACGTACACAGCAAGAGAGGCAGATGAATGTAGTTCAGCCCCCCCCCCAACCCCCTGCAAGCGATTCGATTATCACGATTATATTCTTAGTTCTTTCGGTAAAGTCACGTAGAAGGGAAATCCACACCTGATGATGATTGCTTGTGTTGCAGTCGAAACGTCGTGAGAATTTTTATTGTTTTATATTTATAATATTTTATTATTTCCCTTCTACATGACTTTACCGAAAGAACCAAGAATATGAATCCCTGCAGTCACGAAAGCTTTAAATATAAATTTATCACGATTATGTTTCGTTTAAAAATATAATTTTATACACATGTGGTGTTGTTGCTCTGCAGACCGGAAGGTCGATGATCGGTCGTCGCGTTGATAGCATTCGTGGTAATTTCTCACTTTGCGGAATGGGCCGCGTGAAGGCTGCTGCCATCTGCCACTCCACGTTGGCATTGCCCCTTCTACCACACGACGAGCCATTACCACCCGAAATATTGCTTGGCCGTATGCGTGTGATATATATGGTAAATGTATCAGCTATAAGTGGCTGCAGGTGTCGCATAGAACCATGGCATGCAACATTAAAAAAAAGTTACAGCCTTGTGTCAATGTTACACAGGATGATGACCTGTTGCTGCATTAGTCATAGGGATTGATGTTAGCTGTGACCTGGAATTGAACTCTGGTAACCAGATTCATAGCACATTAATGATAATTTCTGTGCCGTTGAGCCAATCCATGTCTGACACGGCGTGGGGAGGACATCATCAAGTTGTAGATTGGCAAAGGACTGTAAATGATTAGTATAGTACACAAGTAGACGTAAATAGAGGTGCATAAGTTCTATAAGATATTACATACGATACATGGAAAATGTAAACTACTTTAGCATTGCCCTTTCAAACAAAACCCCAAGTATGCTAATTAATTCATGCAATCACAAGAGTGGCACGGGTTGCCGAACGCCAACATATTTGTGTTTAAATAGCACAAGGAGCTAAAGATCAACCCAAATCGAGGAACATTGGCACTCCAATCAAACAATTCTGAATTGAGCGCTATTCAGCTGTTGGCAATGCCTTGTTCAATCGACTGTTCTCGAACAAACGTGGCTCATTGTTACATAATGCAAAAGCCCCAGCTCTTCCACCACCACTTGTGCCAATCATTAGATTTGTATAAAAACTATGAGCTTAGGTCATTTCCACATGCTCACAGAACTATATTATTATTAGTGATAAGTGTTTTTCTATCGCTGAACCTATCGACTGGACATCTGTAAAAACGAGCATTATAGCTCATCGGATTCCTCCAGTATAAATACTGATTCTGACCTCAAGTAATTGGCTCAGGCCCACGTGTCCACAGCATAGAGGCACCGAGATGGAAAAATACAAACACCTGCCTGACACCTCTTCTGAGCCATTCCTATTGATATCTGCCAATCTGATGAGTGGCCCACTGCCCACTACACCTACAGCAGACAGTACACACCATTGAGGATGTACATGAATGTGTAGTCCCAAACATTCTGCATCCAGACCATGACATTCAAATTGTTTGTGTATTTTATATTCTATTCCAATTCAGCACTCTGCATCATGTCATGAGATGAAGTGCCCATTTGGAACTCTCGTAGAGCAGAGAAAGCCCCATGTGTCACACAACAGCCCGCAGATGCAGATATCATAAAACTAATTTTGAGATTCGTTCATGTTTTTTTTATCCGCACTCAGAAGTAATGCACTTCCTTCTATATCCTGCAACAGAAAATGCTCATCACATCACAGTAAAACTGATGTTTTATTGTAACAGATTTAGAATTTTGCTAAATAAAGTGAAAAACCAACCTGAATGTTATTACTTCATTTGTAGTCATCGGTGATTGAGGCTGCGACGAACGACTCCCCACACTTAATATCCTGGACTCAAACCCTGAATCTCAGCGGCGCTGTGACTCCCTGAGCCACCTGGCCAGCTCCATATAAGAACTTTTAACGAAAAACAAACCAGCGAGCCCAGGTGATCGATGGCTCAATACCACTCACGTCCATTTGTGTCCGTTCCTCCCGCAGGGACCAACCGCTGTGAGCTGAACTGCATGCCCAAGGGGGAGAATTTCTACTTCCGTCACGCATCGGCGGTGATCGACGGCACGCCGTGCGAGCTGGGAAAGTCAGACAAGTGCGTCGAGGGCATCTGCATGGTGAGAGCAAAGCCAGGCCTGAGCCACACACCTCGTGTTGCACTCCCAAAGCCAGGCCCGAGCCACTCACCTCGTGTTGCACTCCCAAAGCCCGATTCACTCGTTGCAGGGAAGGCAGGGTTCTGTTGGCGTTTGACAAGATAGTGCGAAAATTATGAGATAAATCGAAAATGCGGTGATTTGACTGTATTAGCGTTAGAGAGGAATACAGTGGAAGAGATGACGGGTTGAATTCAAAGAGCTCGGAGGCCACTTCTGAATAAGAACGCCTAAGGAAAGGAAGGAAAGGAAGGAAAGGAAGGAATGGTAGAACAGGGAGGGCGGGGTGGCTTTTGCCAGTAGTGGAATGGGGTACAGGCTGATCACGAAACAAACACAACAGCATCAAGACCTCGGTGCGCCACACAGCAAGAACGCGACAGCTAATTCAGGCAGCAAGTCAGGAAACTGAACGCTGCAGCTTCAAATATGAATTCAGAAACCGTCGCGAACTAAATACCGCATGAATATTTTAAAATGCCAAACGTCCAAAGTACCTCAGTTCCTTTCCCACATCCCATTTCCCACTCATCTAAAAATCTCAGTCATGTTTTAAGTGCGCGAGATGCAAGGTGCATTTGCCATGAAGTTGCAGCCATAATGATATTATCATAATAATGAACTCAGTTTTATAAAGCGCTTTTCAAATAATGATTAGCTCAGTCTAGACACAGCAAGACGTTGCCTGATGCCCTTGACTGCAGGGTGCGCTATCAGTTTCATCTTTCGTTTTTGTGAGATAAATAATATATTTTAAGAATACCGGTTCCACTATATTGTATTCTTTTTGTTTACCTAATGTCACGTTGTGTGACCTTGAAGTTGATGATAACCGTGCATTACTGTAGACCCACAATGCATTAAGGGTTGCCTCAGGGGTGGGGGTGGAGGGGAGGGGGCATGGAGGCGGAGGGGGGGTTTGATCATTTGAGTTGTCCGCGAATTGTTTGCTGCACACACGCAGGGCTGGAACGGTGGTAACGCATCGTGGGGCTGGCGGCTGTAAAAATAACCCAACGAAGCTCGTGGTAAAGCGCGCTCTGCCCCGTGCTGCCCACAGCGGAGATCTCGTGTGCGCAGGTTCCTAAAGCGTCAGGGCCTGGGTAGACAACGGAACCAAAACGAACGTGAAACCACCGGGCACTGCCGCTTCAATCAGCCGCTCCCGCTTGGCTCGTTTCATATACAAACATTTGTCAAAACTCCGATCTCTCTTCAGCATTTGGGTCTTGCCGATAAACCAAACCGATTGGCATATTTGCCGATGACGTGACAACTTGATTTGATTGGCTCCATCGGGTGGTTTGCAGGGTTATAGAGTAAAACAAATGACATCACACATTCCACGGCTATATAACCACAAAGAAGCGAATAACAAATCCTTCTGCGTGTGCAGCGAGTCGGCTGCGACGGGGAGCTGGAGTCGGACCGTGCAGAGGACAAGTGCCGCGTGTGTGGAGGCGACGGCAGGACCTGCTACCCGGTCTCGGGCGTGTTCACAAAGTCCCAGCTGCCTCTTGGTGTGCGCTGGGTCACTCCCCTGCGGCAAGCTGTGCCGGGGAAAACTGTGTCACTTAAAATTCGATTTAAAGCTTTCGTGACTGCATGGATTCATATTCTTGGTTCTTTCGGTAGAGTCACGTAGAAGGGAAATAATAAAATAATAAAAGTAAAACATAAGATAAAATTCTCACGACGTTTCGGCCACAACGCAAGCAGCCGTCCTCAGGTGAAGAACAGGGCTGTCGGAAAGACAGCGTCCTAAGGACGAAACGTCGTGAGAATTTTATCTTATTAGGTTTTAGTTTTATTATTTTATTATTTCCCTTCTACGTGACTTTACCGAAAAAACCAAGAATGTGTCACTTAAAATTTGACTTTTGCATCATCATGCAAATCGCTTGAAGTAACGGGCCCGTTACTGGGCGCGGTTCATTTGCACCGTTTATTAATTATTTTGCATCGGTTTTATTCCTTCCAATATGCATCATAGTGTTCCAAAAATGTTGCTTTTAGGCAATGGCTGCAATCCGCTGGTCCCCTGGCTGGGTGAGAATCAGTGGCGTGCCGATCGAGTGTGCAGGCACCAGTGCAGCTGCACCAGTTCCCATAAGTCAGAAGGGCCCAGGCAACAGGCTACGAAGAGGGGAAGGAGGGGGGGAGGGCAAACAGACAGGAGAGGGGGCCCATCTCATTCCTTAAACCGGGGCCCATGTTACACCACCGATGAGATCGCAGCTCTGACATTACACTGGCAGTGTGTAACCAACTGAACGCTGCACAAATGCCCGATTGATCTTGTCAGTTAGGGTCCGCGTGAAAGTACAAATATGTCCGCTGCGATTGTGTGCTTTCAGGCTACAGCCACGTGGTGCTCGTCCCAGCGGGAGCCACGAGCATCCTCATCAAAGAGATGATTCCGAGCAGGAATTTCCTCGGTGAATTTTCCTCTGGTGCACTGACCGCAACATGAGAATACATCGATCGTGGCAACTGTGTTCATACGGCATTGATTGGCACGGTCGGCTATGTACGGTGCAAAAGAAGTTCAACATACGTATTGATGACATTTGTAGACTCACAAAAACATCATTTTGCGTGTCGTTCGTATTCACTCATGTACATGTACAACCCATTTTGGGTGTTTTATCATACATCACCTGACTGGTTAGTCGAGGTTTGTAAAGGGGAGGGGAGAAAGGCCCAGTGCTGTTTAAAACTTTACTCGGCACTGATGTTGTCCATGGCCTGGAATCGAACTCAGGTGTCTGGTTCGCAGTCCTGCACCAACCTGCACCGCCAAAACCCCATACGTTCACGTAAAGCCATTTCTTTGTCAATCCACTGCTGCATCAGGGACTGCCAACACCACGTGGGCCGTGCATCGTTATTTGATGTTACTTCGCTAAGCTGGTCAGTGCGGGTTGGTGAGGGTGGGGAGCGTAGAAATATGCAATGGAAATTAGCCTTCGTTTCCATCATTAGATTGCGCATGCAAAGTGAACATCAATTGTCGTTCATATAAAAGAACCCGTCATTTTTCTTCTTGGTTCTTTCGGTAAAGTAACGTAGAAGGGAAATAATAAAATAATAAAAATAAAACATAATAAAATAATTCTCACGACGTTTCGGCCACAACGCAAGCAGCCGTCCTCAGGTGGAGAGCAGGTCTGTCCCCGTCATTGCGAATGCCACTCATGGGTCTATGAACCCATTACGTCCCGAGGTGGGTGGTTGTGCCGGTGGTTTTTTTGTTGTTGCCACATGTCCACGTGAGAACCATTGAGCGGGGGCTGCTCAGATAAAGCCTCAGGGCAGACTGAGTGTAACATGAGCATGGCCTTTGCGACGTGAGACGTCTCTCCAGTGTAACTTATTAGCGACAGACAGCTCGAACCTGCTCACCGCTTGCTGCAGACTAAAATAAATTAATACATCTGTAAATTAGTGCCTGGGTTTGATATCTTGTGATTTTCTCTGAGACTAAATGGCATAGCAATACCCTTTGCGGCAGAGCATGTTTGATAGGCTAATTGTTTCAGACACTAAGGAAGGTCCTGTTGGGTGCTGCTAAGAAGTTATTCATAACTAGATGGGGTTGTGCTTTTCTGTAGCCTGGGATATCAGTGATTTAAAAAACATTAGCAATTAGACAGACAAATGCCTCAAATGTCCCGAATGTTTTATAATACTAATGCACACCGACTGCCAAAAGCCGTAGTTGCATGTTTGCTGGGTACGTACTAAAACATCCCAGGATGTGAACAGCACATGCGGACCGACATAAGAAACAACAACAAGAGAGACATCGCTTTGGGCTCAGTGAGCAGTGGCAGAAAACACGGCGCACAACCATCTCAAGCCACCTGTTTACACAAATACAACCCCTCAGCTTTGCACACAAAATACTAATAGACATAAGAGTGTTGTGATTATTAAACAATACATAGTGAAGAAATCATCTAGATTGTAAACTAATTTCTTGAGAACTGCTTTTAGTGTTTCGTTTGTTGTCCTTCCCCCGTGCCTGCGATTAGCACGGTTGGCTACTTACGCTGCGAAAGAGGTTCAACGTACAATAGACACATACAAGGCCTTGATTTGTCACCCTTTGTGGCAGAAGGAATTTCCGAGATTCGAGTTGATTTAATTTAGCCGGGTGACAACTCAGGAAGCCAGAGGACTTAGTCTCATCGGCAAGAGTGACTTGTCACTAAGACGACAAAAACAAACAGAATGAAGTACAGCTATGAATCAAACATAAATGGTTTCAAGGGGGTGAGAGTAGCATCCACGACATTGTCCGTAATCATCTCGAAACCATGACCTTTATTGGCAATTATGAATTAAGTTGTTTTGTAAATTCTGAATTACAGGAGTGTGATAATTATTCAGTTATTGTTGCAGGCGACTGGTTGGCTTAGAATTTGGATGTGGGTGGCTTGTGTGAGCACACTGAGATTGACAATTTATTTTGATTCAAAAGTACAGCTGTAACGTTTTTAATGCTTCATCAAGAACATTTTATTTATTTGCTTATACTGGCTAATATTACATTCTTTCCGTAATTGTGACTTTTAGTGGCGTTTAATTACTTAACGATTTATTGAGTTAATTTTTTTAGTTTCCTACACTGATAAATCTTGCACCATAATTATTTAAACCCTTGCACGACGACGATGATGACGATAACGACGACGACGACGATATCTTCCTCGACCAGCCGCCCGCAAAGTTGATGAGGACGGTGCCGCTGCCGACGACGACGACGTTATTGACGTCGTCGTTATTGTTGTTGTTTTTGAATAACCGAGTGGCTCTGTGTCGGTGCCAGCGGTGCGCACTCTGCGAGGCGAGTACCACCTGAACGGGGACTGGACGGTCGACTACGCGCAGACGTTCACCGCGGCCGGGACGACGGTGGCGTACGACCGCAGCGAGGGCAGCCACCGCTCGGCGCAGAGCGTGCACGCCAGCGGCCCCACCACCGAGCCGCTGCTCGTCGAGGTGCAGAGCACGTGGGTGCTCCAGACCAGAGCCCGACACCAACACAGCCGCCGCTCGCCGCTAAGTGGCGGTGACGACACCATAGCGCGCGTGCCAGGCCGGGTGCACTTTGAGGCCACGTGAAGCATCGAAGGCTCGCTGGCAGGAGGTCGCGGGGCAGACCCAGCTGTCATGGGTTGGCTGACTGAGATGACTGGTAGATGTACCAGCTGTACCCCCCACTGTGCCAACTGTCCAGAGCCCCCACACACATGCCAACACACACCGGGACATCAAAGACAAAAGATCTCCTTCTGTATAGACTGACAAATACGGTCACCGCAATCGCATGCATTCACATGCGATTCTGCGGCCGTCTGGAACGCTCTTACTTCCGATATTAGGAAGCCATTGGAGCAATGCACTTTTAAATCATCGACATTGAAAACGAATTTCTTTAGAACTGCTTTTTGTGTACAGTCTGTTGTCCTTCCCCTGCACCTCCAATGTTCACAGTTGTCTATGTACGGTGCTAAAGAAGTTCAACATACATACAACAGACTTGGTGCAAGTGCTGTTAGCAACCATCTATGAAAGTTGGCACGGTACATGCAGTGGGCGGGTGGGCAGCATCTCGCCCACCGTCTTTGTCTCCCCAGTGCTGATGTTTACACACCGCATCGGCTATTCATTTTAGGCTGAGTCGACCCAGCAGAGGCCCAGTACCGGTTCAGATAATTGTCATTGGTGTTGGCCGTGAGCGTAACGCAGCGCGCTAACCACTGCGCCATCACACACTCGCACAGAGAAGCCTGATCAAAGACACACACAGGTGGACTCGACAGACACGCGCACACACACACAGACCTACAGAGACACAACCTAACCAAAGAGACGCACACAGCTGGACCTGACATGCGCACACACAGCTAGACATCGTGCACACATGCATGCACACATGCACACACTCGCACACAGCAGGACTTCACACACACACAGACACAGCTGCACCTCACACATTTGAGCAAACACACTGCTGGACTTAGCACACGCACATACGCACAGCTGGACGGTATGCACACACTCAGCTGGACCTCACGTACAAAAACACACGTGTACATCGAAGACAAAGACCACGATCCCCTCATATAGCATTGAAGAGACTATTGGGGCAGGTTCTGTTCGCGAGCACCTATCAAGGCTGACACGCCGCACGAGGGGGTGGTGTTACCAGCATTGATGTTTACACACACTGCGCCAGGTACTCATTTAAGGCTGAGTTGACCTAGGGGAGGCCTAGAACCAATTCAGATAACCGGGAATCAAATGACGTGGTAAGGTTCATAGCGCAGCGCGCTAACCACCACAAGGACACAGATCTCCACCACACGCACGCACACACACACAGCAAACTTGTCAACCGAGCTCACGTACAAAAAGCGTGCGTCACATTTCTGAGACGTAACGCCTCTTTCATCACCAACGTGTGCATCGAATGTACCATTTTGCCCACTGATGAAAAATGACAGCGTTACGTGGCATCGACTAGGGAAAGCCCTGTGACCCGTGCCATCCTCTCACAGCTGATCAGCCAGGAGGAGAACAAGGGCATCCACTACGAGTATTTCATGCCCGCGAAACGCAATCGTGCCCAGCTCGGTTACGGATGGAGACACGGGTCGTGGGGCCCCTGCGGCAAGGAATGCAGCGGAGGTGACGCGTCTCACGCACAGCACGGCACTGCCGCACCACCAACTCGAAATCTACTCGCACATATCTACAGTAAAACCTTGGATTGCGAGTAACTTGATCTGCGAGTGTTTTGCAAGACGAGCAAATTTTTAAAATAAATATTAATTTGATAAACGAGCGAGGTCTTGCAATACGAGTAGTGCGTGTATTCGCTTTGTCTGCCGAGCGTCACGTGATCACAACTGATATACGAGTGCAATCCAAGGTTTTACTGTATACACAACACTGCATGAACACACATGCATATATACATACAACACGGAATGTACATACAGCATGGGCAGCCCCACATACGACAGGAATTAAAAAGGGGGACAGCGTTTTTGTCTTTGAACGTCCCCCCACGTGGTTTCTCTGGGGCTGCCAGGATTTCAAACGCGGACGGTGTACTGCTCGTCGGATAATGAGGTCCTGCCAGACGCATACTGCGCGGGGGACATCAGGCCGGCCAGCAACCGCTCCTGCAATACTGACCCCTGCCCTGCTGTCATCCGGTGAGCCACCTTGTACTCCCCAAATAAGTCCATGACACATGACAGGGAGAGGCGGAGGCTGGGCAGTGGGAGAAGTCCTGCATTGTCACAGCTCTGATATGAAACGGAATTTCACAATAACAAAAAACTAAATGTCATCTTTTTCGAAGTGTATTTTTTTTTGCTCAAGCAGGCAAACGGTGGTGGTTGTTCATCTTTAGTTGGTGGTCTGGTCCCAGTGGTGACAATACCACATTCCCATGGCCAGGGCCAGTCTTTTACACAGGACAACCTCTGTTCATTGACTTTACACGAAATGTCATGAAAGGATACATAAGCAGAACTCCATTCTGAGCCTTGTACAATATCAATACCAAATGTTTTAGTCCCAGCGGCAAATTTGGCTTTCCAGACCCGCATTATCCTACGGCATTTCTTTCAGCAAACAAATTCTGGGCCAGTTTGAACATTTTGCGTCTCATCAGCAGTCAGACTAGTTAACAAAATGTAAATGTAGCTGGAGTAATTATATGAACCCCAGCAGGACGATAGACTGAGCCAACCACAACACCAGAGTTGAACCCGCAATAAAATGTACGTCAATGTTTTTGATGTTTTCGTCCGTTGGGGGCTTCATGAATGTAGGCGTCGCCAACTGAACAGAATAATCCCGTGGCATGTACGAGTTTGCAGTTGGGGTGTCCGCCAGAGAAGGCTGCTGCTACTGCTTCTGTACCGAATTCTTCCGAATCGCACCCACCCACTGCCGTGCTGGGTCGTTCATCGTGCTCTCTGCTCTTGTGACAACTGCAATGCGTTTACGACGAATGTTTTTTCTTGCTCGCACACGACTAAAAGGCTCGCATTCAAGTATAGACCTGTGGAGGGGCACAGGCCACACATTGCCCCGTGGATGGACTACAGGTAACAGACACACACACACGGAGGTCACTCCCGATCACGTAAGTACGCATGCTTTAATAATGGTGGTGGAAAATATCTCAAGCAGCTTGGAGGATATGCCGTGTACACGACTTGCCCAGAGCTCGGCAGGTTAAAATGCTGATAAGTCCACGGCATCATATGCACCCTATTTTACCCAGGCACAATTGCTTGTTGGAAAAACGTATCATCCGTGAGTATCTGGATTAGAAAAAAACGCATAATCTTGGCAAGTCATTCAATACACGTACCTCTGCACGTACTTCCCGTGTACTTAGATGCATGACACGGCATGCCCTGTCCATGCAGCTATGTATACGACGTGTAGTTTTAAGAATGCTTACACTCTGTGGATGCTGCCCGCGGTATAATTGTACACACGCTCGACTTGCAATCCAGAGGTCACTGGTTTGATCTCCTGTCAAGGCAGTTGAATCAGTAGAGCATGCTTCTTACATCTCCTGACCCACTTCTGTTCCACCAGAAGTTTAAATGGAAGAGTAGGTCAGAAATACTATCTAAAGGCACTATTCTAGAGCTCCCTCTAGTGGGGCACCTTCTGCCAGCAGTGGTATGAGCAAGGAATTGCAGGACTGAACCTTTAACCATTACACTGCATGAGATTAAACAAATTTCAGACATTTTAAACAAGAAAATGCAAATACACCAATATGAAGAATTTAATTGCATAACAGCTGAAAACGCTGGATAACATTAAACAATCCCCAATTCGTCTCTGCAGTGCACACGTGTTGTACACATCAGACGATGATAGGGCACAACTGCAAAACCGGCGTGCCGCCATTCAGTCCTGCAATTCCCAAACCCGACTCGAGGGCTCCCTCCCCTCACCAACCCTCTGTCGGTCACAACTAATCCCGTGAAAGACGAGTTCGTCCGAGGAGCGGTGGGACCTGTGTGGGGAGGGGGGGGTGCAGGGTAGGGGAAGAGAGGGCCTGCTGGCGCGTGGGGGTGAGTGATTGGGAAGCTCTCACCTCCGGGGGCCTCTGCATGTCAGGGCACGGGGGGAGACGGCATGAGTGGCGGCTCCTGGCAGCCCCGTCTCGGTCACGGCTCCTGGCAGAGCGCCGACCCCCATCGGTCGTGGAAATTCATCCGCGGGCAATTTCCACCGCGTCCGTTGGGTTTTGTGCTGCGGCGCGATTGCTGCTCGCGGGGCGATCAGTGGAGCCGCTAAGCCCACTCAAGCCGCAAGCCAATCTCACGGCGTTTTTGTGTTTGTGGGCCACAAGCAGCTAAGAGAGTGCAATTATGAGATGGTGTTTAAACCCGCATGCGTGCCTGCTAAGATGTTTGTTAATTGATAATTGGTTTTTTACCCTTTGATTGGTCAACACCCGAGACAGCTTTCCTTAGAGCCTAGTCTCACATGGTGTTGGACCAGATGACGCCAAAAGGCGCACAACTCAAAGACAATGCACCATCAGAGTATGAGAGCTCGGGGTAAGCATTTATACCATCAACTTCAAGGACAGTGCATACATTATCAGAGTTATGTTTTTTGTTTGCATTATGACTGCAGGTATTGTGGTCTATGCAAACATGACTCCTTGTAAAAAAGGTGTCAGTTTTGTTGCCAGATAAAAGGGTAATAAAACCAATTATCATATTTTTTACTGGCAAATGAGGTTCCAATGGTGTAAGATGTTTGTTGTTTGTCCCTTCCGGACTGGCTGCAGCTTGGCTCGTCCCACTCTCATCTTATCTCAGCTGGTGGTGTTGATGCTAAACATGTTTCATGAACCTTAGGAGGAATGTGATGGTGGTGGTGGTGGTGTTGGAGGTGGCAATGGCAGGCTTTGGGATAGGTGAATAATTAACTCTGATATTAAGGTAAATCAATTAGTATACAGTTGTGTATAACATATCCTGCAGAATGACATTGTGCTACGTAGGGCGAGGTTAAATTAGAAGGCATGCCATGCCCTCCCTATCTAACCCCTGCCATTCAATGAATTGTAACAATCTGGGTTCATTTCAGTTGTTAGAATTTCAAGCTCCGATTTGATTCAAACATCGAAAAATGTCGGTCCTGTTTTCTGCACCGCTGTAGTATTTCCCTTTTTTGGGTCTTAGTTATTAAGTTTTGTTCTGCTCCATTCGCCTGAATGTAACATGAACATATAATTTGCATGACTGTAAATGATAAATTGTCACACGCATTCTTTGATACGCCTATAATGGGCATAATAATAGCTTTTAATCGATTAACCTACATGTCGATAAATCCCTTTAAACTGGCCATTAATGTATTGCTAACATATCTACGTAATGTATGATATATAGGAGTAACGAAACAGCAATGCAATAACGAAATTCGATGTTTAAAGTAGTGTGTGCATACGAACAAATATTTTGATCATTCATTATATTATATGCAAATTACATGCTGTAAGGTACACTTAGGCTAACGGAGTGAATTATTGTAAAGATGAGACATGAGGTGGCACAAATGGGACAAAAACAAATCAATACCTGAATCAAATTGTGGCTCTAAATCACAAAAATGCATTAAATCACCGGGGTCATGAATCATTGCACCACGACTGAATGCCATCGCCTCTGTCGACAAATCCAAATCACTTTTGATTGCATTTTGTGGAAAGTGTCCCAAAGTCACAGACCACAGAGTCTGCCACTGGGTGATGGGTGCTGACTGACGGTGACAAACTCCTCGAGATGAATTCATTTTCCTTCTCGATGGCGTGTGCACCAGACGTGCCGCGTGATTATGCTACTGACGACACCCAGCGTAATTAATACGCAATACATATATGTGGTGTTGTCTACTATTGCTATCCAATTGGGAAAAATGTTCTCCGTGTTATTCCTTCGAGTCAATCTAACAGAGTCTGTCCCTTGTTGACCAACAATAACCCTCCGAGCTGGCAGAGGCTTCTACAACCAGCTGATTTATAACTCTCAAATGTTCTCCTTGATTCAGTGGCCCCTTTCGCCACAATGATAAATACACCGGTTAAGTACAGCCACATGCACTTGGGAATGTGGCTCACTTTTCCCCTGAGTTGACCCTGGACACCAAGGGTTCTCTGTGCTTGACAGCCTAATGGGTGGCGGAGGAGACTTGGGGATAGGAAGGGAGCTCACTCGGGGGCTTTGGGAAGACGGATCCGAAGGGTTAGGGCCCCAATGTTGTAAATGACTCAACAGTTCATGTCAAACCAGGCTAAACGATTTCCTTTTCACAATGCAGTGAATTATAACCCACTTCAGGGAGGTCCAGCAAATTAATCTTTCGTGAAATATTTTGGTCACAGCAGATACGTTAAATCAATGTATATTCTCACGTAAAACGGCTGTCGATAAGCCTTTGGGCGCACACACGCCCACTCAACAATTGTGCGATCATCCGTCCACGCAGCTACTTCTGCCCCACGGTCCGTTAATGATCACCGTGCTGGGCAACTGGCGCTGTGGCCGTCATTCTGCGTGGCCGCCCGTCTGCCCACTCGATATCGCGCCGCGCCCCTTCTCCCCCACCACCACCACCACCACTCATCCACAGAAGACACTTGTACTGCACCCCCGGGTCTCACACGTTGGCTCTGGGCCACCGATTGTAAACCCCTGGCTTAAACGCTTGTCCTAAAGTAATTGAATTTGGAAATATATTTTTTATATATATGCGAACCCAAGTGGATTTAACCCGTGTGTGACTTCACAGATTAGTTTTTTGTTTTGGGGGGGGGGGGGGTTACTGATTTCAGCACAGCTTCTTCGACTTATATTTCATCTTTTAGACCATCTCTTCAATCCTTCTTCGTGTTTGTTTTTTTCCTCTTGGAATTATTGAGAAATTTTTTTTAACGATCAATGCTTAATTTCAAGTCTTAGCGAGCACCGAATGCATGGTTTGGCAGAAAGGAGGCAAATATCGACTATATTGATGAAAATAAATGTATTGATACTACCTTCATTAGGTTTGGCTGTGCTGTGCCAAAAATGAACATAAACTACATTTCAACCAACACATTTGACTTTAAATAATAATAATTATAATACATTATTTAATGTCCTGAAACCTTTGATTGATCCTTGAGCTCAGCAGAAAAGAAGCAATTTTTTCGTAGCAACGTATAAAAATGCCAAACTTAGCCTCACAATGAAGGCAATTATTTCCATTGGGTTAGACACAGACGTCAAAACATTGTAAGGGTTCAGGCAGTGGATAGTCATGGGGGGGAGCCTCCGTCAAACTAGCCAGTCACCCATGGATTGATAGAACACCTCAAAAATCCACAAGTCACGCCTGCTATGCTTCCATGCCCTCGGCCGGCCTCCGTCTACGAACATGAAAGTTTACCCAGCGTGCGCCGTCTGCCCATCAGCTGGCGCGTCGGGGACTGGGGCGGCTGCTCCGTCACTTGCGGCGCAGGTGAGCAGACGCGGCCCGTGCGGTGCATGAGCTCCGGCCGGAATGGCAGCGTCGGCGGCCAAGACGGGCGGGTGCCGTCCTCTGCAGCTGCTGCTGCTGACGAATCGGCGTGCCTCGCCTCCCTGGGGCCTGCCCCGGCCTCTCGGCAGAGCTGCTCCCTCGAGCCCTGCCCACAGTGGATCACTGGATCCTGGGAGCCGGTGAGTGACGTCCACCACGGAGATTACAGCAGGGCGATCCTGGCCCCGCTCGCCCCGTGGGGCCATGAGTTCACTCTCCATGTGAATTGAGCTTCCAGGGCCCACGGTCACAACGATCCTGCCGGCTCACTGCTCAGTCTAGGATCCTTGGGAGACGGTGCTGTCCTCTGAGCCTGTGTGTGGGACTATGGGCCTCGTGATACAGGGTGCTTCAAACATTTTTAACACTTCTGAGAATTTGAAATAATACCACGAGAAATGTGCCTCCGGGCTCTGGAGACCACCTGGAGAAGATTCCAGGCATCTGTTGACAATGATGGCGAACAGGTGGAGACTCACTTTTTGGAAGTTATTAACATCACATTTGTTATCATGTTACAGTGAATTATCCGTTCTTTTCCATTAAAAACGAGTCCCATATAAGTGTTAACATGTTTTGAAGCACTCTGTATATACACACGCACACACACTGCTTGGCTTATGCTGGCTTCATTATTGATACTTTTCCACTTTCGGAGTTTGGGAAACATGAGATGGTATTTTATACGTTTAAATGTTCAGGCCTTGCAATCCTCACGGTGCATAGTACTTGTCTACATCACCGGGGACTCGTGGCAAGGCATGGACCCTCTCCCTTGTGTTCTATAGATATACAAACATCATCATGGGAGAACTCACGGTCATGATCCAAGGTAGGATCGGCCCACGGACTTAATCAGGCTCACGGTTCCTCAGCTCTTACAAAGGAATGTAGTTTGTGGACAGGACCTAAATGCATTGTTTCATCCCAGAACTATGAAAGGTCGGGGATGGCTTGGAGAGACCCTCCCCCGATGATTTCGTTTAAAGAATCATGAAGTGTTGCTACATTGCGCAGGTATATAGTGCGCTGGTCACGTGGGCTTGAATGGTTCATGAGAGTGAACTTGCGGTGTGATTGTGGTCCACTTGAGGGATAATAGTGAAGAGCCGTAGCGCTTCCTCAAGTGTTGCTCAACAGCGGCTGAGAGCCCTGGAGAACATTTTACTCATTGCCCTCATACATCTTCCCTCCCAATTGCAACTCGTAGTCTTTTCAGGCTGCTGTCATTCGTCTTACCAAGTTGGGATCTGTTCGGGGAGGGGGGTTTCCCCCTTTTAAGGCCGCAGTGTAATTGACGACTGTGTTGACTTTTTGTAGTTTCAACTTACGCACCACTGCCAACGCAGTGTCACCAAACTATTTAGCCCTGTTCGGTTGTTAATACATCGTGGTGCCTCCAGACGTCTGTGTTTGCCTCGTGAGAGACACACTACACACATATCGGTTTAGTGATATGGGAGGAATGGTTGCACAATGGTTCGCACACCATGCTCTTCTTCAACTCGGTGAACGGATTTTGATTCCCAACCACGGCTAACACCGGCGGTGAGGAATATCTGAACTGGTCATGGATCCACACCCTCCTTTATCAACCGGCACTGACCAGCGGAGTGAAGTACGGTCATCTAACCCCCATGACCGTATGTAAGTTGAAATTATTTCGCACCGTACGTTGCCAACCGTACTAATCAGAAGTGTGGGGGAAGGACATCGAACTAAACACGACACATAGGAGACCTTGACAAGACGCTGTGCAATTGTATAATTGATATCATCCAGATGTTAACCTTCAAGCTGCCTCTCAATAAAAAAAACCAAATGAAATATTGGGAGTCCGTTACACACCACCACTTTTCCACTGTACAACTGAGCTAAACCAGGGCCATGCTGAGTCAGCACAGCACGGCTCTGGAGGTGCCAGCTTGTTTGCCGACTGCAGAAGTCGACCCCTACCCTGCCACTGACGTCTCGCACAGACACCAAACGAGCCGAGACACATCGAGATGACATGGTGATGCCGCATCTTCACACACCGCTGACTAATGTCACGCGCGATGAACATGTCGTTAGCCTCGGAGCTGGCCCTGCTCGGCCTCGAGCGAGATTCCGAGGCCTACATATACTGGAGGAAGGGCCTTTGCTATTGATGCCCCCAGGGTCTGGAATGCTGTTGCAAATAAATTGAAACTTGAGTCACTACCTATGAGATCTTCACTCAAAACTGCTCTAGAGGAGTTGTACACCCCTAGCTGCCAGTGCTATTCAGTGACCTAAAATGAAATGTTTCGCTCCGGATGATCGCTACAAAGTATGACCTGTGTTTTGATTTAGTGTGCTGATCTTAAAGGTGCATTGAAAATTTACAATACTCCGATTGATGCTCCTGCTGTTGTGGAGTGACTCATGCAGCCAGCTATGGCTGCAGGGTTTTGGTAGTACATGTTGTTTATGCCATTTATTGTGAAAATTCCGTCACAGTTCCTATGATTGCTTTTTCATTGCTTTCATGGCTTTATTTTGGTGATTTCGAAAAGTGTATTGGTTTGGCCATGTTTGTTTGTTGTAGTACAGAGTTAGACTGATGGCCTTAATCTAAGTTGTCTTGTGGTTGTTGTTGTTGTTTGACTTGCATCCCACTGGGATTTTTGCACACAGTGTTGGTGTAACGGTGTTTTTTCTGCAATATTTTTGCTGTCTTTTCTTGGATTTTCTGTTTGCACTTAGTCACATATTCACTTTAAGATGTTTTTTGTTCATGTTTTAGTTTTTTGTTTGTTGCGGTTGCACCCGATTCAAGAGCTGAATGGCTCACAGGGCTATACCTAATAAATGAACTTGAACTTGTAAAGCCAGCGTAGCACGGTTTGGTTCCGGCTTGGTACGAAAAATATCCAGTGGAACATCAAATGTGCTGTGTGCTGGCTCGGCTCAGATGTGTCGGTGGAAAAAGGTGTATTGGTGACAGCGCTCACGTGTTTGTGTGTTTGGCCGGGCATGGTGCTGGCCACCTACTCCCTCGTGCGCTGTGCCAGCCTTCATAGGTGCTGCTCGCTAACAGCCCTTGCCCCAACAGTCTGCTAAGGCTCTAACGGGTGGGGATCTTTGTCCTTGTTCGTTACAGTGCTCAGCGGAGTGTGGACAGGGCCGTCAGCAGCGCCAGGTGTCGTGCGGATCCGGCGACGGCGGCTGTGAGCAGCAGGGGGCACCGCCCTCCGAGCGGGAGTGCAACCTCGGTCCGTGCCGCAACCCCGAGTGGAGCGTCAGTCCCTGGAGCGAGGTGAAACCGATTTGACATCTTCTTTCGTCTTTCTGCGCTATAGGCGTCACGCTGCGAGAGACACGTGCCCGTTTGAGACTCTCGCAGCGCAGTGCATTACCGTGTGCGAAAAAGCGGGCCGCAGAAGCATATATCACAGAACTTCTTCTGAGATCCCAAGTGACCTTTTTTTATTCTCGCTCGCGGCAGCTCTGTTGCATGACCTCTGATTAACACGGCTGGCTACGTACGGTGGCAAAGAAGTTAAATATGCATGCGGCATGCATACGTAATCGTCGGTACGGCACAGTCAATGTTGAATCTATGAACTCGCTACACTTGAGAACCCAGTTTTATTATAAATAGCTGAAGCCCAGATTCCAACTCAGCGTCCCCATCAGTTCTGGTTCAGCTGCCGAGCCACCTTGGGAGGGAGGGCAGCCTGAATAGACAGAAGCTTAACGGTAATGACAGCACAGGGTAATTGCGCTGGGGTAGTGGGTGGATTTTGACTCGCCCGGAAGCCAGGCAGCAGGGCCCTCACGTGGCGCTGCGGGTCTCTCGCCCCCCCCCCCGCCCCAGTGCTCGGCGACGTGCGGCACCGGCGTGCAGACCCGGGCGGTGACGTGCGGCACCGGCGCGCAGACGCGGGCCGCTCAGCTGGCGCAGTGCAGCCCCGCCGGCATGCCCCCCGCCAGGCAGCCGTGCGAGCGTGCCGCGTGCCCCCCGCAGAGCTTCGGCTGGTTCGAGGGGCCCTGGGGGCTGGTGGGTGCCGAAGCAACGGACACACGCGCACGCATTTCAACGAACACTGCTCGAGAAGGGAAAGGCTGCAAGCTTGCAGACATGCTGCGTCGATCGTCACGCAGAGATGGGCAACATACATTCAAATCGCATATTACGGGATGAACGAGATTCGATACATATGACCAATTAATCGCGTCTCGTGTAATTTAGATACAATTTACCGGTTATGTTTACATATTATGCAATTAATTATTGACATTATCTGCAATTTAGATTATGCTACTCTCTGTTTACGTGACCACGTTCGGCTGAATATGCCTAAATCTTGTCAGATATGACAAACCAAGCGGGGGTTGAGCACGGTTAGTTCTTGGTGGGAGACGGATATTTCCAGGCTTGGACTGCACAGTGGCCAGACAATTGTGGCACCGCAACGCGCTCTACACAGTGTTTGTATGGAGCAGTGTCCCCTCGAATACGTGGCCTTTCCTCAAGGATTCCGGTTTCCTCCCACATGCCAAACACTTATTAAAAAGGGAATTATCCAAACATATTCTTAGGTTTTTTCCGGTAAAGTCACGTAGGTATCCAAACATCCCGATTCCAAACCCTCCTGAGGCTTTCCTTTCTAAAAAAACGAATAATTGTTATTTCCTCTAGTTTCAACACAGTCATTAAAATTGACAAACAAAAAATAAATCGTTCCTTATTGGATTAAATAACCAGGACCAAAAAAAATCGGGTTGGTGGAAAGGCAGTTCCTGTAAATATTTACAAAAAAGATAGCCGGATTTGAATTTGGTATCAAAAGAGCATCGCTCTCCACTGCCTTGCGGCTCTCATCTTGCAGACCGCCTCCCTGATTAATGCGCCACATGAACACTCTCTCTGGACCTCAACACCACATGAACACTCTCTCTGGATCTCAACACCACATGAACACTCTCTCTGGATCTCAACACCACATGAACACTCTCTCTGGATCTCAACACCACATGAACTCTCTCTCTGGATCTCAACACCACATGAACTCTCTCTCTGGATCTCAACACCACATGAACACTCTCTCTGGATCTCAACACCACATGAACACTCTCTCTGGATCTCAACACCGCTGCAAGCCACTTCCTCATCTCAAGCTTCTGCCGATTTTACATTTGTTGTCTGCTGCTGAAAAAATTGGCAGAAAATGTATTTCCACCTTCACACTTCACACCTCTGATTAGCACGGTTGGCTACGTACAGTGCGAAATAAGTTGAGCATACATACATTAATTCGGCCTCATTTAATAATGATTTCAAAAATACATTTGAACTTAAACTACGCCTCACAGCGTTCGCGCATTCTCGATGAGTGAGAATGACTCAGAGCGGCACAGAGGAACCGCAGACGAGTGGGAAAGGCAGCAGCCAAGTGGGGAGCCGGCACTAAATCCAACCCCTCCAAGCTCTGCGGTCCTCTGTATATGAAGGTGTTATTGGCCAATCAATGAGTGTTTACATGCGCGAGGAAACTTGAGCACTCAGAGACAAAACACGTGTCAAATTGAATGGGTGGCGTCCACATTTTGCAGGACCGCATTCTTACAGCGAGCCAGGCAGTGGAGCTTCGACGCCCATGGGAAGGGCGTTTCACACCACGTGTGCGATCCGCCAAGCCCTCGCCTCCACAGTGCTGGTTTACAGGCGTGCATTGAGCCACCACCGCCTGGCTCAGATCTCCCTCTATCGCTCTCAGCCAGTGCTCATCGCTGCAAGGCCCGCGGGCCACTGGTGGCCCCCCTCATGGCCTTTAGTGAGGCCCCTGACGTGCGGCCCCCGACAATATTGTTTTATATTTTTATTATTTTATTGTTTCCCTTCTACGTGACTTTACCGAAAGAACCAAGAATATGAATCCCTGGAGTCACGAAAGCTTTAAATCTAAATTTAATACACAAGGAGTGAGAAACCCACCCCCCCCCCCCCCCCATCATCATTGGCTTCGTCGTGCCGCTGTCAAATCCCCTCCCAATGGTTTCAAACGTGTGGCGGCCCTCACACTGATGATGTCTTATCGGCAAAAGTGCCCCCCCCCCCCGACCCCCCTCTAAACATTAGTGAAGAACATTGCTCTACGTACTCGGGCGCTTTCCGACGAATGTTCACTTCCGCGACAGTGCTCGGTGAGCTGCGGCGGTGGCCTGCGCAAGCGCCAGGCCCTCTGCTACAACGAGGACTTCGAGGTGATGGACCCGCGGATGTGCGGCGAGGAAGGCCATCCCACCGAGGAAGAGGCCTGCAACACTCAGCCGTGCTACCTGCCGCAGGGTGGGGTGCCCAGCAAGCTCATTCATGCCGTTCTCACCGACGCGTCGGCCGTTTAGTCAGACTCACCGTCACCTTAACGCGCGTGCTCACACACACGCTCACACACACGCACGCACACACACACGCTCACACACGCACGCACACACACGCACACACACACGCACGCACACACGCGCTCACACACGCTCACAACCACGCACACACACACGCTCGCACACACGCACGCATACACACACGCATACACACACGCACACACACACGCTCACACACACGCACGCACGCACACATGCACACACACCACACACGCGCATTGGCGGTCACAATACAGCGTGCAGTGGAAGTTATATCACACAACTTAGACAAAACCAGAAACATTCAATAATTAACAATAACCAGTGGAAGATTCGTAGTTATAACTTAAATCCCATTTAGATATATTTTAGCTTTTTACGAAATCGATCAAAACTGCTTACATTCACAATGACCAATTGACAATTCCCATTGTACCTTAAAAATTGGATGGATATTAAAGGGATTTTAACCTCAAGAGAGATGCAATGCCTTTCCACGAACGAGGATAATAATTAACAAGTGTAGTATTTACTCTTTTCGGGCAAGACAGCAATTTGGCCCAAGTCTTCCAATACAATGATTCAAATGTGTAATGCATAATAAACCAGATAAACGTGGTGGTAATGTCTTTCATAAACTCCTCAAATACAAAGTGCAAAGTGGTGTGATTACCAAAGTGGTGATTATCACTTTGTATTAATGAACAAAAAGAGTTCACAATGTGTGTGCCTCACCATCGTGTTGCGTAACAAACTCTTTCACAATTGTCTGATGCGTCAGTTCGAGAGCCCCCTGTCATGGCTACACAACCGTAAAACTCACTTTGTTGTTGCGATTTCACAGAAGTGCCGAGCCAGGCGAACCCATTGGGATTCGACAGCACACAGCACCGGGTTTACTCCCTGCAAGGTCAGGCAGCATCCGGCAAACACGCAGGACGTGCGGAGAGAGGCGTCAAAGATGTCACGATCCCTGTTACTCCATCACAACGCTGAAACAACCAATCACAAAGACAAAGATCCCCCGTATAGCCTTTACCGGGCTGGTCGGACAAGTGCTGTTAGCGAGTAGCACCTATGAAGGCCGGCACGGCACCCGAGGCGGTGGGTGGCCAGCACACCACGCCCGGCCGCCTTTGTCTCCCCAGTGGCAATGTCTACACACCGCACCAGGTACTCATTTGAGGCCGAGTAGACCTAGGGGAGGTCCAGGACCGGTTCAGATAATCGTCACTGGGCGTTGGCCGCGAGCGAGAATCGAACTCGGGTCGCCGGGTTAGTAGCGTGGGCGCGCTCACCGCTGCACCGCCGCTCCCCGACGCCGTTCTTCCACGCGTGCGCAACCGAGCGTGGCTCCCCGTGCGCGTATGCAGGAGGCGCGTCAGCTCGGGGCCAGTCCGAGCACGTGGGTGAGCGTCCCGAGCGCGTGGGTGAGCGTCCCGAGCGCGTGGGCGAGCGTCCCGAGCGCGTGGGCGAGCGTCCCGAGCGCGTGGGCGAGCGTCCTGAGCGCGTGGGCGAGCGTCCCGAGCGCGTGGGCTGCGCTGGCTCCTATTACGGCTGCTGCCCCGACGGGAGGAACCCGGCGCACGGTCACCGCGGCGAGGGCTGTCCCGACGTCTCCTGTTACCAAACCAGGTGCCGCACGATCCCCCCCCCCCCCCCCCCCATGTCAAGTTCAGAAATCGATCGGTTGATCGATCGGTCGACCGAGTCAATCGAGTCGGTCTGTCGATGCGCAATGTGCGACCAGATATCAGGAACCAAACCGATTTCGGGGCAGCGCTGGATGAGCACGGTTGGATACGTGCGGTTTGGTGTGCAGAAGGCAGAGACGTCCTCAAAATTGATCAATGAGGAATACTTGTAATCGGCCACCAAAGTCACCGGACTTCTATCCGTTGCATGTTATGAACAAAGTGACATTGTGGAGAAAGGCTTACATGTTTCCTTTTGCTGTTATTTATCCCAAACGACGACACACTTCTGTAACGATCCCGTGCATTCTCAACTCCAGGAGGCTTCAGTGTTACCAAACGTTTCGCCCTGCCTGCTCGGGTTTCAGCCTCGGCGGATTAAAAGCATCGAGGAGCTCGCGCGGCCTCCATTAACACGGCTGACCACGTGAATTAATGTTGACATGAAAACGGCTGGCCACGTTAATTTATGGCAATGAATGAATGTTAACATCGCCATTAATATCGCAGGCCGTCGTGAGCCAGTCATGTTGTGTTGACTCTCCACACGGGGTTAAGCAGTCTAAAGAGACACAAGAAAGGGCAGTTGCTCATTATTTTCTCCAGGAAAATGTTTGAAGAGCGAGCGGAGAAATGTAAATTACTTTGTGGGGATCTGTTGGAGGAGGCTTGAGATGGTTGCATCTGCTCTTGTTCTCATTAGCGTTTCCCTCCTTTGGAGATTACCTTGGTGGGGGGTGGGGGGGGTCGGATTTCGGGGTTTTATACAACGAGGAGCAGCTGCTAAGCGTTGAGAAGATGTGTTACGGTAGAGAATACCTTTTCTCTGTTGCCAACTGCTTCGCGTTTTAGATCCCGGACCTCTGCAAAAGTTAAGAGCTGGTTTCCACTCAAAGACGTGTTGGGCCGCGATAATCTGCTGGATCCTGCGGTGCAAACTCCACATTACCATGCCAGGGGTGGTCTTTCCATAGGTCGACCTGCAGATTTCCCACGAAAGTGGTACTCGTGTTATTGATGTCGGTGGTGGGATGATGGGCCGATTCAATCCTCGACCACAATTTGAACTCACAAGCCTGCTGGACCGTGAACCCCGTGTGCCAGCCACTGAACCACGTGGCGAGATGCAGCGTGATGCACATTGCGACGCACAGGGCAGCCCAAAACGTGGCTTACCGAGGTGCTTCCTAGCTAAGGCCATCCTGTGACGCTGGCACAACCGGGCAGCTCAATTCCTCCACTTGTCACGGTCTTGTGCCGTCACTCGGAGCTCTCCCCACATAATAGCACCTGCAGATACGAAATGCTTATGCGATATCCTTTACGAGATTATATATAAGAGTTTCTCTTCTATTTACACAGTAATGCCCAATTAAACCATTGTTCACCCCGCCACATGCACGGCAAAAGTCAAGATGAAGGTGCAGCCCTGCAATTGTTTGCTCAAGCCTCTGCTGGCAGAAGCGCCGCCCGTAATAGAGGACGCTCAAGATGGCATTTGGCCGACTCTTACACACTGGCAAAATGTCTTGAAATGAGTTGGAGGTATCCACACTTTACCCCACTAGACATGACCTGCAGATCGACCTTGTTAACAAATTATACTGCTTGGGTGGACAGAGGCAAGAGGTCCCAAGAAACTTGCCCCATCGTTTAAACCGCCGCTCAGGGTGAACAAATTGAACCGGCGACCTCTGCATTGCAAGTCCAGCGTGGCGAACGATTGCACCGCGGCAGCGTCCCTCGCTCTCTTAAACCGTCGCCCCGTTTAACCGCCGGCTCACCGGGGCAGGTTTGGCTGCTGCCCCGATGGCGTGAATGCAGCCAGGGGGACCGATGCCCTGGGCTGCCCCTCGGGCTACGACGGAGGAGAGGAGCACGGGCCCGAGGAGTGGGAGGAGGCCGCCGGGCGACAGGAGCCCCACGGGAGGGAGCGCGAGCGCCCGCGGGAGTCAGCGGTCGCAGCCGGCCAGGTGATCGTCGCATGCAGCGGCGCTCCACAGTTGTGGCAGTAAAATACTCGAGAGGGAGGGAACGAGCGTGTCCGCCTCTCTGGTGGCCACGGCCTCAGGGCAGCTTCTCTTCATTTCGGCAGCACGTGGACACTGAACACCCCCCCCCCCCATCACACACACGCCACCACCCCACCCAACTCCACTCACCCACCACTTTCAAAATGAAAAAAATGCAATAATGGAGAAGATGGAGTATCTGTACAGTATTGCAAGATAACTATGTTAGAAATGCATTTGCGTGGTGTTTATTTGTTTATTTACTCACCCACCCAGGAAAAGCTCGCAGAGTCACGAGACATTTCCAGGAGAGTTTTTCATCGTGACGTTTTGGCTTTTCAATCGAGCGTTTTGCGTGTGGGTCGGAAACTTGAGCACCCAGAGAAAACCACCCAGCATGCACGGAAATAACACCGACAGATCCACAAGGATGGGATCACAAACCCCCTGGTTGTACAGCCATCTCCTGGCCACCTTGTGGCACAGCAGATTTGAGAGTTTCACAAATCTACATGACCCACCAACCCTTGCCTCCGCAGCGTACATCACCGCACCACGTTGGAGACGCGTGGCTTACATGTACGGCACCTTAGCACGCTGTGAACATACGCCGCGTACGTTGGCTGTGGCTCACAACACCAACTCGGTGAAGAAACGTCTCAAGTTCCTCTTCTTGTCTCTGCGCGCCCCGTCACATTGTCTCCTCCAGCCGGTTGAGCGGGCTGCTCATCCTCCTGCTGTTGCGGAAGATTGCCACGGACAGAGGTTCGGCTGCTGCCCTGACCACGTGTCCCCGGCACAGGGACCCAGCGGGGAGGGCTGCTCGGGCATCCGTGACGGAGGTGAACATTATGGTGTCTCTCCCATAACCACGTGACTCTCTCCCGTAACCACGTGACTCTCTCCCATAACCACGTGACTCTCTCCCATAACCACGTGACTCTCTCCCATAACCACGTGACTCTCTCCCGTGCGCCCATGACTCTCGCTGCACACTGGAGCTGGACTGTCTGATTATTTAAGAAATATATTTCTCTCCCGCGAATCGGTTTGATTACACTTCTTCTCATGGCTGATATTCATGTAGAGCAACAAATATGATTTTACATTGAGGTGGACGAGCCAGATGATTGCGTCAAGAGTAGCGGAACGTATCTCTGTGATGATGCCTCCTTTGTAATTGTGAATCGGGCACCAAGTCATTATTTGATCCATGGCTGTTCTGGGTCAGTATAGTCGCACGCGGGAGAGTTTTTATTTTAAATGTGCGAATAAACTATCCGCATCTGCCACGGTTTGTGCAGATGATGCAGTTTAGAGTTGTGGCCCATGAGCTTCGCGGATGATCAAAGGCAGGGGGATCTTTTGCTTTGGGTATTTCATGCGATGTTTGTTGGCAACTTCTTGTGAACTCCTTTCGGCTTTCCAATGACGGTGAAAATGTGACAATGATGCTCATAATGATGAAAGTGATGCTAATGTTGATGATGATCCTGATGATGATCATGTTGATAATGATGATGATGGTGCTGCTGCTTATGATGCTCACAGTGATGATGATGATGATCATTAAGCTGATGCTGCTGCTTATGATAATGATGATGGTCATGTTGATGATAGTGAAAGTAATGCTCATCTTGATGATCATGACGATACTCATGGTGATGACAGTCATGCTGGTGCTGCTGCTCATGATGATGACGCTCATGTTGATGACAGCGATGCTCACGGTTATGATGATGCTCACGATGATGCTCATGATGATGATACTCATATTCATGATGACGTTCGTGGTGATGATGGTGATGAGCAATGCTGATGCTGGTGCTCGTGTGGATAATGACGAAAGTTAATGGCGATGACCGACGGTGGCAGCGAGGCCCGCGTGCAGCCTGCCCAGCGCCAGGGGCACGTGCGCCGACTACACGGCGCTCTGGTTCTGGGTGCCGGCGAACGGCGCCTGCAACCGCTTCTGGTACAGCGGCTGCGACGGCAACGCCAACCGCTTCGACTCGGAGGAGGCCTGTGTGCGGACGTGTGCGGCGCAGACCGCCGAGCAGCAGGAGCCACGGCGCGCGCACGGGCAGCAGCAGCAGCAGGCGCAGAGTACCACGCATCGCCACCACCACCACCAGGCGCAGGCGAGCCACAGCAGCGCTGCCGCGGAATCAGAGGCAGCCGTCTCGTCGCGGTAGTGGGCAATCGAGGTGTATTCTGGCAAACCTGATGTATGTATAGAAGGTAGTTCTTTCGCACCCGTACGTGCTAATCGGAGGTGCGGGAGAAAGACAACAAACTGCGAACACAAAAAGCAGTTCTGACGAAATGAGTTTTCAATCTCAGGTCAAAAGTGCATAAGCTCCCAGTGGCCTCTTAGAAACGCGCAGAGTAAGACCCCGATTTACGTCTCCGCCCTTTTACGTCGTTTAGAAAGTATGTCGTCGCTTTATTAACACCGCTTCCCGATTTGCATCACCTCAAGCCACGCTTATGCCGGTGACAGGATCGTCCGTCCTTTCTTGTATGCGTCGCAGTCTCAGCCGTCGCCTACCCTGTCAATCGCTTTGATTTACGTCGTTTCGATATTGGTCGGCGCACCTTTCAGCAACGTGTCTCCCACGTAAGGCAGGGTACTACTGTATTTATATAAATGTGGGACCTGTTCCATTATTTTTGTATTAATTGGAAAAGTCCAAAAATCAGGCAGAGATAGAAATTTTAATTTATCCATAAATGAGAAATCACAAGAAATTGTCACTTGCATCACGTTCCTTCTATGGTTTTCCCATAAAAAGTGGAATCATGTGCTGTTAGCATGATGACGCATTCAATTATTACTTAATAGAAATGATCTGAAAATCTGAGGGCCTTTGTTACCTCCTGTAAAAATCCTAAATTCTGATCTTTCCCACCTGTAGGCAGGTGGCAACAGAGTTGCCACCTGCCCTGGTTTTCCCAGTATCATCCTCTTGTTGAGGTAGCACTTCTGGCAAATCTACAAGTCTTCCTAGGTTTTTTTCCAGTTACATAATAATGCACCACTCAAATAAAGTGCATTTACATGTAGCACGTTTGGTGCTACTGCATTGGCAAGTGGTGCACAGGCCCAAATAACAACACACTCAGCACGTTCGTCCATAACGCTGTGTCGCCTTTAAAGGAAAAAATATATAAAATAATCAGTGACGTTTTGGGCAATGGTCCTTATTCATAACACAATGCCAGAGAGGCCTTAGAGGTCGAGTGGACAAGATGGACACTGCCCTCTACAGCATGGGGCCACCATGGGCCTTACATGCAGTTCTTCCCTCTCCCCTCTTCCAGTATTGTAAGACGTTTCTTCTCGAATATAATATATCCTATTATAGCTTTATTGGAACAGTTTACAAATCCAGGTTTGTGTCATCTCCACACGTGACCAGCACAACTAATTAAATTAATCCGCCTAATTCGCCTGCTCTCAACAAAAGGCCACATTCTAGACAATGAGATATTGTGGGTGATCAATGTTTTTGACCAAAGCGCCTCTCAATTGCAGTGTGATGCAATAGTAATGGATTTATGAAGAGTGTACACATGTGATTATCTCAGGACGCTTAATGAGGTGGCCAGAATGTGATAGAGTGGAGATTAGAAATGGCAAGAGAACTCAAGAGGTTGCTAGAAGACGGCAGTACATCAAGTGAGTTCATCAACCCTTCAGTGAGGGCCTTTGTTACCTCCTCGTGAAGCAACTGACCAAACACCACAATGCAGGACCCACACATCCGATGAGCATGGTTGGCTACCTGCGGTGCCACAGAGGTTCAACATACATACATACTCCTCAAAACATATATCCTTGAGATTTAGTGAGGTTTTCATGGATACATACATTGGATTATATTTAACATTACTTATTTGACTTTTAAATATAGGTATAGGCTGCAAGCGGGGAAAGAACAAAAGCAATGAAGATGAAAGTGACAAAAATAGGAATGGAAATTGACTGAGGGAAGTCAAATATTTACTTAACGAGTCAACTCAAAAAAAGCGGAGTCAATAAAAGGTCAAACTGGCAATGAGACTTCAAGATTGAGGCCTCTGCAAACGTTTGCCGCTGGAACATTGGTTGAGAAGACCCATGAACAAATGGAAATAAATCTTATATCATTTTTGTTTATTTACTTATTTACTGCTTTTTGTTGTCGCGGATAGTGCCCTAAGTGTGAATTGTGCATAAGTAGACCGTTTTATTTTGGAATCACCTACATCTTGTAATAACATTTCTAATGTGCCATATACCACAGATTCAGCAAGAGGAGCATTCTTTTGAGACGCATCACCGGGAAGCTGAGCACAAGCCTCAGCCAGAGAGGGCAGACAGGCCCAGTCAGCCAGTCTACAGGTGAATTTCGACTCAATGTAACAGATTGTTTGGTGATGCTGTGTTTGGTATTGGTTCTCAAGTGGAATTAACGACAAAACTGACACTCGTCAACAACACTGCAAACGGCAACGTTTCAGGCAATAGCTCTTCTTCATGGCACATAAACAGAGAACGCAGAGAGATGAAAGTTGCAGACTGCATTCACACCATGGGACCTGATGAGAATAATGTCTGTGACTATTAATAGTTATGTAATATTATCTATTGAGTGGCAGAAAAAAAATCCTCAGTAATCAAAAATAGAACGAAATGAACGGATTTATATTAAAAGTTAAATTCTAAAATCCACTATTGCTGGCACAATGCATTGTGAGAAGGTGCATTCTGGCAAAGGAAGAAACAAGAGGCAATCCCCCTGGCAGTGCATTCCTGGGCCCAATTACCATTTAAAAAGAAGGAATTAGACTACCATGCAATTCTGAAGGAGAGAAGTCTAGGAAATGAAAATACACTGCGGATTAATATCGCATCCACATGCAACACGCATCTGCAAACACTGCACACAACAGTAGGGCATGTGCATGGTTGGGGGGGGGGGGAGCAAGACGGACAGATGCAATACATGGGAAGCGTTGGAAGTGCACGAGCTTATGCCACGCAGACCAATCTATTTGAAATATCCCTGCTGTGGTTGCTGGGTGCCCCAGGGGGTCAGAGTGATGAACCAGCACTGCTGAGACCCAAAGTTCAAATGTATTACCGAATCAGATGTTCAATTGCGGAGAGCTTGTGGTTTTAGCAATGTCACCAATGACTGCACAAAAAAAAGTACATTCAATTTGTTTTTTCCTTTAATTTGTACAAATTCCAGCTCTGAGGTGAAATTATTTTGGTCAGACATGGGACAAACATTTCTGTAGAAGGGCATGCATAAAAGTGCAGTGCCCCCCCTGTGTGGAGAAGAGGTCACTTGATTGGAGTCCAGGAGTAGTTGAGGGTCTCCTTTCACGGGATGTTGTCTAGCACTCGAACTGCTAAAGTTCTGTTGCAGACTGCATTGCAGACTGCATTACACACAGACGTAACATCTCCTCATGACATAACTGATAATACAATTGCAATTAACCTGGAGAAAATAAATGTATATTTCGATTAAATACTGCTGTACAATCCGAATCTCTGGAACATGAACCCCCATTTACAGGCTTGAACACATAACAATTACAGCAGGGCAATGAATCGTACAAGTCAAGCACACCAAATCAGCAATTCAATATTTATATTAGTACTGGAATAACTAGTGCACAAAATGAAAACAAGACAATGCACTCTGAGCCATGAGAGAACTATGAAATAGGGTTACCAGGCTGATAGTCGATCATTCGTTTTCTTAATTACACAGCTCTACACAAATAAGTCTATGACCTTTGACCAAAATCACTCGGAATGCACCCAACTGATCTCAGAAGCTAAGCAGGCTTGAGGATGGCTAGTGATTGGATGCGTGGACCACCGTGCATCAAAGAGGTGTTGCAGGGTTAGAGACTTGCCGTGGCGAGGCTGCCCGTCGACGTGTTGCCGTGTGCGTGCAGCCTGTGGATCGAGCGGGACGACCCCACGGCGGTGGAGCGCCCTCTGGGGCACGCGGCCGAGCTCCTGTGCCGCGCCCAGGGCTCGCCCGACGTCGCTCTGGAGTGGATGAAAGACAGCAGAGCCATCGACCCTTCCCGGTGAGCCTGGGTGCTGCCATCGCTTTACTAAGGGGGCGGGGGGGGGGGGTGCAATGCTCTTCGCGTTGGAGGGTGGGAGTATGAAGTGGGGCCAGGGGACAAGGCTGAAGCGACGTGGCAGATGTGAAGCCCAGTTCATGTACGGTGACTGTCCCCGTCATATTGACATCATATCTCGAGGAAGGATGATGATGATGGTCGTCGAACGAGACTGATGTTGGGATGCCAACCAAAGAAGAGAACGCACAGCAGAGGACAACCCCGGCATAGACGGAGGGAAGAGATCAGCTCATGTGCAGGAGTGAGACGGGGCGTGACGTCGCAGCACGATACGGGTTGGCGGCAGCATGGGGAGGTCTTAATCCAGCAGTAGATAGACCAGGGCTGTTGACAATCATGATTATTTAGGTCGAGACCCGCGCCTCACGAATTTCACGTCGTTGGGTCAGGTATGTTGTGCTGCTCAACGGCTCCCTCTACATCCAAGCGGTGGAAGAGGAGGATGCTGGGATATACACCTGCCGCGCCAGCAATGGGCAACAGCAGGAGTTCCGTCAGGTGCAACTGAGCATCATGGGTGAATCCACGCAAATGTCAACACACATGACCCTCATATGTGCTCGTGACGTTATATGATGGTCACCAAATCTGTCTTAATCCATCGACTCTTTTTTTTCTCAAGTCATTTCTGGATGTCAAATGACTTTGGTGGTGGGCATTTTCAACTCTTGCATGCGTTGGGAGCATTTGGAATGGTGTCTTTTGGTGTTTTCGGCATTTCCATCCCCCGCCTCTCCATCTCCTCTCTCCGTCCACTCGGCGCCGTTGCGTCTGCGTCGTACCCGGAGGCCCCCCTCCGCTCCCGTAACCCGCTCTGGCGCATGTCGTTGTGTTTTGTTGTTGTTGTTGCACTAAGCCACAACCTCGTCGGCTGAAAAGCCTCTAGTCAGGGAAGCCGATGATAACTTGGCCGCGGTGGTCGAAGCGCGCGCCGGCTCGTCCGTGCGGCTGCCCTGCCGCTTCTCCGCGTCCGAGCCGGCGAGGCGCCCCGTCTGGACGGACGGCTCGGGGAGGGCGCCGACCGGCCGGCGCTTTCGGCAGCTGGCGGACGGCTCGTTGGTGATCTCGCCGGTGATGCCCGGCGACGCGGGGACCTACGCCTGCGAGCTGGAGACGAGGCTCGGGGCGGCACGCAGGCGGTCCAGCCTGACGTTGAAGGTCAAAGGTCAAGGTCGTGCCCACACTGGATATCGACGGACTAGCGAGGGGCCATATCGTGCAGAAGCTTCGCCAATACTCGCTCATCATCATCGCCATCGTTTATACTGCACCTCCATGCAGTACATCTCGAGACAAAATGTATCAGCAGCTACTTTAAGAGCCTCTCCTGAGATTTAAAAACGCCACAGTGTGGCGAGACAAGAAATCTCTCGAAAATAACGGCACTCTTAGAAACACGTAAGTTACAATGCAGTCAATGCAAATTTAATCACCCTTTTGATTATTATGTCCCAATGCTCATCCCATTCAGAATCATGTCCACGTGTAGATGCATGTTATGGTTCAATAACATAAAGGCCAGATACTGATGGAAGTAGGTTTAACCAGCATAGCAGCCAAGAGGTTCTGTCTGTCTGCATTCGATTGTAAAGGTGAGCTACACCTGTAAACACAACACCACTCAAAGGTCACGTCACAAGCATCGTGACCCCCTTCCTGGGTCATGTATGCGAACTTCAAGTTCAAAAATGAGTATTTTAACAAATTCTTTGAATCTCAAGATAACAGGTTGTAGGTTAAGTTGTATATGTTTGTGTGTATTTATATACACTATACACATGCATTTGTGTCCTTCGCAACAAATAATGTTGCCTTTTCATGGAGAAAAAGCTCCAGTGCAATACATGCTTACAAGGGTGGCTCAAGGTGAACGTGTGCTTTTAGTTCCACAGAATGTGAACAGTGAAGTGATTGAACTCACGCTGATTTTCAAGCTACTCCCCTGCCACACTAATGCCATTTGCCCCATCGGTGGTGTAACACCTTCATGGCAAAAGTGCGACATTCTTCAGGACAGATACGCATTCCATGTCAGGATTTCTGCTTTCACATTTTCACATCGACCGACTCTAATTACTCCCTCTTCTGCATGCGAGGCACGTATCACCCATCTGTTCAGCTAACCTTCTGTAATTGTCAAAAAAACTCACATTCGTCAATAACATTGCCTTAAAAGTGGCATATAATAGGTGACGTTTTGGGAAATGGCCCTTCTTTATAAGCACATAAAGAGGCCAGGGTGAAAGAGTGATGATTAGGAGATGTCACCTCCCTCGCCTGCGATGAAGGAGGTCGTGGGTTCGATCCCGACCCTGACGATGCCTGCTGTTGTATATTTGTAGTTTGCGTGATCTCTCTTCCTGGGGTCGCGTGGAATTTTCTCTAGGTCTTCCAGGTTTTGCCCTCCACATTTAGGAACATACATTTAGGTGAATTAGCGGCTACTATAAATCCCCACATGTGATAGAAGCCACTTCGATGAGCTACCATTTGTGGTCAGGTCACCGCTGAAAAATAGCCAATTGGGCTTTCTCTGTCAAAAAAAAAACGTGATTGCCAAAAACATTTCCTATTCTATATTTTTTTCCTTTCAATGTGACTAATTATTTTTTTGTTAATGGTGCTGTACACCACTTGCCAATACAGTATCACCAATGAACTGGTTTCATTTTCCAACACCAGGAACTTCACCTACACAATGCTGTTCCATAGTACGTGACGGACAGTTCGCTGCCATCTGGCAAATACCCAGACGGCTTTGCGCAGCTGTGATGTCACTTCACACAGAGGTTGCCTGATGTTGCCAATGTCGCTCCACAAACTTTAATCAGCAATCCGTCAAGTTTGTAAAAAACTATCTCGAACAAAAAGCACAAGTTACCCGTACCCCCACATGTATTATGAAATTGGATAAAGCTGGACACATTTTGCAAACGGAACCTGTTATGTTGAAGTTGGAATTTAATAAATACTACCTTAAAATCAGTATACATTCAGCAATAAAAAATAGTATTATTGAGTTATATTCACGTGGGCGAATGTCTCTCATTATCCTATTTTTGGTGAAACTGCACCGAGTGTCTCTCTTGCCATCAATACCACAAATCTCCAAGTCGATGTGTTTTGGCCATTTGTCTAAATCTGGCCCATGAAGTACACTGATTTTATGCTTCAGCCTGGTGTGGCATTGGTCCTCCTACTTCTTCTTCTTCAACCAAACTGCGTTCATGCGGAACCATCGCTCACTTGTCTACGCAGTTCGCGAACAGCGAGCACAAGTTGTTTTGGAAAGTGCCGTCATCGTCGCCAGCCTGTGCCGCGAGCGAGTCTGCAGCATTTGTCTCCCTGGGCGTGCGTGCGTGCGGGCAGGAGTGCTCTCCATCGTGAAGCCGCCTGGCGACGTCGCGGTGGAAGAAGGCGACGAGGCTGCGTTTCCCTGCACCGTGTCCGACAAGGAAGCCAATGTCATCTGGACCAGGTGGACTCCTTCCACGTGGGCTGTGTTTTGTTTGTCGTAAATAGCGTTAAGACAGGCACGATATGATGTAGATGATGATGCTGATGATGATGCATTAATCCATCGATTAAAATCTATTATTTCACTCAATATACATGCATAGAAAGTTTGTATGAGACTCAATTGTTTATCATTTGTGGAAATATAATACAGACATGCTGTTAAATTTAGGCGAATTGAGAAAACTACAAACTCGTGGATAACAATGCAACAATACAAACGAGTTCAAATTAAACCAAAATGACTGTTCTTGAATTGGATCGTGACCTGGAATTGCGATAATGCACATCTCAGCGGGATGCAACATTACATACTTCATGGATGCAACTGGATTGTTTTTTTCAATTACTAGCAAGGACAGGCCATATTGGAGCAAGAATGGAGTGGCAGGGTATGTCTTGATCTACAACACATAGCCAATTCAATTACAATTTGAATTAAGTGTTTAAATGTGACTGCATCTTGAGACGTTCTACGCAAAGGGAGATATGCTCATTGGACTATCGCAGGGAAGAGGTTGGATATATTTTTAAGAAGTTGAAGGCATACGTTAGGAAGAGACCGGCATTAAATAAGACACATGGATCCATGAAAATAATTCGTAGGTGGAGGAGAAAAGGGCTTAAAACATGGAACGTTAATACAAGGGGGGTGGAATCAGCTGTATGAATGGCCAGAGGAAGGTAATTCCAGACCGCAAGGGCAGCAGTCCAGTTGGAGCCAGTTGGAGCCAATTCAAGAATTGGTTGCTGGAGCAGAGGACACGAGGAGGGGAGGAGAGCAGTACGAGCGCACAGCGTAGGCAGGCGGGGCCGAGTCCATCGAGGAGCTTGAAGTAATGGAATTGTAGAATTTTTTCCACAGGAATGTGTCATTGTTCTCCACCGACTCAAGTGCGCCGTGGGGGGTATTCCCGTTTCTGTCAGGAACGGCGTGTCGCTGACATCCGGGGAGGTGGGCGGAGGCCGCGTGCTCGTGTCCGGCGACGGCATGCTGGTGCTGCGCAACGTCCAGAGCAGCGACGCCGGCCGCTACACGTGCAACGTGTACAGCGGCTCCCGCTCCGTCAGCGCCAGTGCACACCTCACCGTGCAGGGTAGGTCGGGCTCCCCGGCCAAAAGATAGGGCCATAGCCTTGGCGAGGAGCGAGTGAATGGGTGGGTGAGTAGGTGAGTGGGTGGGTGGGTGAGTGAGTGGGTGAGTGGATGGATGGGTGGGTGGGCAGTGGGACGGAAAGGATGACGATCACATGGATGGACGAATGGACAGAGGATGGACCGACGGAGAGGATGGACCGATGGAGAGGACGGACGTACAGAGATGATGGGACAGACGGATGGAGATGATGGAATGGACGGACAGAGAAGGGTGAACGGACAGATGGACATAGAGGACATTTGTACGGAGAGAAGGGATGGACTGACAGAGGAAAGAGGATGGACGGAGGCTGGATGGCCAGAGAGAGAGAGTTCGGAAGGGCAGACCAAGAGACGGAAGGATAGGCACAATGGATTGCGTGAACACACCACCTCACCGCTGACCAGTGAAGCCGTGACCCTCAAGGCCCTTTCCATGTTGTTCAAAGTCTTCCTCTCTCCGACTCCTACTGAATCCGCAGACGTGTGGAACGTTTACTTGCAGAGGTGCGCAGGAGACAGCGAGTGTTATTGACTCAGGAAAGTCTCAACCGAGTTCTTCAGGGAGTACTGTTCTCAGGATGGTTTTACTTGTGATGTTTGGCTTAAACCTTCTCTGTGTGAGGAAATCAGGAGATAACTCTCAGATGAGGGGAGAACACTCAGAATTAGGTGTCAGGTACTTGTACATATGCAACCTTCCTGCTGTACTGTTACTACTGGAACATTTATGGTTCTATAGGCAGGCTTCCCACGTGAACTGCCTGGATGGTTTATCATGCCTAAACCATGGTTATGGTTTGTATTTCTTGCTTAATATATTGAGGTTATCTGAATACTGACTGGACTAAATTGACCAATAACCATTCAATTTGGAGTAAATCACATTCTGATCAATCTATATGATCTTTCTGACATCCCAAAAATAAAAATGACGTAATAAAAACTTCCTTCAAAGGCTACCTACCTCAATATTCTTTCTTGGAGTGTGTAGATTTTGCACATTTTTAACCAGCGGCTTAAGCTTACCTGTTGACACGTTATACCAAATGTATAAAGCTTAAGTTCGGTTTAAAAACATTATTTGATAGGGCTAATGAGCAATGGCTCACCATTCCATAATAACAGAGTTGCATTTATCCAGAAGCGCATTAGCTATTCAAGGTTTTTTTTTTTTCACAAGGGGTCCTGCATTGTGATCTATGGGTAATGGTAATCGAGAATTTTGCATGCAAAGTTTATTTATATTGGTGTATTAAACGGTGCAGTTTTACGACAGAATAGCACTTGATATTGGTGAACCCCTGCGTCATTGACCCCCAAAAACACGAACATCCTCGTAGGAAACATTAACGGTGAGATAATTTTTGTCATTATTTTGGTACCATGTTTTAATGCATATATATATGCTTCGTTGCATGAGGCGGATTTAAACCACGTGCGGTTTCAGAATTTGAATCTCTGCACCTCTTCTGGGAAGGGGGTGTAGATACATTGCTTCACGCTTCACGTGCTGCGAATCAAACCCACGCGCTCCGTTGTCAAGAAAAATGTCTGAGCCCAACCGCGAAGTGCGGTGTAGCATTAGTCATGTCTTGGAATGGGAAAACCTTGAAAGTTTCCTCAACTTTAAAATACATATGCACATTTTTCAACCGATGTAAAGGCTAATTATGACGGAAAACTTATCTGCAGACCTTTGGGGCAAAATTGTGAAACTGGGTCCGTTAACAGTTTAATACTGGTGAACACTCGTGCTTTTCATGTTGTATCTACTACTGTTTACTTGATACTTTTCTGTAATCATAGAGTTTATATACCTACAGCTAGTTTCCATTTTGCATGTTACTGTTTTTACAAGTTTGTGAAAAGTTTGCGCTTAGCAATAAAGAGCTTGTTTAAACACAAAGTCACGTGATTTAATTCAAATGCACGATTGTATAAAAAGCGTTGCTTCTGCAAACCCCAAAATAACCAACATAGTCAAGTGATATTTGGGCAGAGTTCAGCTCGCATTAATAAGCTCAGGCTATTGCGCAACAACGCAGGGTCACGTTTGCAAAATTCTCATGCTTCTTACTTCTATTTCCTGTTCTGCAAAAACTCTCCTTCGCTCCGCCTGCCTCTTGCAGACACGTCTGCTTCTGTACCTCGTGGTGATGGTGGTGGTATCGTCAACGGTGCTTCTTTCGGTGATGCTGGTGGTGGCGATGGTGGCGGTGGCGGTCGTGGTGGTGCCGCCATCGATGCGTCTGCTGGGCTCTTGGGCACCGCCAGCGAGAGGTCCTGCATTGACCGGCCCGAGCTGGCCAACTGCGAGCTGGTGGTGCAGGCCAGCCTGTGTCACAACGCATATCACGCGAGATTCTGCTGCGCCAGCTGCGCCGCGCACGCGCCCTCAAGACGCGCAACTCGCCAGCGAGCCGTGCGCTCGGGGGCAGCCTGATGGCCCGATGGATTCGTCACCGCTCGAATGAAAGGGACCCTCAGCTACGAAGGGCAATCAGCGAGGACCAAAGAGATGCTGGGGCCTTGCTGTATGAAGTTGAGCAGTAAATGGAATGTGAAAGCGGAGATTTCTTGTAGGAGGGGGGCAGGTGGGGAGGATCACGGTTATAAAAAAAAATGGAAGTAGACTTTATGACGGTGACACTTTCCCAAACTTCAGGTCGCGACTGCCGAGATAGCTTAGGAAAGGCTTCCCTGAAGAGTCAAAGAAGCCAATAAATAAAATGAAAACGGAAACAATTCAATCGTTTCCCTGTCAGTCGCCAAAAGCTTCAATGCTTTTCCAGAGCCTCTCCTCCCTCTACGAGAAACAAAACATAACATGTGTACAAGTTAAACCAAGGCAGACATTAGATCATACATACATACACACATGTATATAAACATTGCTTATTTATATGGTAAAAATACACAGTATTTCCAACATTACAGCAATTCACATTTCACTTTTGTAGCCATTTACTTAAAAAAGGGAATAATATGTTAAACATGAGTAAGATAAACTTAACAAAGTGTGGAAATGTCATAATCTCATGATTGTATCTAGAGGACATATGCAATGGGTCATTACGGTTTGGTGAAGGCGAACAGGAACTATCCAGGACTGCTTTAGATTTCAGAAAGCCATGGTTGGGAATAGAGACTGGGACCGCCAGGATGTAAGTGTTAATTCGATAAACACTGCACTACCACCACTCCACCCCGAGACGTTACGGATTTTAGCGAACACTACCAATGTTCAATCTAGATTTGAAGCTTTCGTGGCTGCAGGAATTCATACTCTTTGGTTCTTTCGGTAAAGTCACGTAGGTAGAAAATAAAAAAAATCACGACGTTTCGATTGCCACACAAGCAATCATCATCAGGTGGGAAAACCACAGCAAGAATTTTTTTTTGCTGATAAAAGTTCTCTCTCTGCAAACAATTAACTCATCACCAGGAGAGCTCAACCACCTTCCCAAATTTTGACTTGGAAAGATGTCACCAACCACTTTGGGTTATGACTTGATTTGTTTTCTTAACCTCTACCATCAGCAGTGTTGGCGTGTTGAGCGAGGTGCAATGCTTTGATTGGTGTAGACCTACTGCCGGTGTCAGAGCCCTCTCGTACATTAACATTAGCTGCCCCGCCCATCTCTAAACCTTTATAAACAGCTTGCCCTCAGACTAACCTCCCTGCTCCTGATGACGACCGCTTGTGTTGCGACCGAAACGTCGTGATATTTTTATTCACTTTATTTTGTATTATTTTATTGTTATTTTTTTCTATCTACGTGACTTTACCGAAAGAACCATAGGACACCTTCCCAAAGTTTAACTTTCTGTGGAGAAATTAACACATTTCCGGTTGAAATATCCTGTTCTGTAAATCCGCAGGTGAGGATTTTCTTCAACGGAGGACAAGGGCCTTTTATAAATAAATAAAAATGCATGTTCAATACCGTTCAAATGTGATGTAAAATGTGTTTAACCTTCATGCAAGACACTCCATGTTCTCAACTCAGTTGTGTTTTATAACGCTGCCACCTGGTGGTCGCATTTTCTCAACACCAAAAGTTGGTGAAGAAACACGCTTTCATTGCGATGCACTCCAACAAAACTAAAGAGATCACCACAAGCTCACAAGCTCGAAGTGAACAAGGCCTCAGACGAGTGTATTTACAGTGTCAACGATTTGCAAGAGCAACCGGGCGTTGTTGTTGTAAGTTGCTGAGGTTTAGCTCAGAGTACAGATTACAAGAAAGTGGCAAAATATACATTTATTTAATTTCAACCATGGACATGAAACAAGTACATTGGATTTCAAAGTTGTTTATTCTTTGAATGTCTGGACTGCTCTAAATACTTTGCCATTAAATACAGAAGCTTGTAAGAGCACATGCACCCATAAAAGTACGCAAAGTGGTTTGTATGATATACTTAACAAGAATGCTGAAAAACGATTTTAACTCATGGGTAATAGGATTTGTCTCAATTTAGCAATTTTAAAACAGCAGTACGTTTCATTTTATAAACATCGATTCTTGTATTACATAAAATCCATCGTATTAGTATCATTAGCTGATTACAGGCGAGGTAAGAGTAAAAAAAACACTGTGTAAGGCCTTCACACACTTGGCAAATTCTCTTATCAGGAGCAAAGAAAGATTTGTGGCTGGTAATGTGCGCAACTTGGGACAAGGTAAAACGGTGCACGATGGAATGCCGAAAATCCGTGCAATGCAGATACCAATACATGGCCACCCACCACCAACTGCATAAAGCCAGGACAGTTCATCAAAGGCAGTCTGAAATCACAATTTCCTAAAAGATAAAACAGTATTTAATTCCACACGCAAGTCTAATTTGCTCCATACTGAAAATGTCCTCACACGACACATTGCATGTAAAGAAAACAACTTGACGAGTGTGAAAGGGTCTTTACAAAGCCAGCGAACAATAACGGTGTGTCGTATAACATCTCTTCGATTTAAAAACAAACTTGAATGCAACACCTATTTTTTTTCTGCTGCCAAGTTATGGAACCCTGTTAGAATGTAGAAAATTCGTGTATTGAAATTGTAAGATTTCAGTGTCCGATTTGAAATGAATTAATTTCATATCCACGATTTACACAATCGGCTTACCTGAAATACAATGGACATCTAAATAACCCTTCAAGTTTCTAAGTGTATGTCACCACAACGTAGTGTTATAAACCCGTGGGCCAGCACAATAGTTAAAATATTAAACTTTAGGTTGGTTTTTTGGTGACAATTTTTTTTAAAATCATGTCCTAACAAAGTTAGAAATATTTAAATCTGCAACTGACTGTACCATACAGCAGTTAAGGCCTTTGACATTTTTTATAGGGATATACATTTTTGTATCAAAATATATAAAAAAAGTTAGCAATTTCACCTAAACACCCACATGACCTCAAATCTACCGTATCGGGCACATGTACACTGTACGTTTTAGAATCACTCATAAAAATATTTTTTTAGCGTCGGCTTTGTCATCAGTGTCACAACAGCAAACCTAAAAATCACTGCATGAACATTATACCTATAAAACTACACTAGCAGTGCCTTCACCAAGATATTCTGTAGAATTACACAAGAAATAAAGCTAATCCAATCCCATCACCTGCATATATAATCTAACTCAGTAGTTTATGCAGTTAACTTCACATTTTGGCAAATTAAGATGTAAAAATAGCGCTTTTTCACGTGATATACACACACACACACGTGTTCAGCATAGGGACGATCATGACAATACTTGCCAATAAATCCATGTAGGTTGGACAACGTTCTCTTAATGACACTGAACAAGGGTCTCCATCAACTAGGGGTTAACGTTCACCCGGACTGCATTGTGTCAAAGTTCCCCTTGTTACAGCTGTGCAGCGCCATGGGCTGTGCACTCGCACGCACCCGTGTTCCGCCTGCCTGCATCACACTGCTTTGTGTTGCCAGCGATCATTCGCATGGTGCAGTGGAATCTTCAACGGACAAGACACTTTTTTCTCAAGTCCCCGTTACTTTGAAACAGCTGGGCCACAGCATGTCATGTGTTAAGCTGTTTATCCCTCCTTCCACTATCACGCCACTGTTGCAATGTCCATGAATGTCTAAAGATGTAAATGTTATAACGAAAGAGAAATATACTATTTTATTCATATATCCATTTGAACAATGTTTTTTTTTCTTTTATGAACAGTAAATGAAACATTTCATTGCAATAATGCACTTTTTGTTCAAAGCTGTTTGCATTACCCAGAAAGCAAGTGTGAGTGCTAAATGTATATTCTATTTCACTTTAATAAAATAAGACGCAGCAAAAAAAACTGCAATAAATGTAATTACAAACCATGTTAAGAGACCCATTATAATGTGTATCTAATAAATTTCAATTGTTTTCTTTAGGCAAATATATACACGTACACAAACCAAAGTGGCCATGCCCTTTAAACGCATTTGTCCAAAGTAACATTTTCATTAAAAAGGCCTAATTTTAGCTGTGATAAATTTGTACCTCTGTTTAAAAAGTATAAAGTGAGTGTTAACAAGTTACTGATGGGAAAGGTAAATTAAAATTAAATAGTTATGACGCCCAATACAGGATATAAATAACCATGCTACGATCATTGTCAACCTAATTATGAAAAGGTAAAGGTATGTTAACTAAGTTTAAAGGTCAACAGTAGAGAAGGCTAATTCTATAATTTATCCAAAGCCCATTATATAATTACACAATGACATGTTTCTGCAGTTAAAATAAGATAACGGCATTTTTTAACAAATGGTATAGTTTGGTGTATAAATTGGTAAATTTGTTTACATTTTACAGATAACCATCATTGCTTCTAAGCAGACAATTTCTTAAAAATTCTAAAATAATAAAAATTAGAAGACTCAAATGTTTCCTTTGCACTGCCATCATTGCAGGCATAACCCTGCACGAGTACAGGCTTTGCTATCATACATTGATCAATGTCCGTGAACTGTACAAAAAGATATCTACTGACAACACACACTTGTGAATAAGTAACCATGGCTGATAACTCACCCGACCCGGTCACTGGGCATCCTAACATTTCTTTAACGCTGCACCATTTTGAAACATTCATTTTTACAGTTATAAAACAAACAGCATTTTCTGTCAAAAGCTACAATGGCATTTCCAATAGGCACGATGAAAATAAAACTGTGCTATGTCATCATTTAAGATATGGGTTTGTATGTGTTGTGTTTTTTTCAGTTTAAGACAATTGTAATTGTTGTTTTATAATACCAGAGGTTTTGTGCCATTCTATCATCTCTCTACTGCCTGCATGTTCTTAACTGTTAAAGAACTTACAAATCCCAAGCCACTGTTATTCTTTTAAGAGAAGCTTTAAGCAAATTAAGAAAATTGGAACAAAAAATAAATGCAGCATGGACATGAGTGTCAAGGGTAAGGAAACGGTATAATCAGATGCGAATCTCAAATGTCTTCTGAACCTCGCTGCTGAAAGGGTTTGTCGGAGACGGGGTAAAGCGTTGCGGCTGCTGCTGCTGCTGCTGTTGAGTGGGGTTGTGCGGCTGCTGCTGTTGTTTATGCCTGGTCTCCAGCGCAACCCACTGCGCCTCAAACTGGTCTTCGCCTGCCGAAACCCCATTGCCATTTGTAAAGGCGGACGCAGCATTCCCACCGAAGCCACCGGCAGGCAAACTGGGCTTAGCAGCCTGCGTTGAATTGTTGAGGTTGCTGTTGAATTGAGACAGAGACTGCGTGGGCTGTCCCACCGCTGGTGCTGCCGCCACCGCCCCGGGATTACTTGCGACCGTGAACGCGCTGGCCACCATCTGCGAGGGCGTCATACTGGGTGTCGGCCCTGTGCTGTACTGCTGCTGGCCACCACCGTTCACGGTAAAGTGGCCTGGGTAAGAGGTTGCTGCTGCTGCCACCGCCACTGGCTGGTAATGATGATGATGTTGCATGGCAAACGCAGCAGAGGGTACCCCACCTGGCAATGACCCAACAGGCTGCATCTGCGTAGGGGACAGGCCATGGGGTGGCGTGACACCGGGGGGCAGCGCCTGCCCTTGTGGTTGCTTCTGGTTTTGCGTGGACTTGGCGACCTCATCGAGCCACCGCTCTGCTTCAGACTGCGTTCTCCGGTGTCCGGGGTTGAAGGCCGGTCCCACAGTGGTGCTTGCACCTGTCCCCACAAACACACGTGTGGTTGGAGAGAATGGGTTCCCATATTCTAACTCGGGACACCATTTCACGGCACTTGCCGCGTTTTCAGCCATGACATTAAATTCACCTGGGTTGAGGATACCTCATTGTTTTTTTTCTTGTCTGCGGTGTTTGCCCAAACAGTTTGTAGAGTTATGAGCTCATTTAAAACAAAAATTGTCAAATCATGATAGTGACAAAAAAAATTACACTTTTCGGTAAAACTACCGATGTTGTGTACAAAGCTAATTAGAGCACACTGCATATGGAAGAGTGTCTTGTTTTGTTGATAGGTGGGCACCAACACTCATGTTAGTCATGTTTTGTATTGTGTGCACATTGCATTGCTCACTGTGGCCCCGAGGCCACACACAACCTATTTTTTTAATGGCCAACCGCGACAACAAGCACACTATCTGAAAAAAGTTAAAGCAACAATAAGTTATTTAGTTTGGTTTTAACTTGTTTTTTTACATTGCCATTGGTAGTGGCAATAGGATGCACATTAAACTAATGGGATTGTATTAGGCCACAATGCTACAGATACGTTAATAACAAATACTGAAGTGAATTATCTGCTACATTTGTAGAGTTTAACATATTGTTATTGAAAAAGCATTAAACACGACTGTCAGCAAGCCCTATTAAGACATTTTGACGAGAAAGCTGGATAAATAGAAGGCGAGAGATCAAGCCATGGAACATGGAATTCAGGCACAACTTACCTGCTGTAGCGACAGTGACAGAGGCGGCGTGAGTCCAAGGATTGACGTCACGCACGGGTGCAACGGTCGAGTGCGGGGAAACGGGGGGTTTAGAGTTGGTTACAGGAAACGCGGAAGGCACGGTGTTAGCTGGAACAAGCGAGAAATTGCAAAGCCAGTTAAAATAAAAGAGGCAACGGTAAAACGGAGAAGCTGCAGCAGGAGAAATGGTTATGAACGTCTCCCTGTGCACTAGCATGTACAGCACACTCACCCCCCCCCCCCCCCCCACTGTTGTCTTATCACACTGAAGGATTGGCTTTTATATGAATAAACCCAGATTATTCATGTCACTATTGGACATCTGTGGAAGAGCTTCATAGCTCATCGGATTCCTCCGGAATAAATAAATATTCCGATTACCTGCTGGTTGTTTTTGTGTTTGTCAGCCAGCAGTAAAATTAAGATTACATAAGTTAGAAACAGAGGCAAGAGCACCAGATTACATGAGGAAGCCACTATACCTATGCACTGCTAAATCTAGATTGAAAACTCATTTCGTTAGAACTGACAAATATTTGTATATTTTTGGAAAAAAAACTATTTTGGCACTATTGTTTTATCCAACAACAAAAACGAATGGTTTTGTAATTTACAATGTAATCTCGTCTTATGGTCAAAAAAGGATTTATTTATGGTATCAGGGCTCTGCAACCAATAACTTATGAGCAATGAACTTGTGAGAATGACTCTCTTTTGTCCAGGCCAATAAGTCAGGAAACATCGAAGGCAGTGCAGCTTACAGCGGTGCAGAAATGTGGCTGTCTGGCGACATAAATCCTCCGTATAACGTATGGCGCATGTCACCAAAAGGCTGGCCAACCACTTTGTTCATCTTCTTGGTTCTTTCGGTAAAGTCACGTAGAATGGAAATAATATAATAATAAAAAAAAAAGACACCGTCTTCCCGACAGACCTGTTCTTCACCTGAGGACGGCTGCTTGCGTTGTGGCCGAAACGTCGTGAGAATTATTTTATTATGTTTTATTTGTATTATTTTATTATTTCCATTCTACGTGACTTACCGAAAGAACCAAGAAGATGAATCCCTGCAGTCACGAAAGCTTTAAATCGAAATTTAACCACTTTGTTCTCCGGAGCAATTTCATTTTGGAAATCATATTTATAACCCAGACATGAGTGGTTGATCATTAAGCATTTTACCGACAGATTCATTATGACTTTATCCAAAGGAACTGGGACCTGATACACTTATATTCACTTTACATTTTGCTGCACTTTAAATTGCATGTATGAAGTCTGATGGCTGGGGCAGCAGTGGAAGCAAGATAATGGACCTGCTGGATTGCATGCCAGTGCCCCCCCCCCCCAAAAAAATATCCCAAGTAGCAAGCAGAATGCGTCAAGAGAGAATTTCTGTCTCCTTATTTGAGGCTTCTCAAGTGTCGGTGTAACAAATAAATAACAGCACACAAATCCTGAGACTGCGTATTTGCATACAATGCAGCTCGTTCTTCTACTCGATGTAAACTGTTGCCAGGGAGAAGAAACCAGCTGGTCCAGCAGAGGGCGCTCGCTACCTCAATAGTTCAGCGTCTCACCAAAAGGGACTTTGGATAGGCCCCATTCCCCTTTGCTCTTAAGCAAGGCCACCTCATTTGATGGCTATGCACCTCACAAATGCGTCTCAAACTATCACACGAGTTCTGATCTATGTAAACAAAGTCCGGAATTAAAGTGTGTAATTTATATTATGAATCAAACTTCCTAGGATTCACTTTTTGCATCACGTACATGCCTACACAATACTGCGTATAAACATGCGACATTGTTTCAAACGCACAGTACGTGAAATGCCTGAAGCAAAAGGCAAGCAGAGATAAAGGCAAGGTGCAAAGGTTTAACAGACGGTTTTATCAGTCACACCTGCACTGGGAACTGAGTTCTGTCGGCTATAAAGTCGACATTAATCAAACTTTTGCTTTTACATTCAATTGCTTTGCAAAGACTAGCAACAACTGAAGCTATGGCAGTTTATTGGAATGCTGTTCTCACATTAATTCATTAACATAAACAAGTCTGTTAGGTTTCACAAACATGTACCTTCCCACCGTACAATGTACAGTAAAGCCAGCCATGTAAGTGCTGTTGCCTTTATTTTGTGTGCTCCATCACTCACCTATTAGTTTAGTGTTTGTGGATTATTTATTTCACATTGGGACGGATTGTCAAAATGTATATTAACAGCCAAATACGGAAACCCCAACTTTTCTATTACAGTCCAATTCAATGCCTGGCAGGGAACAAGCACTGGTACCTCCTAAAGGCAATTTCAGGGTGTCACTGGCAATGGCTGCCACAACATTAAAGTGTAAAAATGATCATGTGGGCAACTATT